GCATCTGGAGGTGCCGACGACACTGTACCCCAGCTTGTAACCCGCCTAAACTATGGAGATTACTGAATCATGAAAGGTCAATCGATTCCATTAGGCTAATAGAAGTAAACTTGAATGGAAATATCGTCCATTCCGATCATAAGTTATGCATGCTCGCCTTTAGCCTGAATCTCAAGGTTACAATGCTTGTCTTAGATCTAACGGCTAAACGTTTTTGCAGCGAAGGATCAGGGCTTCAACGACGTTGAACCTTGTCAACTCGGATATTTCCCTGATTCAAACTGGAGGAGAACCCGGAGTTCCCGCACATATATCAAAAACAATATAAATACTACGGCGAAGATTTGGACGAGATGCTTGAAGCCCAAGAGGCAAGAGCCAAATTGGGATAGCTGCAGTCTAGGAGCTTCCTCATTGATATACCCGATTTGAAAAATGCTCATCAAGCTTTTGCTCCTCGGTCTGGCCGGCCTCAGTTGTGTGGAATCGGTCAGGCCTCCCTTGAACCCACCAACACCACCTCCCCCTCCTCCACAAAGACCACCAACACCGCCACCACGGCCGTGGTCCACTTTTGCAGAGAATGTCATCTACCAACCTGACTCCAAGAACTCTGTTCTCTATCCCCGGCAAGTCGAACTATCGGATGGAAGTCTCCTTGCGACAGCTTCGTTCGCGGGCGATAAAATTCCATATTTCCCCATATTCCAAAGTGCAGATGGTGGTGCTACCTGGTCCTGGATCTCCAACCTGACTGACCAGGTGAATGGATTGGGAATGTCAGCCCAGCCTGCGCTGGCAGAGTTACCATTTGCTGTTGGCGATTTCCCTGCCGGCACGGTTTTGGCCAGTGGAAACAGCTGGGGAAGCAAGAGCACGAACATTGATATCTATGCTAGTAAAGATAAGGGTCATACCTGGAAGTTCGTCAGTAACGTGGCGAGAGGCAGTGGGCCGGATACTACCAATGGAAATCCATGTATTTGGGAGCCATTTATCGAGTGAGTTGTACTCTGCCCTTGTTATTTTTGTTCCAGGCACTGAACGCGGGAATTCTAGATTTTTCAACCACACTATCGGCGTATTCTACTCCGATCAGCGTGACCCCCTGCACGGTCAGAAGCTTGCTCACCAGGAATCGGCGGACTTGAAATCCTGGGGACCTGTGATAGACGATGTGGCCTATCTCAACTATACTGCTCGTCCTGGAATGACCATCATCTCCTATATCCCTCCTCTGGAGAAGTGGATTTTGGTGCACGAGTTCCCAGGAGGAGACAGCTGGTCTGGGGTGGGCTATCCGGTCTACTACCGAATGGCCGACAGTCCATTTGATTTCCGCTTTGCCTATGGTATCCCCATCATGGTTGATGGAGTCCAGCCCAACGCATCTCCTTATGTGGTTTGGTCGCCATCCGGCGGTGATAATGGAACTATCCTCGTTAGCGACGCTGATCACAGTGGTGTTTTCACCAATCAAGCCGGTGGCCAGCCTGATCAGTGGGAATTGCATGACACACCTCAGGCACCGGCATACAGCCGGAGTTTACATGTCTTTGAGAAGTATCCCGATCATTTGATGATCCTGGGTGCAGGCGTATTTGATGCAACGGTAAATTTGCCGCTTTATCTCAGCGTTGTGAGCGTAGAAGATACCTTGAAGAAGCCAGCCGGGAAATAGGGAAGCTTTGCTGGTCAGAATTTCCAAGCTGGCCGAGAGTGACTGAACCTTAAATAGCATAAGGAGAGATGAAATCTTGAGATAATAAGAATCTAAGTTCTGAGAGATATCCTAGCACTAAGCAGTGTCACTGCCCGTAACCCCTTTTCTCTAAAGATATAACAAAGCATGCGCAACAAATGAAGCAGTCCCTTTCTTCTTGATTGGAGTGCTGTTAGCCAAAAATTGGATATGCGGGCCTTGTTTGTGGATGTGCTGTCAATTAGTACCGAAACGCCAAATACCACAGTGAAATGTACCATGACATGGTCTGAAAGCCCCTTCCCCTTACTGGACGTGAGGACTAACCACGTGGCCCATCGCCTAAAAACCTCTGAAAGAAGCCTCCGATTCAAAAATGACTGGCCGTGTAATCAGCTACATACTAAAGCTACTACTGGCGCTCTCTACGGGTGAAGTCTCATTGAGGAAGGCAAGGATCTTTAACTTCACAATGTTATCAGATAATCTGACTCAAATACTAAGCCCTAATACAGCTCTACTCGCTGTCAGCCGTTTCTCTAGCTGTTCAGCAAGTATGTTACACTTGTGAACTATGTCTGTATACTGAGTGACACGAAAAAAAGTACCTTGTGTCTCCTCCTCCAGGGCTATTCTAACTAAGCGGTGGTGTTTCTTTCTAGTCTTTTGAATAATATCTTCTAAAAGCTTACAGTACTCCTCCCAGTGTTTAAGGACATAACAAGCTCCATACTGACTGAGGTCGAGAAGCCGCTTACTGGTTTCCGTTACCAAAATGTTATATTCCTCTACCATAAGAAACAGCTCAATATTTATTTTGGAATCTGCCGCACAGCACATAGATTTAGCCTCTATATTTGCTGACCTGGTCATAACGAGAATGCTATCAAGAAAGCTCTTGATAATTATAAATATATAAATATGTGCGCTAGATATATAGGATAAAAAAGGAAATAGTGTTAGATATTGTTATAATGAATAGTATATCGGCACGAGTATTATAGCACCAGATAACTAATTATGTAAGAAATCAGAAAGTAACATACACCTCTTTTATTTTCTAGCGCTTGCGAAGGTGCATAACGGCCAAAGGCCAAATGCCTGATTTCATAGTATTTGGTGCCTGAAGATGCCTAGGGATGCGTTATTTCAGACCGCTGTTCGACACCGCTCTATACACTGTATTGTAAATGAAGCTATTCCCATCTCCAGCCATCGCCACCTGCACCCGCAATTGAAACAATACTAATGCGCAAGCAAGGTCGGTCGCAGACACAGGAGGTAACTACTTCGCCACGTTGGGGCCAGCGGAGGAGGCCCCGGAGGTGAATAGTTGTGCGATGGAAATAGCCTCATAGCCAGGTCGGGGGAGGGGGTCCATGATGTTTTAGATAGTGCGAATAGCTTCATTTTCATTCAATTGCGACACTTGAAAACCTATAAGAATGCTGCCCTCTCATTAGTCGAGCTGAAATAGAGCAAAAATAGAGAATTGGATGGGAATAGCTTCAACGACAGGTCTTGGGGTGTATGTATATATATGGTGGGAACAGCCTCATTCTATTGAACTTTAAGACTCAGGCAATTTAGATACTTTGCTTGATAAGGCGCGTGTCATAGTAATTCGAGTATTTTGATTTTCTGCCAGATTTAAATAAGGGCATTACCAGGTATCTTCAGGCACCAATACTGACAATTCAGGCATTTGGCCTTTGGCCGTTATACACCTTCGCAAGCGCTTAATCTGAACTTATATGTGTGTATTATAGTACACAAAGGAATTAAAGGTTTCGCAAGATTTGAATTCTTACTAAAGACACCGCCAGCCGTGAGACTTCTTAAAGATAATGGTAGCCTGTAAGATTGGCAAGGTAAATAGCACCTTATTTACTGTCAGACTATGAAGGAAGACTCCGAACACTCACTAAAGGTCTTATAGACTTCTCTTAAGTGTCTAGCTGGCGCTTGAAATAGTTTTCCCTATAGATACAATTTATCGGAAGAGAAAGAGTATAAAACTACCCTTATTTAGCTATTTTGACAAAAGGTAAGTCTCTGCTCTAATTTCTTCGAGTGTCAAAGGATAAAGAACATGAGAAAAGGTATCATCTTTTTACAGATAAGCACTTTGCTTTAATTTTCAGATAACTTAATCATGGCCTGTAATTGTCTACCCTCTCATATAGTATAACAGAAGACTACACTTGTGACATATATAATTTCCCTCCTACTTTTTTGATGCCTTGGGTTGTATTATTGATATAACGAGAAAACTAAGACAAATAGTAATACTATATTAAGCTTCCTAGACTGAGGTTCTGCACCAACTATAAAAGTTACTTTGACTGGACATATATCATTATACATAAAAGCCTATTTACTCTGTTAATCTACGCAGAAGAGAACGAAAATTGAGTATAAGGTGGTGGATAAACAATGTATTTTAACATAAGGGTTAGAGAAGAGTAATGGAATCTGAATACTTACAACTCAGATCTCATAACATAATCTATTTGATTTTTTAATTATTCAATTATTGACATTCTAATCTGCTAGCACTCATCACGAGCTTACCTCCCAGTCTCATAGTACCACCACAGATTTCAGTAGTCAGTTTTGGGTACATCAGGCGACAATTTAATTCATTTAGATGCAGCAATTTTTACATGTATTGATCCTGTGGCCAATCTCCCTACACCCACTACACCTAGGGGGAGCCCTAGTTGCAGGCCTATCTGCCTGGCTAGACAGTTCGCCCTGCGCACGCGATTCTACTGTAGAAGATAAGAAAATAATCATAGCAGTGCGAAGAATAGAATAAAATATAAATCAAAGAAGAGTGAATAAAACAGTGAAGGGTAATATAGCTTCAATTTATACCTGAGGTTCAATATAGAGACAGCCGTAGATAAAATAAGTAAAGAGACTATTCCTGTGGCGCTACATGACAAACACAAGTCTTTGTTTTCAATTACAATTTTTGTTGTCATATCGCCCTTTCAATCTGTTCTAGGTTGGCCGAGCCGGGAATGGGGAAGACACCTCAAGAAGCTTCAGCTTAGTAGACCATCAAAAAAAGGTTCCGCTGAAGCACTGTTGTGGGGCTGAGTGCCAATTTTGGCATAGGCCGGATGTAGGCTGGGTGCTCAATAACGGCCTCTGATCAGTCTCTGAGTAATCACAGAGCAATCACTGACACTATAGTGACTTAAGTATCAGCAGAGAACCTATTGTGCCACTCTCACTATTAGCTCTCTGCCTATAGGCATTCCACTATCTGGCTCAAAGAACATCATACATGCAGGGTAGGTCAAAGCTTAGCAAATCCATGGATTGACCTGAGTGTTAGAAGGCAAAGCGGATTAAGCTTTGATCACGGGCTCGAGTTGATCGGCAATGTTTACGTCTTCTCCAACACTTTTGCTCTTAACTTGTGCTTCATTTTCCAGCAACTAAAACATCGATACTGGTAGGCTATGTTGCGTTATGGTTGCGTGGTATGCGGATGCCAGATCCATCGCCATAAGCGATATTATGTGGACTGGTGGATGGAATTCCGAATAAGTATGGGCCATCTATGTATTTTGAATCCTTGACCTAATTTGTATAGTCTACTCCGCCCCCGAAGGCTTTTTTATCACTGGGGTGGGAAGACAGAATGATCCAGACGCCGAAACTTTCCGCGCCCCATCCAATCCGTTAAAGCGATGGGACAACGATGACTGCGAGCCTCAAGTAGTCATCCCTGTGACTTTACAAGACGCACACAACGGAGTCCATGGATTTCCTGTCCATGAATCTTGTTGGATTCTTCTTCAGGATTTCTTCAAACCTCACGATGTTCCTTTGCGTCGGTTTGTGGAAATATGTGAATCCTTGCCGTTTGCTGATTGGCTGAAAAACGTTTACTGGGGCCATACTTACAATGGCCTTTGCAAGATTTGCAATATAAGCTATCCGTGGTATGCACACTTGTCAGGTCCAGCTTATGGATTGGACGTAAAGTCATACGTTTGTTATGATCCATTAAACATTCCAGAAGCTACTTGGATATCGAAATCGTCTTCTTTCACGCCTTACACGTCGATCGAGAAACGACCGGTGAGGGACCGCTTTTCGCGAGACTGCTTTTGGAAGCTTCCCTGGGAGCTACGTGAGGTTCTAGCAATTTATCTACCGACAGAAGACGCCCTTGACCTCCGACGCGCATCAAGCGCATTTATACCCCTTCTGAATAGCCAGACGTTCTGGGCTTCCCGGTTCTGCCGCGGAGGCGACCGAGATTTCTTTTTGGAAGCTCAAGGCAGCTGCGAGCCTCGGGATTGGCTTAGACTATACCGCATCACCGGTTCTTCGCAATGTTCGCCCGGGCTTCAAAATCGGCGACGGATCTGGCCACTACTTCGACAATTCTCTCAACTATTGTCTCTACAAGTAAGTGATACCTTAAGCATACCTCGAGAAGTCCTCCATACGCAGCAGTCCAATTGGGTGTCGGTGACTGGCGAACTTTTACAAGACGCATCAGGAGAACCACCTTTTGCCATTTGGTGCCGTCTTGATAGAACATATCGAGCCCTTGTCCCACGTAACATCACCAGGGTTGCAGTCTCACCGGTGGGTAGTGGTAAATACGGGTATATCACTGGAATACGCTTTATATCTGCTAGCGGCGAGGTTATCAGGTTGGGCTATATATCAACGGGTAATGAGACTTTTGTAGAAGTCTCTCAGCTAAATGGGTTCACCTTGGCAATGGCACCTGAGGGCTTGAAGGGTTTAAAGATCATTGATAATGGCTTGGAATCCCGATGGGTCGGATTTCCTCTCGACACTCCAGTCACTGAGCGCTTAGCTACATTCAAATCGATCGAAGCTGTGGAAGTTGGTGTTGATGTATGTCTTGTCTCTCCGATAGAGTATTAGGTATATTTATATGGTGATTACTAACTCAAAATCGAATTAGGCATTCAAAATTGTCACATTCGCTGCGGCAGGACCGCGAATGAAACGTCCAGCGCAATTTGTGACCTCTCGCTTTTGGCAACAATCAAGCTTCCTGTGGTATCCATCGACACCAAGTCCAGAGCTATATATAAGCAAGATGTCCTTGACTCGTCTTCGCCAAAGAAACCCTCAATATCGAGCATTAGTTTGGGCTCCATTCGGAGGTTCCAAAGGGGCCAATCTGCAGTATCTAACGGAAATTCGTCTGATCGATAGTCGTTATTATCTATGCAGTATCGAGTTTCACTATGACCAAGCTGAACATGCGATCGAGACTGTCAAGCTTGGCCAGCATCAACCGATGATACCTTTCAATGAAGGCACTCGGTTTTCTATCGATGGGCACGGCGGGGAACACATTCAAAAGGTTTTCGCAAGCACTGAGCGCCCACAGGAATTGCCAGAAGACGAGTTTCACAATGTCGAACAACTCCACTCAGTCAAGGTAGGTGCTTAATACCTATTAGAGCCTGAGTCCTGACCGCGATGCGTAGATCACAACGAATACTGGAAGATCTGTACACTTCGAACCGGAAAAACCCTCACGGAACCGGGCTGGTCCCACTGTAATATCCCGTTTAAGGGAAATTAAGATCGCGCCTGGAACAAAAATCACTGGCTTGTATGCCGAACAGGTAAGTTCTCGCTTCTTGGTGATGAAAATATGCTGAAATGTCAATTTACAAGGGCCATCGATTCGGCCTCCTAGCCCTTGGTGTAATTTCTGAGGTAGTCTAAAGGGAACTTTGGTAAGATGAAGGGCATGGTTAGATTGAACCACTATTTCGACCCGAGGAATCCTCAACGACTCCTCGATTTGCTTTATCAATTTTTTAACTAATCAATAGCTCCAAGGACTTTTCTATTTGATCAAAATACCAAGCTGAGCCTACAAACACTTTCTTTCCTTCCTTGTTGGCTCTACAGGTTTTGGTTCGTGTAAGTTGAGATTTGTGTCGCGCGGGTGAACATGTAGTCACACGGGCACTGTAATTTATCGAGAAAGGGCAAAATAAGTTGAAAAACAAATTTAGTCAATAGGCTGAACGCTATGCGTAGTAAATGTGGTAAAGCGCCCTCAGGTAAAGCAAATATGCTAATGGTTCTTCAGAATCTCGTCCAAGATCCTTTGATCGGTTTGATCTTGTATCAAATGCCGGGGCACACCAAGCTCCATGCCATCTGGATACCAATCAACGACCTAATTGAGATGATCGTTGTATATGTAAGCACGCATATAAGTAATCGCTGATTTGAGCGGTGCCCTCCTCCCAAACAGATTGGCGTGTTTCATGACCGGCCCTTTTGCATTGTACAATTAGGAACTTAGTCGCCCTGGGCGCATTTCCCTGGTAGTGAAATGTGTGTAGGTCCGAAAACCCCTTTCCACCGGATTGCAGGGTGTGCTGATCCTGGGGTCTGGTCACATAACCCTGAGTGATGGGGAATTGAAAATTCAAAATTGCGTTCCAGACTCCATAAATAGTTGACTCCGGATCGTTTCTTCTGATACGGTTGAACTCTTGCGAGATAGCATGGTTGGAGAGATACTGAGACCAGTTAGAGACTTCAACATGCAGATATGGATGCTTTATGACTCACGGTAGGCATTTTGGAGCTTCGTTGTGGGAAGAAAAGAAATTGGTTTGGTCTGAAATCATGGATTATTTTTAGTATTGCACGATGAGGCTTTCTATATACTTTTGCTGGCTTATTGTCTACCATTGTGTCTTGTCAAGGTGGATTTTCAATGGTAGAGAATTATCAATAGGTATTTTCCCCTACTGTGTACCAGAGCAGACATCCTATTGCAAATAGGATCAATAACCTAGCATCCACTATTTTCCCCTGATTTGGTCATGTTATGGCTCAGCGTTTGTCAATAACCAAGTAAAAATCACTAAAATACGAATTATCATTCAGCGATGTATAATAATTCAATACATTGAGTTCAATCTATGAACTTTTTATTTAGAACATTTCTATTCAAAAAGCAAGGTTGTTATCAATATAGATTCTTGTATTGACATTGTTTAAAATCCAATAACACTTCGCATGCTATTGTTCGGTTTCTACATCATCTTCACCCCCGGATTTAGGTCCCTTATTGTGGGGTAAATTGCCCCAGAAAATGCAAAGCTCTCGGCATATGGTCCTATAAAAAACGAAGTTCAACAGGATTACTATAATATCTACTCTACTTCTATAAGACCACCAGCTGCTCTCTATCTCTCTATGCAAAATTTAGATCCTTCCACGGGTCATTCTTCTGAAGGCCCATTTGACTCATTCATCTGACCATTATTGCCATCTCTTCGAGCCACTAAAGCTAAAGACACAATGTCCCAACTTAGCAAGTCTGATGATGACTTTCTCCCTGCGCGAGCAACAACCTTCAGTTCCGATTTGATTTACCCAATAGCGCAAAATCTGCAACCGCGGAAACGGTCCACAACGACGGAGCAATCAAGCTTCTAACAAATTACAGCGGCGATGAGAACTAGACTGAATGAAGTAGACAGATGAGAATCACTAGCCTGAAAATAATCCGAGGTTGGTAAATATTTTGATGTAGTGAGATATCGAGGATTGTGCATTAGTCTATTGTGAAAGGCTTCAAAATGTATAAGACACCTTCTATATTTTATTTTTTTTGTTAATTCTGTCGTACTTTCGCTGCTTTTCCCACGATTCGGCATTAATTTGTTGATTTGGAGCTTTGAGGTTTCCAAGCCGCGTCGTCAGTCCAACAGTATGTACCTGTCGGAGGATGATCTAAACTCATCCGGTATTGACAGACCTTGTCAGCGGGTTGTACACTAGTGACCACGGAGAGATCATCGTAAAAATTCCGGGGAAAGGAAAAGATCGTAATGTGACAGTGGGATCTGGTATGCGTCTAGATCTAAATTAGTTAGGTTTTGTAATGATTATTTTTAGTACTAATAAATTGTTCGATGCTCGCTATTTTGACCCCTCTTTCAATATCGATTAAGTTCAGCACAAATGGTGTAGTATTCTTTGCCTCTTCAGAAGTGCAATATTGAGACACTAACACAACAGAAGTAAAAGTCGTGATAAGGGTGATATATAATAGATTCAAGAAAAAGATAACAAGGTATCTGTCCCTACGTCCCTGCCTATACTCGAACAGCCTCATCCTAATATAAGCTCTATGTCAACGAATCAGCAGCCACATGTAAGCGATTCGATCAGCAAACAAGAGAACCTTGAAAAAAGCAAACATTACGCAAAGCCCCCCAGAGTGCATCGCCACTATTCTAGCCAGGTCGATGGCTCCGCATCAATATCGATTACTCTCCACTAATAAACACCAACCTGACGCTACATGTACACTTTTGACATGTCATTCTAGATTGTTGGGGTCTTGAGGTCATTTCCACCACCGATCGGGCGCCACTTTTCCGCTGTTTCTGGTAAATTTTCAAACACGGGGTGCATTGTTCATGCAGCCTGCTCCACACTCGTGCTTTAGCTGCCTGACCTGCCTAATCGGATTCGTTCGCTACTGCATTCCTTGCTCAGATCTCACCGCACGTCATATGAGGAGAACCCGTACCTGGAAAGTCTCCCGGGTAGCCTAGAACAGCTGTGACGAGGCAATCATAATCCATCGATACTTCAGTGGTTCCCAAGTTTCAGCTGAACTGTGATCATCTGAAGTTGCCGACAGGATGACGCCCCGTTGGTGGCTGAAATACAAACATTTGCCGTTGTGTACTTTTGCACTTTGTGTCTTTCAATAAAGTGTGCATGGTGCATATGTACATAGGTATACTTGACGTGGAATGTTCTTCTTTAGGTCCATCCCCGCATCCCCGGCTTGTGTGTCCAATGTTGATCAACGTTCGAAATAAAATTGCAAGATTTAGTCGAATCATATAAATACCCAATCACGAAAAACCAACAGAAAGAAGAAAATAGTCAGAAAAGGCCCCCCACGTGACGCATTCCAAAACAGGCAACACGCAGTTGGTTGTGGATTTATTTTCTCTTCAAATCACTTATTGTTGCCTGCATCTCCACATGGTCGTCTCCAATTTGTCTTTCTTCTTGTACTTCGATGCTCAATCTGTTCTTTATCTTGATTTTTGAGGTCTTTGTCAATGTTTCTAGCTAACACATTCTTCCGTCGACGTGCGGGTCCTGACCCCGCCATTGATTCCCACGCCTCAAACCAAGTGCCTCTATACACAAACGCAGCTTACTACCCCAATTGGAGGATCTATCGAAAGGAACCTCCGTCATCTTTAAGATTGGGATTCATTTCACATGTGTACTATGCATTTGCCTGGTATGTACAGTCAATCGCCGGTCTGAGTGCCTCACCTGCTAATCTCGAATTGGCTTCTTGTAGGGTCCAAGAAGATGGCACTGTCTATGTATGATCAAGTCACCGTTTTATTGGATTTGTTCTTTGTTGATGGATTATAGTTGAGTGATGAATGGGCTGACACCCAGATGCCTGTTGATGGCGCCGAGGGTTGTCTGCGGGCTTTTGTGCAGTTAAAGCAGCAGTACTCTGCGATGAGAATCATTCTTTCCGTGGGAGGGGGTGGGAAAGGCAGTGAAAACTTTGCTGCAGTAGCTCACAGTCGCTCTCGGTTGGACACTTTTGTCCGAACCTGTCGAGAGTTGGTGGATCAGTTTGGGATCGATGGAATCGACGGTGAGACCCTTGTTTCTGATCTTTGACGTTGGGATTCAATTTGAGCAATATACTCACTTGTATCTGCATGCAGTTGACTGGGAACACCCCTCGGATCCAAAGCAGGGTAAGGATTATGTTCGTTTGCTCGCCCGACTGCGTGAGGTGCTGCCCGCTCCACGATACGTGCTTACCACCGCCCTCCCTGCTGGTCAGTGGGCATTGAAAAACATCGATCTCTCTGCGGCGGCAAAGTACCTAGACATGATCAATCTCATGACCTATGATTTCGCCGGGCCTTGGGAATCCGAAACTGGTCACCAAGCGCAGCTTTATGGATCGGGTGTCTCTGGCGATTCAGCCGTGTCTTACGTGGTGTCTCAAGGAGTCTCTCGTCGAAAAATCATTCTGGGTGTTCCGGTCTATGGACGGTCTTTCCTGGGCAGCAATGGGCCTGGTCAACGCTACACTGGACATGGTGGAGAGGAAGGTGTCTTTGATTATCGTGATCTCCCCCGACCGGGAACCCAAGAGTACCATGATCAAGGAATTGCTGCGGCATGTTGCGTTGGGGCTGATGGAGGATTTGTGACTTATGATACCCCGGCCACCGTGAAACAAAAGGCCGAGTTTGTGACTGCTGAAAAACTGGGTGGTCTGTTTTACTGGCATGTTTGCTCCGATGCCCGTGGACCGCGCAGCCTGATTGAGACTGGATACAACACGCTACATGAAATGTGAATGGCCTCATTCCAGGGCTGGTTTCATGATCAAAATCAAGTCTCGGACTGGTACGGTGGAGTTCTGATTATATATCTTTAGGACAGGGGGTTAGTTGACTCTCGATGAAATCATCGAGTTAATAAGGAATAACACTACTTCGCTATGAAGAACCAATTTTTTACCTGCAAGCCATGAACTTTTATAACCCTACAGCTCCAAGAGATGTATAACCAAGGACTGTGCACGTACATATACGTCGGTGTTTTCGCGGAGCTCGAATTTGAGATCATGGGACAACCGAACGCCGAGGTACAATTTTTAGGAGATTACGCCCCGCATTTCCGTCTTCAATACACCTGGAGATACTCATTTTCTTAGGAAAATCTTTCGTTCTGACATCTAAGCATTCTCGCCATGTCATCCTCTCAGCCCGCGACAGCAGATAGCGGCTACATCACCGAGCCGGTGCCTTTAGAGAACACCTACACTTCGGATCCCAGTCTCCAACGGGCGTTGTCCTGTGAGTTTCAATTTCTATGGTTGATTGAATCACTATTGAGTTCCTTCCAGGGTATCTGCCATCTAGTACTTTACAAAGTGTACAATCGCATCTCACTCAGCTCGGTGCCGAGGCTATCTCCGAGCGGGTCCGTGAATGGAGTGGTGATGCGGAGCGAAATGTCCCATATGTGAAGAGTCACAACGTGTGGGGGAAAAGATATGATTATGATCGCTTGGTCACTACAGACGGGTGGAAACAGCTTGGGAAATGGGGTGCTCGTAACAGGTATGTCTCTTAACTCGCTGGATTAGGACCATTTTCTGACTAGTTTCGATTAGAATCGTTTCGGCAGGGTATGACCAGAGCTTAGGCGTTGATCGAAGGACTGTTCAATATGCACTGTGAGTTTGTCTAGGTAGTTTGATGCAGTGAATCAATCGGGCAAGTCACTCACTTTGCGGCTGCAGGAACTATCTGTATGCTCCCTCTTCTGGACTCTACTCCTGTCCCATCAGCATGACGGATGGAGCTGCTTTTATCTTGTCGTCAAGAGTCAACAAGCTGCCCTCGACACATCCCTTCCAGGCTGCGTTTCAAGGTCTGATTTCTGAAAAGGATGACCACTGGACCTCAGGCCAATGGATGACTGAAAGAGCCGGCGGAAGTGATGTTCAAAACACCGAAACTTGGGCGACTTATTCACCACTGGCCAAGTCAGGCTCCGATCCCCTAGGTGATGGTGACTACCTGGTCAGCGGCTTCAAGTTCTTCTCCTCGGCAACCGATGCCAATCTCGCTCTATTGCTTGCGAAAACTCCATCTGGAAAGCTAAGCACGTTCCTCGCACCACTGCGACGCACTGTGGTGGGATCTGATGGTGTCTCAAGGGTGGTGTCTAATGGCGTCAGAATCCACCGCTTGAAGAACAAGCTCGGCACCAAAGAATTGCCTACAGCGGAACTCGAGCTGAAGGATATGCGAGCGCATCTCGTCGGTGAGCTGGACCAGGGCGTTGTCACCATTGCACCTCTGCTCAACGTTACGCGCGTTCATACCTTCATTGGCTCGCTGTCTGGTTGGCGCCGAGCTATCAGTATCACGAAGAGTTTCGCGAAGGCGAGAACTACTGTTGGCGAGCCCCTGTGGCTGATTCCAATGCACTTGCGGCTTTTGGCAGACCTGGAGGTAAAGCATCGGGGCGCAATGAATCTTGCCTGGTTTACTGTTGCTTTGTTTGGAGTGGTCGAAGACAAATCCTCGGCATCCACTAAGCTTGCACATATACCTCAACCTGGAAAGGAGGCCGATGTGGTTTTCCGTACGATGACTGCCACCGCGAAGGCAGTCATTAGTAAGATGGCTACTGTGGGAATCCAAGAGTGCCAGGAATCTATGGGCGGAGTCGGTTATATGGATGAGGCTGACGAGCCCGAATTCAATATCTCTCGAATCTTGCGCAATACTGCCGTCAACTCCATCTGGGAGGGCACTACCAATGTACTTGCTAGCGAGTTCGTTCGGTTCCTTATCAAGAAAGACAACCTTCAAGTTTTCTCGGCATGGTTTGAGAGGACTTTGGCCCAAATCCAGACTACGAGCATTCGTGATGCTATAAGCGCTTCTTGGTCTACCCTCCGGGCTCGTTTCACGATTCAGGATCCTGCTTCAACTGTAGCCGATGGCCGCCGCTTTATATTCACTCTTGCTTGGATTTTGTCGGGAGCCCTTATGGCCCTTGATGCTGAGCGTGATAACGACCCTATAACGACAGAGATCGCACGTCGGTGGGTTTTGAGTGGCGAGGGTGGTGTGGGAGACCAAGTTTTCCACGATATTGTGACGGTCAGGGACACTATTGGCGCTGTCTCTGGGGGAGAGGAACACCTCCAATGGGATTGCCGTATTGCCTGGGGCGTTGACCTGCCAGCGAACCGCGCATCTGGTCATAGATCGTTGCAAAAGGCAAGCTCTAAGCTTTGAAGCAGTCAAAATCAAGGTTGAAGGTATATTGAAGTGATTTAGTTATAGTCTACTACAGGGCTATAGTATAATCCTAATCATGATTGTCTTGTTCGTACATATAGCGCTGTTTCCTTATGACCATCCACACCATCCTTGAAACAGTAATTTTAATACAGGAAGTTCTCACCTTTTCCAACATCAACTGGGAAAATTTCTATCATACGTTGAGCAACCAAGAGCCACTCCAGTCAAACCCGGCCCCTTCCCAATTATTACTGAAAGGATCCAAGCTAACATCAATAGAGGCAAAGTCATAATTATCCACCTGCTGTCCCGGCGGAGCATCAAGGGACCGAAGCGTATCATTCGGATTTTGAATATCTGCCAAATTGCAAGTCGGCGCAATAACTCTGTTCCCGCTCACAGACTCAGACGAATGTCCAATGACCTGCCACTGTTTGCACAATCTTGTATCGAAGCCTTCGAAGAAGGAGGCTGCGTCTGGATCGAGCCTCGGCGACGGTCCTTCGAAGGGGCCTTGTTCTCGGACTTTCTCGGTCAATTTGTTCAGGGCGCGCAGAGGTCCGACTGCCGAGAGCCACCGCTCGGAAAGTTTTTGCAGGGACAGTTTCATGACGGTTAATTCGTGCTCTGCTGTACTTTGGAGGTGGGCGTAGCGGCAGCTAGAGAGTAAAGAGAGGCCCGCGCATAGGGGGTAGAATGCGAAGACCGGGCCTAGGTATCGGAGCTCGTCGCGGAGTAGGAATTCTTCGTAGATCCCGGCTATGAAAGATGATGCGACCAGTGATGCTGGGGGTGGTACGCTTCCCGGTGTAGGTGAGCGATGGAGGATAGTAAGAACCACGAAGTACATGACCAGCAGCTGTTGGACTTCGAGGTTGCAAATCACCGCATCTTCTTGGGCTGCAACAGCTGATTGCAGTTTTGGAATAACTTGTTTTGCCCATCTGTAGACCGCATTCTCGAGATCTACCTGGCGTTGGCGAGAGATCTCTTGTCGCAGATGGGACTCGACTGTATCACCAAGAAGTCGAGCTATTGTACAGTATCCCAAGAATAATTGAGTTTTGAAATTGTTCACGGGAAAATCGTTGAGTGATGGCGGTAGTACATCACTGTCGCGCAGGTTGATGGTTCGCGGCCTGCCAACGCCAACGGAGATGATATTGTCTCGCACCTGTAATTGTTAGCAATTGCTCGCTTTTAATGAACACTGCGTCTTCCTTACCACCAGAGACCACCACAACCTTCGCCGCAGACCCCGATCTCGAGAACCCGCCGGCGGCTCCTTATGCAGCCCAATCTGAAAGGCCATTGCCCCAGCGGTTCGAATCCAAAATCCACTGGTATCTGTAGAAACATCCTCAGGCCCAACAGGATTATACCAATGCAAGAGACAAGCAGCCACAATAGAAATGAGAGGATTATCACATCCACCAAAGAAAAACAGCAACTTTGCACGGCGGTAAAACACCTCGCTGGACCCGTAGTCCAAATGCGCTTTGGACACTCGACTCCCAGCGAGGAAAATCGCTTGCAGTAGTAACATTGACGGCGGCGCACTATCGTCCAGCCACTTCGGGTCAACGACGGGCGTCCACGGCGCACAGTGCGTGTTGAAACTGGTCATCAATTCTTTTTGGACGGATTCTGGAGGCAACTCGAAGGCATTTTGGTCGCGCAACATCTGTAAATCGGTCGCTGATGCCTTGGGGTTGGTATATGTTGTCTCGCGACCGGGTCTGACCATATTTTCATCGAACGGCACGCTGCCGCCTAGGTACTCACTGCGGCCGCGATAACTCTCTTGTTTGATGGGTGGTTCAACATGGTGAGATATGTTGAGCGCTACGCTGTTTTCAACTGGATTTTCTCTTTGAGGCCCGCTCAAGGAGTTTCGCGATGACGCGTCTGGCGACTCGGCGGGAATTTGTGAGCCCCGAGGAGTCTGACTCAAAGGCGCAGAGCTGGATAAGTTCCGTCCTGGCGACAGACTATTTGTGAATCTCTTGCGCTTTCTTGTATAAGGCCTGGAAAGAGTCAATCGATGACTCTTTGCATCTCGGATCTACTTACATGCACTCCACATTGGACTTTTTGCAGTTGGTGCATGGGTCTTGCGTCGCAAAATCGCACCTCACCTTTAAGCACCAGCGATCAGCAATTAAACACTACCATAACAGACTAACCTACCTTTCTCTTATGACAAATGATACATGCCGAAGACATGACCGCAGATCCGCTTGATAGTTGGAGGAGGTCAAGTGGGGTATTGCCGAGGTCTCTTCTCTATAAAATGTTCACGGCTATACATTTCATCTGTCTCTTCACCAATATTCCATTCCTCTCAAAAGATGGCAGAATCAGATCGGGTGACGATAGATACTTCATCGGAAGGCATCTCAGTGATTACAATCAATCGCCCGCAGAGAAAAAATGCTGTCGACCCCTTGACCGCGAAGGCGCTCTACGAAGCCATCCTCGCATTCGAGGATGATACAAAACAAAAGGTGTGTGTATTGACCGGCGCTGGAGATACTTTCTGTGCAGGAGCCGATCTGCACGGCGTTGCGCAGGCAGATCATGATGCATCCAGTGAGAACCTCCAGCCTGTCGACGGTCGCAATTTGGGACCTATGGGTCCATCCAGGATGATTGTGAAAAAGCCGGTTATCTGTGCTGTCTCCGGATACGCTGTTGCAGGGGGCTTGGAGTTGAGTCTACTTGCAGACATGCGCATAGTCGAAGAGGATGCCGTCTTCGGTGTCTTCTGCCGGCGTTGGGGGGTACCTTTGATTGATGGAGGAACTGTTCGTCTACAAGCTATCGTCGGGCTTGGTCGTGCTATGGACATGATATTAACCGGTCGCCCTGTAGGAGCTCAGCAAGCACTAGCTATGGGGCTGGCCAACCGGGTGGTTCCTAAAGGGGATTCTTTGAAGGAGGCCATTGCGGTAGCGAAAGAGCTCATCGCTTTTCCAGAGCTTTGCCTCAATACAGACCGCCAGTCTTGCTATTACAGTGCTTACGAGGCTTCCTCTTTCCAAGATGCTATGTCTCAAGAATTCAATGCTGGAAAGAAAGTGATTTCAAAGGAAGGCATTGCAGGAGCTGCTAAGTTCAGCAAAGGCTCAGGAAGGCATGGCAACTTCAAAGATCACAGCAAGCTGTGAATAATAAATAAGAGACACTCAAGGGGAAGGGAAATTGCATTAACAAATTATTTGTTTGGATATATCATCCAGTATGGCCGGTGGCTGCTCATACCATGAAGTTTTATAATAATACAACTAAGGCATTTAAATATATTTATGCCATAGGACGAAGATTCTGGAACCCATCATGCTGAGCCTCTAGTTAGTCTTCTTCTCGGCGTCGCCCTCGTCCTCCTCCGTGAACCGAACACGCTTGCCAAAGACGAGCGGTGTGCGAGCGACAAACCCGCCAAGGGCATACCCGAGGTAAGCTCCAGTGAGGATCGTGATCGGGAATGCCTGCCAAGGTCGGTCCCTTCAGATACCGAGTTAGCCTAAGACTAGCGTGAGGGCCAGTAGATCGATGCTACATGACTTACCAATCGAGAGGAATAGGAATAGCGCCGAACCACGCGCCCAATCCGGTGCCCAGTGCGCTACCCCAAACTGCATCGGCGGGCCGAGCAATCCCCCAAACTTCGTTCCAGACTGACCGGTCCAAGCCATGGGTATAAATCAGAGCCATTGCGGATAGAACGGCCATGTGGGCGGCACCCAGGATGGTCTCACAATTGTGCGTCGTGAGGGGGGCGCCGAAAAGAACGAGGAGAATGGCCAGCACCGGGGTGGCTATGGCGAATGTCAGGGCGAGCGAGAGGAAAGCCGGCTATAATCAATGTTAGCACTAAGAACGCGGGGCTTGCTCAATTCAAGGGGCAGCCCTGTACCAGTAGTCGTGACCAAATGCAGGTCCAGCTATTGACATGCTGCTTGCGCTTGCCGTGCTTCCCATTGCGCGATGCACCACTACCTCCCGGCGACCGAGGGCTTGACTTGCCATCTGCCGCAGGCGTGTTGGTCTCTATTGACCCTGCGGGAGGCAGACAGATAATCACGTAGGTGAGTTGGATCAGGGTGAGCCATGGCAGAGTGGAAAGGAGCTCCTTGGTGGGGTTTGTAACCAATGCTTCGAAGCGAGTCGCGCCCAATGCCAGGAGTAGTGCTGGGTGGACGATCGAGTAGACGCGGGCTATCGGCGAGGAGAGGATGTTGACTGGGGGAGCGGAGGGCTTCTCAACGGGGGCTTGGGGCGTTCCCCCTGGTGTGGAGATTTCTGAGGCCATTGCGCAGGTTGGAAAAACAAACCTTGAAGAGCTCCGGCTGATTCGGGATGGAGATGGGTCTGAATTCAAAGGTGTTTTGCCGATGAGTGGTGTTGGCCTTGTTGCCTTGTTGCCTTAATATATGGGTGTCAATCTTGCCTCATCTGGCAAATGAGCTTCAACTTCTATACTCCGTACAGAACTTTCAATTTGTTCCAGGTAGAGAACTGTCAAGATTTCTCGTACTATATCTTCATCGCTTCACATTCTGTCCATAATTTACCCATGTTTACCTCCCTATAGTAATGCCAGCACATCTAGCTGCGTAAGAACGTTGACACTCATGAACCAAGAGCACTCCGGTAGATTTCCACTTCTTGCAAGGATAACAAAACCACAATTAGGGAATATGGATGAATTGATTTCTTCTGACCAAGAATCTACGGCCTGTAAAGAAAAAAATTGAATAAAGAAAAGAATCTTATTCTCGTCATTTGATTGGTAAAAAAACAAGAGATCGCAAGCTCTAAGAATGGGGAAATCTCAAAATCTCAAAACTAGCAGAAAGTTCAAGACAGACAGGCTGCAAACGCAGAGACAAACGTACATTCATACCACATGGCAACATAATCAGCTGAAAGCTGGGTGAAAGATGAAGGACTCGGACCTTGCGAGTGAAAGGGCATCGGGGTGGAGAGTACAAGGTCATTCAGGACAGGGTTGGTTGGACTTTCATCCAACCGCGAAGGGCATGAAGAAATGTCGTAATTTTGAGACTGTTCATCAATGGAAAGACAAATTGTCGCCTTGGGCGAGACACCGAGGCTCCGTGAGTGAAGCCATGTCTTTCGAATGGTCAGACATATTTAGCTTGATAGAAAGGATAAAAACCCGGTCCGCAGAGGAATACTAAGGACAAGAGAGATGATAGTTTCTCAAAGTATTCAAGTAGCTGTGGAAGGCTCGGCAGCTTCTTTGGGCAATTCTTTGGGCAGTTCGCTAGACGCTGCTGGTTCTGAAGCTGGCACTGACTCAGTGGCTGGCAGAGAAGCAGGTTCTTTGTGCTCAAGAATCGGCGCTTCCGCGGTTGTCACTGGGCTATGCGGCTCCTCGGGAATAGATGGAGGAAAACCAGCTCCAGGGAGGGGGGACACGGGCGAGCGAACACTTTCATCCTTCGCGGGTTCGCGTGACGTTTCAATTGAAGGATTCCCATTCGATGATTCGGTGACGATGGGGGATAGGGGTTGGCGGGTGAGGGAAGGATCAGTATCGGAATGGGTTGGGCTCTTTGCACGTTCAATTTCATCCTTCACGCCATCCCGGACTTGAGCGACCTTTGCCTTGAACTTGCCGAATAAACTCTTCTTTTCGGTCTCTTGGCCTATCGAGGCAGTGCTTTGAACTCCTGCATCCAAACTGAGTGGGTGATTTGAGAGTTCAGAATTCTGATACTGGCCACTGCCGATTGAACTCGTGCTGTGCTCTGCTCCAGGGTTTGTGGCTACCAAAGGCGGAGATGAAAGGCCCAGCCCGAGTGACTTGGAGGAACGGTGGAAGTTCCGCCAACTGCGACGGTTTTCGTGACGTTCGTTTCGGGGACCATCTTCAGACTGTTCCAAGTCGGATTGATCGGTGAAGGAAGATCGTGAGTTCATGGACGGAGTACGCGACTTTTTGGGTTTCAAAGAATGGTCGTAGTGATGTTGGGGTGTGCCCTCTGCCAAGGCTGAATTGAACTCGGATGCGCTCTCTCGTGGACCACCAAGTGTCGCGGTGTTCGGAGGCCGAGGAGTGGTGTCACCGACCACTTCCGATTCTTGCTCGATTGTAGGGTGCAACTCCGCACTGTGATCGTTCCCAGAGGCGTGAAGCGAGGTCGTCGAGCTTTGCGCGCTCATGCTTGCACTACCGGGTATGCGCTTCTTTCTGAGCCGGTTGGGCTGGCGAGGCTCTCTGAGGTCACTGTCGGGTGGTGGTGACTTTGTGAAGAAATTCGAAAGTTTGCGTTCGCGAGAAGGAGTGACGACCGGAGGAGGCGAGGCAATAGGTGTGTGCAAGTTCTCATGCGGTCTTGCGATTTCGGTAATACTGAGACGCTCCGCTGCTGCTGGAGGCAATGGACCATGTGTTGAGGTATGGACGTATGCGTTGCCTTGCGTCGCCGAGAAAGAACCTGATAGACCATTTTGGCGTGAATCAGAAGAGGTATCGGGTGTTTCAACAGAGGTTTGCTGAGCGACTGGTTGAGCGACTGGTTGAACAACCGGCTGTTCAGCTAGGTCAGGAACCGGTTGAGCGACAGGTTGGGCAACAGGCTGGACGACCAATTCTGGAGCCAGCTGAGGCGCTGGTTGAGAAATCGGCTGAGGCACCTGCTGAAGAACCGTTTGGGGAGTCGGCTGCGCAACCGGCCGAGGAGCCTGCTGAGGAGCCTTCTGAGCAGCTGGCTGCTCCGGTTCTTCTCGCACGGACGGCGTTCGACTAGTGGACCTCGAACTCTGATGCGAGACCAACAAACCAGAAGGACTGTTGGAACCGGTATCATGTGCCCTAGCATAACGCGCAGAGCTAACGACCGGTCCCATCTTTGAAGGTAGAGTGTTGCTCCGGTGAACACCGCCGGCGCCGCCACTCATCGAGGTCGGCGTTGCAGGGCTCTGAGCGTTGTTTGAGTGACGGGAGTTACGCGACGAAACTGAGACATTGCGACGGATATTATCCAGCTTGCGGTGGCTTTCAGTGTTTGCGCTGGCGTTGGATACGGATCGGCGGACGTTCGAATGAGAGGGGCGCGGGATTCCGGCTTCGACCTCCTTCATGGTTTGTTCGTCGGCGGCTGTGCCGCTCATGCCGAAGAGGAAATGGTCTTGGTTTTCGATGAGGAAGATCAATACGTCTTGGCTGAGTTTGTACTCGTCTGGCATCATGTCGTGGTTAGGATGGGAGATCATTCCCGGTTGGAAGATCGCGGACAAGTTATTAGACGGCATGCGGTTTTGATCGGACTTTGAGGCGAAGACGGCAAGGAGGTCGAGGATGTAGAGGAGGAGTTGCTTGTTCAACGGGGGGAGTTCGATGATCAGTCGCTGATAGGTGTCCACAGCCTTCGCGTGGTCGAACTTGTCGGCGTCGCTCGGCTCCTTTCCTTCTCGGACTTGTTGCTGGTAGATGCGCAAAGGATCACGAAAGCGCTCGTAGAATTCCAAGGGTACAATGGGTTCGGGCAACTGGTTCAAATATCGGCGAAGTACGTTGGCTGCATCGTGCACCGTGTACCCAGTCCAATCCAACCCTTTTCCATATCGCTCGGGGGAGTCGAAGACCTCCTGCAGATCCTTAATGCGCTTGGCCGATCCGTTCAGTCGAAAGATACCTTCCACGTCGGTTGCTATACCCCACACCTGTTAGCTACCACTTATATGCATATTGCGATCGGCGATATCTGCTCACCTTTTTCTTTGAGGAAGACGCCGCATTTGGCAACCACGATAGGCACATATCCATAAATAAAACTCTCTCCGTGATCGTTGGTCAAGGAGATTGCCACATTGGCATACTTAATGCTGACATTAAGCGGAACGCCGAAGATGCCGCGTGGTGGCTCTGCTGCAAGCTGGTAATCAGTATTTGTACCACGGAAGAATACCCAAAATTATAGCAAAGCAATCGTAGAACAAGGTAGCTTCCGACTCCAGCTATACAACCCGTGAGAGCCTCTAGCGCGAGATCATGTCCGGAAGCTCAGGGGGCAAGCATTGTGAAGTCTTCCGATGCCAGGGGTCCATAGGGTATATTCGCTCGGTCGCCTTTGTTCTGAAATCACATTCGCCGGAGATAACCCACCTTTCAATTCATCTTTTCGGGTGCTGCGCTTGAACTGCTTCCACCATGACGCCAAATCTCGTTTCGAAGGCGGGGAGTTGGAAGCGACCGGATCAGGGGAGGTAGTAAGCGGATGAACAGGGTCACCGTGCGATTTGCCGACCGTGACCATGACGAGGTTTTTTTTGGATCGATACTGGGAAGATATTGGGGGGGCCGGGGCCGGCAGAGAAGGTATCGAGGTAATTCCGGGAAACAGTCCCTGCGTCACCGCCTCCCAAACTAGTTGATCTGAGAGAAATACCGAGTCGAGTTATACCAAGTTGGAAAGAAAAAAAGAGATAAACGAGAAAATATTTGAAGGAGGGGGAAAGGGATGAAAGGAAGATACGAAAGGGCTGAAGATGTCAGGGTTTCGAAGGGTTCGGGGGCACGAGCCAATCCATGAAATATGACAGAGCTATTCTTTGTATTTTACTTCTCAGTGTTATAAGGGAGAGCGTAAGTAGGGGAGTACTACGGAGTAAGTATTTTACATATGTTGTTTCCATCTAACTACTCCGTACTCTGTACAATATTGTAATAATTATTCAGGGGACTTTTTTCTATGAATAGCTTGGGTTCCCCGTAAAGACCGTTAATGGGTCAGGTCCTTGTTCAGAATAGATTAATTTACGAGCGCTGTCATTTCATCGCCCCTTTTGATGGCAAATATATTTACCCGCATATGTAACAAGCTACATGTGTACATTTGTATTTTGAATATGTTGAGAATTTCCAGTATCTTCGTGTCGTAGGTGTATGATTCAAGTAAAGGCAAATTCGAGTCTAGAGAACAATTCTGGAACAGATGGAGTTATGGACTCATTCCACCAGTGTCTGGACCCTTTTAGGGTCACTTCAGATCACGTTAGGGCCTTTTGGGGGGGTTTGGAGATTACTCCGTCATCTCCGGTTTCATATATTTCTCCTGATCAGGTACCGATTGTCTACTGTTCCATTTTTTTGAACCTTGGTTCTCTGAATTTTGGGGCAATTACCACCAATCAAGCACCTATCATAGTGATGAAAAGAAATTAGTCCATAATGACACTACACTTGGGCCTTATTCTTGTGCAATATGTATACACAATATGTCTCGGGTGGATCGTATTATTCCAGACGAAAGGGAACAATTCGAGTTATGACCACATCTTATGTGAATTCTACTTGGTCTGGATGTCCTTGATTTGGCCATATTCCCGTTGTCATCTTTTTGATATTACCGAGATTCACCAACAACCTACCTAGGTATGGATCGCTGGATCAGCTAATATTTTCACAAAAAATTATCAAAATTGATCTGAAAGTCTCACAGAAATCTCAAACAGTGGGTATATGCGAAAAAATGTAGTTGATGAGGTCGTCAACGATGCTGTATAGTAGCACGTGACGTCATGAACAATGATTCTCATCACGTGAGTTTATACGTTTATCCGTCGGAGAAATGGATTATCCGCAGAAACATTGAAGCTTCGGAGCTACGCTTGACCAGCGAACCCGTGTTTGAAACCCATCTTCCCATCACCCACATCAATTTATATCATCTCTCACAATGGACGGGTAAGTAACCTTTACAAACCCTTTCTCTTCCCCTGTCTTCCATCCCATTGTTCCCCCAGATCATCCACTGACGACTAATACCATCAGACTTAACGCAGCGGAACAGCGCGAGTTCGCCGCTCGTATGGAGCGGAAGCAGATGAAGGAGTTCATGACCGTATGTTTGTTCCCGACAGAGAAGCCCCTCGGCTCGACTCGTATTCCCTGTTGAGCCCTGGCCCTCCCAGTCAGCCACCTGTCTCCTCCGGATCTAACTTTGTGTCTTTTCAGATGTACTCCAAGATGGTCCAGCGTTGCTTCGATGACTGTGTCAACGATTTCACCACCAAGTCCCTCATCAACCGTGAGGAGACTTGCATTATGCGCTGTGTCGACAAGAATCTAAAGAGCTCCGCCCGCTTGAACGAGCGCTTCCAGGAGCAGAACGCTGCCATGATGCAGTCTGGTTCCATGCAGGGTCGTTAAGGGGTTGTTGTTGTTTTTTGGTTGGAAACATATTACCGATGATTAGCCAATGTTTCCAAAGCATTTGGTGAGTCATTGGGGAATTGAGAAAGGCGAACCGACTCGTTTACCCCGGTTGTCTCCGGCCCGACGGGGGCTTGGGAAACTTGGAGGAAGCATGGTCTGGCCTATAGGCAAGGAAGCAGACAGGATCGGCTTCTTTCCGTGTATCATAGTCAACAGCATTGGGGGCATCACTCTCTGGTGCTCAAAATCAAACAATCTTGATGAAACGAAATCGCTAGTCAACAAGGGCAATCTTGCGGCATACATTGGACCTACATATTTACCCTGTCACCGGGCCCTACTCCTGATTTGATAAATTTGACCAAGTTTAACCTAAATTAGTCTCTATGCCTGAAGGTCTGGGCTGTTACGGTCCGGTATGGGCCGCTTTCTAGCCATGTAGCTAGTCAGTCCCGCATATTTCTGCTCCAGGCTGTTGTAGTTTACTCATTTGCTTCCTCTCTTTCTTTCCTCCCGAATGGCAAAACGAGCATCTGAACTCTCCTCTTGGCCCTTCAAGTTCATGTTCAACCAAGGCCTGTGGAACGTCGACCCTGACCAATGATCCAGTTCAATGGTTCGGGTTTATGGTTAGTTCTTGACACTTATTTTCTCCCTTCTGCTCGATGGGTTTTTCCCAGCAGCAATGTCTCGAACACGAAATACCATTGCCGTGTGTATCAAGGCGAGGTCCTTCCAATATAAAATCTTTCTCTTTGATGACAAAACAGACGCTGCGCTCACCAGACATACAACTATTCTTTTTAACTCCAACCTTGGAACGCTCCTAATGACTCATAAACCAATACTTACTAATTCACCTCGAAATGGAGCATTTCTCGCATACAAACTGTACAAATACCTACGTATCTACCAGGTACAGTGCGGGACCGGGATAAAGCCGTGTCGAGCCGGGTGACTCGGAAGGGCTCCCGATCACGGATGTCTTAGTTGAAAGGGGAAACACACGGCTTATCTTACTTATTTGATTATTTTTGTAAGTGGGGGGGTGTGAGGAGGGTGAGGGGATCCGGATCTCCAACTCTACGGACCGTACTACAATAATCATGACTGTGGTGTATAATTAGGGTATCGTATGTAGTTGTAGAGTTTGTCCGTTGAAGCTGTAGCTTTCTCCCCTCATTGCCGGGTTCCCCACCCCCACCGTGCTCTTCAAAAACCCATCTCCTTCTCTTCTTCCTCTTCTTTCATCTTTTCTTTTAAGTATCTTGAATGTGAGTGCCGTCACTTTTTTTGTTTGCTGATTCTTGGCACTAACATATTCCCAGTCATCTTGGATTGATTATACACAATGGCTAGCACAGTAGGACAGGTAAATAGCTATGATCTCATCGACTTTTTTTGAGAACCTCACTGACAATGAATTAGACCATCACTTGCAAGGTAAGCTCTATATCTCACACACCAGTTCCAGCTTCAATTTCAACAGCAACATCCGAACTCGACTAGAGTACTAATTCCAATAGGCCGCCATCGCCTGGGAGGCCGGCGCGCCCCTCTCTTACGAGGACATCGAGGTCGCTCCCCCCAAAGCTCATGAGGTGCGCATTCAAGTTCACCACACTGGTGTCTGCCACACCGGTAAGCTCCTAGAGATCAAGCCCCGGATCGTTCCGAGTCACTCACAACCCTAGATGCCTACACACTCTCCGGCAAGGACCCCGAGGGTGCTTTCCCCGTCGTTCTCGGTCACGAGGGTGCCGGTATCGTCGAGTCCATTGGCGAGGGAGTGACCTCCGTCAAGGTCGGCGACTACGTCATCGCTCTCTAGTATGTTTTTTGTCCTTTGGCTGGATTCTCGCTTTCGCGCTGACAATTCAATCATAGCACGCCCGAATGCCGCGAGTGCAAGTTCTGCAAGTCTGGTAAGACGAACCTTTGCGGTAAGATCCGTGCTACACAGGGCAAGGGTGTTATGCCTGATGGCACCTCCCGCTTCCGGGCCCGTGGCAAGGATCTCCTTCACTTCATGGGTACCTCCACTTTCTCGCAGTACACTGTCGTCGCCGATATCTCCGTTGTCGCTGTCACTCCTAAGATTCCCACCGATCGCTCTTGTCTGCTTGGCTGTGGTATCACCACCGGTTACGGTGCCGCCGTTGTCACCGCTAAGGTCGAGGAGGGCTCGAATGTCGCTGTCTTCGGTGTTGGCTGTGTTGGTCTCTCTGTGTTGCAGGGTGCTGTTAAGAACAAGGCTGGCAAGATCATTGCTGTCGATGTCAACGATGGCAAGGAGGCTTGGGCTAAGAAGTTCGGCGCCACTCACTTCGTGAACCCTACCAAGCTTTCTGGCAAGACTATCCAGGAGCACTTAATTGAGATGACCGATGGCGGTTGCGACTACACCTTCGACTGCACTGGTAACGTTGGTGTTATGCGTGCTGCCCTCGAGGCCTGCCACAAGGGCTGGGGTGAGAGTATTGTCATTGGTGTCGCTGCTGCTGGTCAGGAGATTGCCACTCGGCGTAAGTGATTTGTTGGACCTTTGTGTTCGTTCGTTTGCTAACCCTCTTTGCAGCATTCCAGTTGGTCACCGGTCGCGTCTGGAAGGGATGTGCCTTTGGTGGCATCAAGGGTCGCACACAGCTCCCCGGTCTGGTGGACGACTACCTCAACGGCGAGCTCAAGGTGGACGAGTTCATCACTCACCGCCAGCCATTGAGTGAGATTAACAAGGCCTTCGACCAGATGAAGGAGGGCGACTGTGTTCGTTGCGTTGTCGATATGAAATAGGCTAAAAGCAACTGATGTGAAATATGAATTTAATTATTTCTTGACAATAGAGGATTCCTGGACACTTTGTAGGCCTGATCAACCAAGGTCCTCAACCCCGCATACCTTGGGGTTTAAGATCTTCACCGTAAAGTAGTAGCTGAAATGATCTTCATTATTAGAACGATATGTACACATGTATATAAATGCTAGTGTATCTCAAAATCTAACGGGTAACAGTGCAACCAGCTCATTATGAAGCAGAGTGTTCAGGGCCACACTTAACGGATGCACAGTATCGGGCAACACACGCAGACCAGATCTACAACAGTCTGAATAAGCACGCCGATTTCGGCCAGACAATCTAATCATTATTGATAAGTTACATGTCTTCAAACTTCAATTGGAGTAAGTAAATGGAGTCTGAGAGGGGCTCCTCCGTTCGCCGCGGGCATCGCCGCGGCGCTGGTATACAGAGGAGTATATAGTCGAGCAGTATGTATGAACAATAGTCCCAAATCGCAAATCGCAAATCAAACCTTCAACCTTCAAACCTTCAATTCTCTTCAAATCGCACTGCCTTCCAAAATGGATCCCAACCCAATCACCCTCCCAACCCCCTTCTCCTCAATCCCCCGAACCTCCCTCCTCCTCGGCCCCTCACCAATCCACCCCCTCCCCCGCATAACAGCCGACCTGGCCAACAACAATCCCAAACCAAAAGTAACCATTTACGCCAAACGCGATGATCTGAATTCCGCCTTCGCCTACGGCGGCAACAAGACCCGCAAACTGGAATATCTGCTTGCCGACGCTCTCGCCCAAGGATGCGACACCCTCGTCTCCATCGGCGGCGTCCAGAGTAACCACACCCGCCAGGTTGCGGCCGTTGCTGCGCGCTCGGGTCTCAAGGCCCGTCTTGTGCAGGAGCATTGGGTCGACTGGTCTGATAAGGGGTATGAGGATACGGGCAATATTCAATTGTCTAGACTTATGGATGCGGATGTCAGGCTTGATCCGTCGGGCTTTGGTATCGAGCATAAGAATACCGCTGCGGCGGTTGTGAAGGAGGCTGAGGCTAGTGGGGAGAAACCTTACTATATCCCTGCTGGTGCGTCTGATCATCCGCTTGGTGGGCTGGGTTTTGCGCGCTGGGCGTTTGAGGTCAGGGAGCAGGAGCAGAAGATGGGTATTTTCTTTAATACTGTGCTTGTCTGTGCGGTTACGGGGTCAACTTTTGCTGGCATGATTGCCGGCTTCAAGCTGTTGGAGCGCTTGTACCCTGATGATCCGAAGCGCAAGGTCATTGGGATTGATGCTTCGGCGACGGTGGAGGCTACTTTTGCGCAGGTTTTGCGTATTGCGAAGAATACGGCGGCTAAGATTGGTCTCTCCGAGGATGATATCACTGAGGCGGATGTGATTTTGGATGATCGTTATCATGCTGGTATTTATGGCATTCCTGATCGTCAGACTTGGGACGCTATTGAATACGCAGCTCGCATGGAGGCCTTCATCACTGATCCTGTGTATGAGGGAAAGAGTTTCGCGGGTATGGTTGATATGATCCGCCGCGATGAGATTGAAGAAGGGAACATTTTGTATGCCCATCTCGGTGGACAATTGGCTTTAAACGCGTACTCTGACCTTGGCCGGACCAAGGAATAGAGTGTTTATACTTACATAACTAGCAATAAATTCATATTACAGTTTACAATGAACATACTGCGACACGTGAAGGTTGTGCTTGCATTGGTAAAAGAGTGACTAAAGTTGGGTTGAGTAAATCAAACTAAAGAATCCAAAAAGGCATCATCTCTAGAACAGCTTGTGCTCAAGGGTCATCTCCGACTCGGGCTGGAGGCCAACACAGGCACGGAAGATGTTGATCAGAGCAGAGCGCTGCTTGCCCAGGGCGTTGACAACTGGGGTACCGGGAGGAGTCAGAGGGGCCTTCAGCATGTAGCTAAGAATGCTAAGAACGCTGTGGAAGCCCTTGTATTCGGCACCCTCGGAGTCAGCCTGCCAGCTGATACGGGTCATCATTTCGGCGAGGATAACCAGATCAATGATCAAGGGCGAGGCCAGCAGCGAGTCCTCGCAGATGTTGAACAAGCTAATAGTCTGGTGACCACCCATGAAGATCTCGGCGTAGTACTCGTCCAGAGCACGCTTGTTGTCACCAACAGCAGGCATGTACTTGATGACGACGGTGTGATCGGGGTGCTCATCCTTCTCGTAGAGGATGTGGTTGGCCGCCACCATGTCGTCCACAACGTTGGACTTGGAGATCTCCTTGGAACGGAACTGCTTCTGGGAGCTCAAGTTCTTGCCGTCGTTGTTGCCCAGGTGGTTGTAGCTGGCAATGGAGGTGAGCTTGATACCGGCGTTGATCAGGAAATCAACCAGCGCAGACTTCATCTTGGTCTGTCCGGACTTGAAGTCATCGCCGCCAATGAAGGCACGGCGCTGCTCAGCCAATTGAAGGGCACCGGGGACAAAGGTGTTCTGGGGAGAACCGTTGATGAAGGGAGTATCCTCGAGGATCGAGGCCACAGCGAACACAGTGGATGGGGCAACCTCCAGGTGACCAGCCTTGATGGAGTTGATCAGGTTTTCGGCAGTGTCGTTGACACCGGGGATAATGTCGGCGTAGCGCTCCGTGTTGGCGGTCCACATGACAATGACCTTGTCCAAGCCGTTGGTAGCCTTGAAGTCACGGATGTCCTTCTGGATCTGCTCCACGTGCTCCCAGCAAGCCTTGTCACCCTTGATGAGGTTATCGGCCCGGTCTTCCTGGTTGGCAGCGATGAAGTCGGGGTAGTAGATACTAGGCAGCGGCTTCATCTCGCTCATCTCCTTGCGGACCTGGTTCTTGAGAGTAGGTTCCAGCACCTGGGCACGGTCCATAGACTCGGCCAAGTTCAGGCTGCTGATGTCCCAACCGCCAATAGCCAAATCGTTCGGGTGGGCCATGGGGAGCAGGTCATGGAAGGGGATGTTGATCTCCTCGCCAGTCTTGGCGTCCGACCCCAACTTGACAGTCGAGCCCATGACAATGGAACCATAGTAGTTGGAGGTCTGCTGGCCATCGCGAGTCTCCCACGAGAGCTTGCGACGGTTGGCCAGAATACCGGCGGTCACGGTGGAACCGTTGTTTCCACCCCAGCCGACCAGCATCATACCGACCTTGCCAACCTTGCGATTGACCTTGAAGTTGTAGTTGGTAGCCTTGGGGGTGGCTACCAGCTTGTTGTCCGCAGTGCGGGTAATCTCAGTAGTCTGATAGGCGTACTTCGACTTGATTTCGTCGTCAGTGTAGACGACATTGGGCGATTGGACAGTAAACAGAGAAGATTCTTGGCGAACCGACCCGTTCAGGGCGCCATTGGCAGCATCCGAGCTAGCGTGAGGAGCCATTGCGATCACAGCGGGATGAATTGAAAGAGTAGAGTATGTGATAGCTTCGCTTTAGCGGATGAAGGGTGCGCAATCCGATGCTCCTCCACGGTTGGATGAGCGTCGGCCGTTGAACGGGTGGTGACGGCTAGTAGTGAAGTTAGTTAACCACTTTCATAGCAGTAAGTAGTCTTGGAGGGAATGAACTCACGAATTAAGACTTGTCGCGAAAATTTTGGCGGTTGTATGTGACCACTGTCTCTACGAGAAGTGATCTGACCTGCTGACAAGGTTTATACGAACCTAAAATAAACGGACAGATGAAGATAATGGTAGTTGGGTTGGGGAGAAGAGAGGGGAGGAAGTGGGCAGGAGGGCGGACTTTATAATATGGGACAACCTCCGCCAGACTCCGGTCCGACTTCCCCCTATTTCCATTATGTTCATATTTCTTAGGGCATTATTGTTATTGCTCTTATTATTTTTATTAGTATTCTGAATTACTTAATTCTGGTTTGCGGAATAATTAGCTTCGAGCTATTGTTCCATTCTTTTATTGGCATTGACTGATCTTGTTCACCGTATTTTCTTCCGCATACATATTGTTTCTGTATTCTACAGCATACACAGATATGTAGTATACTAGACCATGATATCTAGACAATCCTACTATATACTCCGTACGTTGGAGACCATCGGATATTCATAACTAATACATTGATTCCCCGGCAATTTGGGCTCCAGGTTTTTCTGTGCCGAATGATTGCCGTCTGGGGTGTTCCGCTTCCGGGATTCTCTGCCCCTGGTGCCTATACCCACATTCTTTTTTACCGAATACGCAAAATTCAAATTCAGGGGTTGAGAGCATTATTAACATTGAACTTGGTATCTTTCTTTTGTTCTGTCATATTGTTCTCTAATTGATATATGCAATCAGTACGGAGTCCTCCGTATCAAGTATAGAACTCAAAGCAATTGCACATCAAACCCCCATACAATATTGTTTGCAGATCCACAAGCCCTCGGTTGAACCGTGCAGGGCCTCCGCGGGGCAAAGTAGCGGTCACCCAGTTTACGGTGATCCTTGATAATCTAGTTCTCATATTTTAATTCTGAGCAAGTTTTGCGTTTTCTACTGCATATCTTCAGTGTTTCCAAAAGTAAATTGCAGTGTCGAGTTAGGGTTGCCGGTTGCCTGTAAGTTTGTAAGTTGTGGCCAAGTTAATAGTAGTAGAAGTGGTGATTCAATTTCGTAGCCGCCAAAGCTCCTACGTTGTATGAATCACGCAATAATGAGATGAACCCAAAAACTAGTAATCAATACTAAGTCGGCTGTGGAAGGGTGAATACTCCGTACCTAGGTAGTGAACCGGTCATTTACTGGCAGAGACCTAGGCTAGTACTTAGGGCCTAGAACGTAGGATTCTTTATATTGTGACTAGATACGTTGTATGCTACTGAGACCTTTCGCTTTAGGGTTCTAAGCTTTGACTTTTTCTTTTAGCTATACACATGTAACCATATAATTGATCCAATTGGAGTGTTTACTTGAACTAAGTCTAAATCAATTATATATAAGATAACCCCTTGATACCGAGGAGTAGTACCCTAGAAAAAGTGTGTACAACGCCAGGATAGCAGCTGAACAATTAGGATAGCGCCAATAAATAGAATTCAGACAGTATTTGGTCAGGTAATCTGATGTCTCTCTATTATGTGATCTGCTATAGATGCCTGACGGTCTATAGTGCATAGTTTCTATGGGTCCCCCCCCTTTCATTTATGCACACCCCTCATTTATGGACCCCCCTCACCACCACTAAGGGAGTGCCCAAGACTGCTGATTGGAGGGATTTCAAGAAATTTGATGGTAGTGGGTGGTTTGGGGATCAAATTCTCGAATTTGTGCCTAAGACCCAAACAAACATCTACGAGGAATTGGTTTGATTATCACGGGGGAGGAAGCAAAAGTTCTGACGTCGGTAGTGTGGTTGGAGGAATTAGTTTCGTTTCCACAAGGGAGAAAGGACACTTCTGTTGTGGACGCAGATACGTTGCGAGGGTTTGGAGGAGTTGGGTTTGTTTCGAGGAGGGGGTAAGAAATCTTCAATTTCCCATGGCGGTTTTTCGAAGCTAGGTATCCCTGCAGTCCTTCGACAAACCACATTTTGAAGTGAAGACTTGCAGATTCTACAGACTTACGTGCGAAACATCCTTTTAATATCTTTTTGGTGCGACTGTAGGAAAGAACTTATAATAAGGAAAGCACCCCCACGACCATAGCACGATACATGTACATATATACATACAATGACATACAATGAGAACCAACATGTTATTTCATTGCTGTCTTCTGTTTCTTGATACCGTTATTTCAAACAACACTCGACACCGTAAAGCATGTTTCAGAATTTGGCGTCTACAATGCATATATCATGAGAAACATGATAGTCTGTCACGACCGGCTAGAAGATCCCAAATCCTCCACATGCTCCTCAGTGGGATCTTTCCCGGTAGTGGCTGTTTTGACACCACTTCGCTCTGCTAACCGACTCTCGATACCGAAAAGTCGAGACATCTCTTCGAGGGTTCGGCCTCGAGTTTCGACTAAAGATGAGTATAAGCATTTGTTTACCAAGCGGAGAAAGATACAAACCTAGAGCATATCGAACAAAGAAGAAAGCGACAACGCAAATTCCTGTGTAGATGATGTATAGTCCCCATCCAATGGCATCGGCAATAGGAGGGCTCGCCTGTGCGACAATGTAACATGCTGCCCACAACGATGCAGTAGTGAGGGCATTTCCTTTGGCTCGCATCGAGACAGGGAAAATCTCTGCAGCATATGTCCATGATCCCACCCCCAGCTAATGTTGAAAAATACGTAGAACAGATATGGGAATAGGATGATGGTATAGTTCGCAGGATCCCCTGGGTTATGCTCGGCATGCCATTGCAGAACGGTGATGCCAATCATGGCTCCCATCATGCCAACCGTTCCGATCTGTAACCAGGTCTTCCGGCCTAGTCGGTCGAAGTAGAAGATTGGTACCCACGAAAACACGAATAGTACGATTCCCACGCCGCCAGTTGCGAGGTTGGCGGTGCGAGGGTCTTCGATACCTCCCCGCTTGAATAGCGACGGCTATCAGTATGTCAGTCTGTGAGTTTTGGATGATGAATAGATTGGTGGTCAGATACTCACAGTGTAGTAGAGAATGGAGTTGGTTCCTGTGATCTGCTGGAAGAACTGCACAGCCATTCCCAACACAGTCACTCGCAAAACCGGCATCATGAACATATCGCTCCAGCTGGCTTCGGTCACCGTATGCTCAAACTCAATAGAGGCTTGAATTTCTTGCATTTCCAGCTCCGCTACTTCCGAACCGTGGAGGCGAGTCAAGACCTCTCTTGCACAGTCGTGGCGATCTTGACTAGCCAGCCAACGTGGACTAGGTGGTACCCAAAACCAGCATCCTATGCCGAGGATGATTGCAGGGATAATCTGGATTGCTAAAGGAATTCGCCACCAATCCTTAGTTTCGAGAAAGTTGAAGCCGTAATTCAGCCAAAATGCAACTAACTCTCCCAGGCAGAGAATCATTTGCTCAATAGCGACAATTCGGCCTCGAATCGCAGGGGGGCTATCTCGGCAACATATAGGGGAACACCTCCTGCACACGCCCCGACTCCGAGCCCTAAGATGACTCTGCCAATCGTCTAAATTGGTTTAGTACTATGTGAAATAGCGGAAGTTGAGAGACATACAATTTGCACAATCGTGTATGATGCAGCTTGGAGAATAGCGCCAACAGTGAAAACGGCGCATGCAATCGAAAGTGTACGCTCTCGACCTAGTGGATCTGCGAGATATCCAAGAGACATGGCCCCAATGAAGCATCCGACATCATATAAGGAAACAACAGTTCCAGTTACCCCTACTCAATGTTAGTTTGTGCACTGTATGTCCCCATTCTGATTCATCTTGTCCCACATACAAGAGTTCTTTGGGTGCATCAAGTCAATCCATCGCGCATCGGCAACGATCACACCCATAACACCTTGATCATATCCGAACAAGAATGCACCGAGCGATACAAATGCCGTGATAGTATAGAGAAATTTGATGTTACCTGGCCGCGTCTTTGAAGGGTCTGTACCTGCAGGCGGCCGGATGAGCTTGGTTTGTTTGAGGGAGTTCATGGTGTTGTTGAATCGAGGCACTGAGAAGGAATTGGAGGGATGAAACTCTGTTATATACTCTGAGAGCAGACCTTGAGATTCATCCATCGCGATGAAAAGTCCAGACTCCCGTATGGGGAATGTCTGGGGTACACATGTACATCGGTTCGGCGCGTCTCCGGATTCCCCAGAATGTGGCGGGCGAAAATTGCCTAATTTGGCTGAACTTGCGCACTGAGTGCCGCCGATTGATGTAGCACGGCCAGTCATGTCCCCAATTCAAGGCAAGACGGCAATTCTACTCCTTGCGGGGAAGCATACGATCGTCTAAAAGCCACAAGTTAAAACAATATTCCTAAGGTCAAGCCTATTGGCGTCCATTCTGATTAAATCTTCCTCCGCCACGGTGAGCCAACTAGTGTCACTGTATGGGTTCCGATTGGTGATATCAAATTGAGCGGTGGCGGCTTTATTCATCTTGAAAATGGTATATCTACATGCCTCTCTTTTGTCACTGAGTCTAACATGGCTTAGGTGAACCTGTTGGTCTCGCCTGCGAGGAAGACTTTATGAAGAAGGCAATGGCTGCTGGGTTTACAGAGCAAGAGGCTAAAGATGCATTCAACAACAATATGATGGCAACCGGGTTGCTCTCGGAGCTGCCTTTAGACTTTGCCCGTGAACATCAACGGTCTTGGTTGGTGGCTGAGTGTGAAGCTGGGGATGTTGTTCTGCACAAACCCCACACAGCATTGAAATTCTCGATCTGGCTTGGGCATCAGGCTAATTCAGTAGATCCATTCGTCTACAATCAATAATGATCCCGATCGTGTAATTCGTCTGGCCACCGATCTACGATTTGTTAGTTCTTCTAAGCCATTCGAAGAAGTATGTTACTCCCTAGCACTTTATGGTAATCTCGAATTGATCTAGAGCAGAGATGGAACAAATTCTACGAAGTGGGAGATGGAGTATAGCGCGAATTCCCCCATGCAATTGTGAGCACCTCGACAGCACGCCTAGAAACTTCTGGTATAAAGGCGCGAGAAGGAAGCTACGGAATAAATGACTACTTGCTTATAATGATCTTGCTGTGAACAAGATATATTGTGAAACTCCCCGAAATCATTTAAAAGACTTCTAACGAACATGTTTATATGACAAAGATGTTTTGTTGTGTAATCCCCCATACATAGATAAGCACCTGCGATCTCTTCTCCATCATAGCGATCTGCATCTCCTCAATGGAGCTCCATTGCTCTTTTCAGAATCAGTATCTCCTTGGAGTGGAGCATCTTTCGACTTATGCGGCAGTTTTCTTGCCACGCGAACGGTGTCCAAAACCCCCGTCGACATGATGAACAACTCATCAATATCCTCCAACGCGAGGCCTGCTGTCTCCGGGAATAATAAGTATATGATAGGTATCATTGTGGCATTTAGACACGTAAATATAAGATAAAACTTCCATGCAAGAGCATTGAAGGCGATCGGTGTGACCAAGGCAGCCAAAGCACTGAGGGCCCACCATATACCGGAGCTGATTCCGTTGATTGTGGTACGTAGACTGAGGGGTGTTATTTCAGAGGCATACAGGAATGGAATTCCACCAAAGCCGACAGTCATGCTAAAATGAAAGAGGAACATAAATACCACCGCTGCATGCGAGCCGATGTTGTTTGTTGCTGGAGAGCTGAGCCCAGCGATGAGAATCATGCAGATTGTGTTGGCAACTGCGCTTAGCAATAGTAGGGGTCGGCGACCAAATCCTTCTATGGTAAAGACGCAGACGATTCCGCCAATTGTACCGGACAACTGATAGCCTGCTGCTAGAATTCTTGAGGTGACCGGGTGGATGTGAAGGTGTGTTTCAAAGATTGTCGTACCTGATGAAAAATGAGCGAAATGAACAGTTCTCAAGGGTCATAGTACTCACTATAGAATGTGATACAACTGATCCCTGTTAGTTGTAACAGCACTAAGCCTCCTACTGCGAGTGATGCGCGATGGAATATCCTCTGGTGTCCCATTTGAAAGACTTGAGCGAAAGATCCCTTGCCAGCAATAGCCAAGGAGGACATCACATCTTCTATCTCTTTCTCTATCATTTCATTGTCTGTTGTTGTGTCTCTGAGTGATGCTATCACTTCACGGGCCTCGGGAAGTCGACCTCGATGGATCAGCCAGCGCGGTGATTCGGGTAGCCGAGAAGTGAATGTGATAACCGGAAGAGAAAATAAGATTGGCAGGGCGACTGGCAGGCGCCAGCTGACGCTACGGTGAACAAAAGACATGCCAAGATCCACGAGTAAAGCCATGGTCAAGCCCATGCCAACAAAGACACCTGTGGTTCCAACATGCGCACCTCGCTTCTTTGCTGGTGATATTTCAGACTGCCAAATTGGAACAGTTGCCAATTGACCACCACAGCCAAGACCTAGCACAACGCGCGATGCCACAAGCTGGGAAATATTGAACGAGCTAGCCATGAGGAACGCTCCGATTAATTGGATCACTGAAGCAATTCTGATAGTTCGCCGACGGCCTATTACGTCGCCCCATCCAATACAGACCATTGCTCCTAAAAATCCACCTACCGCATACAAGGCCACAACAGTGCCCTGTAGGGTGGACTTGTAATGCCTCTCAGAAGGGTGGGCATGGTTCACGTCGAGTTGAGGAAACTGGGCTTCAAACCTCTCCAGTGTCAGGACACCTCCAAGTGATCCCAGGTTATAGCCCATTGACATCATGGTGGGCATAAACACGCCAAGCAATGCCACATAGTTGAGGCGACGGCCACGGAGGCCAAGGAAATGTGACATTTAGCGCTCCAGAGTTCGTATAGATGCGCTCAGATGATTGTCTGCGGGCCGCGCAGGTAGTCAAGACGTTAATCGTAGTCTAAAAGAATTAAACTATTCTCATCGCCCAAGGCTCTTGTTAACGTGTCCTTTTGTCCAGTCCGATCCTTGCATTGTTGTTGTTTTGGTGCGTGCCATTCTTGGATAGAAGCCCGCAAGGGATGTCATCTATCGTCGTTTACTGTCGCCGACTGTAGTTTCACAATATGGATGGTAAACGCGATTGACGTTTTTGATATTGATCTGTCAATATGTGATCAAGCTCAAATACCTGATGTGAAGATTTCTTGATGACAAGGGCTTCTGTATCCCTATTGATAGATTGATACTCCATTGACTCTTCAGAAGAGGATGTTTCCAAGGTTTGATCATTGATGTTATGTTATATGACTGAACTTGGACTCCTTTTGATGTGCCAGCATCTTGTTTGTTATTTCTTTGAGGCTTCAACGCCAAGTCATATGAACCGGTCTTTAGATACAATGGACACTAAGCCCTGGTGCAGACTATGTTGTAAGAGTACGCATATGCTTTTTAATCCATTTCTGTCCGAGCTTATTAGAACAGGGCTATTGTTGTACAGCGCTTCATATTTAAGGCCTTCTCATCAAGTCCTATAACTTGAATCAATAGTTCAGGTGACGGTATAGTTGTACATAGTATCTGGAATATATATTCGCAGTTGACTGTCAATAAATATGTTTTGTTGTCTGAACACTAAATTGAAGAGATAGAAAAAAGACATTTACCAAGAGAAGTAAGATATGAAAATATAGAGAGAAGTAGACAAAGTAATAATTATATGAACGAATCATAAGTGAGGCAATGCAGAACAAAACCTCCCCGCACTCCGCGGCTGCGGGGGAAAACTTGACGAAATCAACATGCCAGGGCCCAAGAACCCTCAATGCTGGTGAGTGACCTTTGTACACATATTGGTGTCTCTCTAACATATCTCCAGCGATCCATGTCGCCTTCTGCACCACAAGTGTAACCTCTCCCCATCCTCCCACCTTCTCTGACTCCTTTCTGACTCCCATAGGCGACGGGATTTTGCCACAATGCAGTCGATGCGCCCGCACAAATCGCGACTGTACACGAGGGAAACGAGAGACGAAGTTCCGACAAGCGAAAAATCGCACATCGCGCACAAAGTTTCCTCAAAATCAAGTTTGGCTTCGACCGCCACCGAGAGGTTGGATCCCAGCCTACATATTGCAAGATCTTTTCTGACAGCGTATCGTCCCTCTAGTTGACTTCGTACTCGAATCCGGCAATGGAGAGCCAGATGATTTGATTGAGAGGGAGATGCCGATTTCTTCGCCGGGGAAGAATTTGCAGAGCAATGCCCATTCCATGCCGACCCCGGAACGCCCGTCTTCAAGGTCCTCACATACTGCCGTACTTCCGAATTATGAACACGCAACCCAGCAGCTACACAATAGGAATGCTCGGTCGTCAATCATCCCAGGATTCGATACCCCCGAGCGACAACACGAGCGGCGATGGCCTTTGAGGGACCCCGAAGAGGCGCGTTTGTTGCAGCATTTTGTGGATAAGGTTGCCCCATTTGTGAGTCCCTCCATCTGGAAGCCATGGATTTCCATTTAATTGTGTGGTAGTTTGACTGCACCGATCGCCAGCAGCATTTTGCCATCCATATTCCTCACCGAGCACGCCGCTGCGAGACCTTGTTCAACGCAATGATGGCCATGTCGGCTCGCCATTTGAATCGGACTACACATTTTGATCCTTTCGTCTCGGACCACTACTACCAGGCTTGTTTGGAGAAATTGATCCCAGCACTCGATGATCATGGGGTGACGATGGATGACGATTTGCTGGCTGCTACTGTCATATTACGTCTTCTGGAAGAATTCGATGGTGAGCAGTGGATCTCTCTTCACTATTGTGTCAATGCTACTGATACTGACGATCACAGTCCCACTTGCTGGGTCCGATATTCGGGGCCATTCTTTTGGAACAAAGGCTTTCATACGGGGTCCCACGCTGATGACTACGACGCCTAGTCTCAGGCAAGCTGTTTACTGGAGTGGGTTACGCCAGGAAATTTACAATGCACTTAGCCTGCAGCAGGCCCCGGATATTGACTTGAGTTCCCTAAACCTGAACTCGCAGTTTAGCCCGCTTGGGCCAGACGCTGGTGATTGCGCATGGGCAAACCAGGCAATCGCGCATTGTGCGGATGTCTTAATATTTTGTTTCGGGGAGGGTCATCGCTCGACGGCTGTGCATGCAGAACTCAAAGCACAGAATGAGCAATGGACTGCGACTCGCCCAGACTCTTTCGACCCATATTTTGTCGGCGAAGAAGGGGAAATTGGAGTCGCATTCCCTGACGTCCGATTCGGATGTCCCTGGCATGGTACGTAAAATATTGGATGATGGGATATCGAGCATTTCGCTGTGAAGCGCTCGTCATTCAGAGACAGCGATCAAGACTAATTGATATAGCAATTGGAAATCAGTACACCGATTTGGCGCAGATTCTGCTAGCTGTGCATGATCCAAGTTTACCAACAGTTGGTCCTTTGCGTAGGCGGTTGATCCAAGACGCTGATGTAAGTGGCTGGCATGCATAATCTCCCGGCAAACCTTGGGTCCTTGGAATAATATTGAAGCCACAACTGACAAATCCAGGATTTCATCCGCAAGGGGGTTTGGGTTGTATGTGGCGCTGCGCTATCTAACGCGTCTGTTCCCCCTGCTATGGTCGTTGGGTGCATGGCTATTCATCTCTGTAAGCACCATGGACTGCGTTAAGTGTAAATTGAAATTTGACCAGCGCTACAGGCGGCGATCGGTTCACGGACCCGCATCAGCAGGACCTGTTGATTCAGGTTCTTGTTCGGACGGACACTCTTCATGGTTGGCCGACTCATGCGCTCCAACGACAGCTTCGGGAGACGTGGGGCATCCTTTGATGTTAGGCCGTTTCAGAGCCAGAAAGCTGAACCTTACAATCGAGGCTTGCACCGGTTACGTCTTGGCCGTGTACACATTGTGGGCACATGTATGCCAACGATTGGCTTGTGAAAGCTCTTTATCTATGGAGCAGCACGCAATGAAATCCAATGTGGAATGGTCACCATAAACCGTGTTGTCCAGGGGTCTCGAAAAGATCGAAAACACCGATGCGAACATAATCCAGTTTGACGCTTTATCCTCAGCTAAGACGGGAAGTGCTTCTACTTTAGGCCAAGTGCCAGGGTCGTGCATGATCGAGTTGGGGGCAGAAGTTACCGCAGACCATAGACCACAGGAGGGAGCAAGTCCGGAGTGAAGATTGGGCCCATGGATCGTCAGGCAACACGGATACAAAGTCGATCCCTCGCCGACTGTTCTAAGAATATCGCTGTCGCCACTACATTATTTCACTCAGGGGAGTGTTTGTCTGCGAGGGACGAAGTTTGCTTCTTCAAGTCATGTCAAAATCCAGATCGAGAGGCTCCCCCTTGATTTCATCCCCACTGATCGAAACATTGCAAGCCTGGATAATGGGCTCTAGGATGTGATTGGTTGTGGTGGAGGTTGGGTCCGAGGGTAGGAAGTAATGAACTGACCAGTGGCAATGGAAGCTGAAGCCTCTTCCAAAGCTGTGATATGCATATGGCTCCGAAAGGCACTTTGTGCACACATTTTGGTCTCCACCAGTGGATTGCGTACTACGAAGAACGGGTCAGGAAAGGTAATATAGTGGTCAGTGTGCATATATCGAGATCTATATGCAGTTTCATAGAAGTGAGGATTGAACTACACAATCAGTTAGCTAGCTAGATAACGTTGAATTAATTTGTCAATCTCTAATCTAGCAAATAATAGCAAATAATGCATTCAAAGACAAAAGAAGAACTGAAAGAAGAAAAATCGAATGTTTACCCCTGAACACACTTACGCACCCCCTTTCCGCACTGGAGACGCTACTTGAACTAGTGTCTCTACTTATCCACCAAAGATCTTCTCCTGGTCATTTTGGCTTCTTTCTTTTTTGCAATCAAAGGGAATCATTATTCCTTTCCCCAGATTCAATTTTCAATAGTGTTTCCCCATATCTTTAGGATGCAGGGGCAGGTGGCCCAGAACTGATGGCTTCAATGAATATGGGCGTGTTGCCCACAATCAAATGCTCCAATTGCGGATGCAATGTTGAGATCATGTCTATGGGAGATCACACTTGCATTCAAAATGATTCTGGTAAGTTTGTCTTGTCTCTCATGTTTTTTATTCCCTTGAACACAATCTGGGTATATGGCAATGCTAACAAAACTTAGCTGTCGTCTCTGTCCCATCACCGCCATCGCCGCCTCCTTCGGCGGGGTTAGAATCCCCAGACCGACTCACAACCGCGATGGCTTCCAAGATTCCCCGTGGAGGACCTCCCCCCCGGATTGACCCATATGCTGCAAGTATGTCTTGAACAGTCATATTCACGAATGATGTTCGCCAACTAACAATGGCAGATCGCGCATACCTACAACCTAATATGCCGACACCAGCTAGTAGTGTCGCTCCATCACCCTCCATCAATTCAGCTCCTCGATCTCCGCTGTATCCACCACATGATGCGGCCGATAACGAATCCACAATCGACTTGGACAATGTCTTCTCATTCCCAATGCCTGGAAACAGATCACCGACACAAGTGAGAACACCAAGTCCAATGACAATGCCACAGGGAACGGGCAGATCATTACCACCAGCCCTGTCACCTGGGCTGGGATTGGGACTCAGGCCGGAAAATATCCAGCTTCCACCCAGCCCAATGCCACCTTCTATGTCCCCAGAACCAAACCACTACAGAGGGGACTCGACAGTGAGCCACAGCAGCTATCGCACATCTTTTGCCAGCAGTCGCTATGGGGAATCAACGGCGAGGTCGTCGACCAACAGCTTTTCTCGCGGGCAACGATCTTTCATGGAGGAACCGCTACCAGTACCCCTGGCACCGCTCCGCACACCTAACAAAACATCCTTCCCTCGTGATTCGAACCTCTCCGTGGTTTCATCCCAGATCAGCGAGGAAGAAGCCAGTGGATTTGATTTTGGTCTCCCTACAGGATCAAACCCGGTTACTGGATTGCAAGACCTTCCTGAAGAATCGCCCTCGGTCGAATACGAAAATAACGATGAATATCCCGCATTCCAGCCTACACAGACTGACCTCCGCCCAGCAACAGCAGCGACAGAACCAAGCAGTGTGGCACAAAGGAAGAATTCTGACGCCAGTACAACCAGTCTACTGTCTGTTACCAGCTTTGCCCGTGCTCTTGGTCTTGAAGAACAGATGAATAACCCTGAAAGCTCCGTCTCATCGGAGTCCTCGCCTTCAGATGCCCGAAGTGGTAGCTCCATGTCAAGTATTCCCTCCGATGTCAGCCTGACCAGACTTAAACCCTCCGATCCCCTCACCTTAGCCCCTATGGTTGAGGAACTGCCCCCTCGCACCCGACAGACGGTTCTGGAAATACCCGGCCGCATACGAAGCACTATGGAAGATCTGAACTCCGTGGAAAACGTCCCTCCCATCCCAGCTGCGTTCTTCAGCCCGGATTCACCAACAGACCCTTCAATCAATAAAGGTGGCTTGTCTTTGATCGCAGATAGACAAGAAGCAATTCCGATTCCGAGCCCGACTCCATCGCACCCAAAACAATCTACCTCTCCTCAACCGCCTCAACAATATCGTGCCCCTCAGCGTTCTTTCACAGCACCAATCCCACAAACGACCCACACACCTCAAGTGCCAACTCGATCTGGGACACGCTCCAAGGGAACATGTAGGGGTTGCAACGAGACCATCACAGGGAAATCGATCTCATCCTCAGACGGCCGTCTGACAGGCCGATACCACCGTGGCTGTTTCGTCTGCTTTGAGTGCCACTCGCCCTTCCAAACAGTCGACTTCTACGTCCTAAACAACCGCCCCTTCTGCGCGCAACATTATCACGAGCGCAACGGCTCCCTCTGCACAGTCTGTAACACCGGTATCGAGGGCCACTATCTTGAAACCGTGGAGCGGAACCCGGGTCGCTCAGATCGCCGCCGTTTTCACACGGAGTGTTTACAATGTCGTACCTGTCATGTCCTTCTCAAGGGCGACTACTTTGAGTGGAATGGCGAGGTGTTCTGTGAGCGTGACGCTCGTCGCGCTGCGGCGGCTTCTTACCACCCTCCCCCTCCTGGTCGTCGTCGGCCAACGCTTGGCTCCTCGCCGCTAGCTCAGTCTGGCCAATTCCCGCCGGTCCCGTACCCCCGTTCGGCTGGCCCTGGCCCCGGCCCCGGTCATGGCCCCGGAGGACTTCGCTCGGGTCCGAGATACCCCCCTGGTGGTGGTGGAGGAGGAGGAGGAGGGAGGTTCCCCGAACGTCGAACTACCAAGCTTATGATGATTTGAACGAATTGTCTTGCCCATCTTTCTCGGAAAGCATTGAATTGCATGTTCCTATTTTACCTGTGCGGTCGCTTTTCTCTGCTTTCCTCATTCTTTTACATCGCGATATACCCTCTCTGCTACCTCACCCTTTGGCTTTCGCTGGCAATGACGTTGATCGTCTTTTATCATCTGGGCTTTCTTTCATCTGTATCCATTGAAAAGCCCTCCCATTTTCTCTATGGTGTCGTTATCCAGGCTGGTGTCTATTTGATTTTTGATGCCGACATGTTCCTAATGCACATTTCTCTCGGTTCGGTGTTTGGTCTATTTTTTTTTGTACAGGTGTTACCAGTAGACTGGGAGGATCTGCATTGATATTTTAAACAATAATGCCATTTACTCTAATTCAATAACTCACTTTACTTCTTTTTGGAAGCGAGCTTCATCGAACAGGATTAAATGGTGGCGTAAAGCGTTTTTGAACATCTCTACATACCTCTACGCCGCTCTCTATGGCTGAACTTCCTTTTTTGTACCTGCGTACTTTGGCAAATGAAAGTGTATATCATTGTTCTTTCTGTGGACCTAACATCTAGATGAACTGGCCCTGGCGCTCTCGCCTTATAATCCGAAATGGTGTGTCATTATATCATGAATTGCAAATATGCCGAAATTCTTCGGAGCCGAACTGTATCTATCCCAGCTTGCGCTGGTCGAAATCCACTCGCTCGAGAGGACTGGAGAACTTGCGCCGGTAGTACCAGCCAAAGCACTTGACGTAAAGCGCTATGGCCAGAATTCGCATACGCTGTCCAACAGTAACACGAATCTTCTTGGCGGCGGGTTTCAGTCCGTCGGCATGTTCCTTCTCCCAGGCGTCGCAGACTTCATGGAAACGACCCGGTTCGTTGGAAACAACACCGTCTACCCCATGTTGGATGGACCAGCGCATTAGGTTTGGCTCATCTACTGTCCATACGTAGATTTGTCTGCGAGCGGCGCGGGCTTCTTCTATGAAACCTTGGCCTAAAGGACCCATCAAGACATTCTGGTTGATGTTGAAGGACACACGGGGGACCTCCAGGAATTGACGTGCGTAGGCTGGGTCTGCACAAATGAGTGATAGTGAGTAGCGAGGCAGGTGCTCCGCTGCAGCAGATATGAACCGTGCGTTCCAGGTGCCGGCTACAATACGGCGGTGCCAGTCGGGTCCGATAGCAGCTATAGGTACTGATTCAGTAGTCTTGGCGATTCCTTTCATGATGGCGTCCGGGTCGTTGGTGAGCTGCGAGACTTGATGGTTAGATGTTTGAGATAATCATATAATGTGAGATAAGTACCTTGATATCAAGCAAGATCCAATAATGCTCTCGACCCGGTTGTCTTAGGTATTCTAACACGTCGGAAAACCGGGGCATAGGCACATGAGGTTCCTGTAAGGTTCGCAGGGTCGACAGATATTCCCAATCACAATCTCCGACATTCTTTTTCACACCATAGCATCGTTCGAGGCTTGGGTCCTTGAATCGGTGAGCATAGTTCCGGAGAACAGGGATATGCACTTACGTGTGAAAGTACCACGACACCATCGCGGGAGATGTGAAGATCGATCTCAAGTGCATGAGCGCCTACTTCAATTCCTTTCTCGATTGCCAAGATGGTGTTTTCAGGATATTGGCCGTTAAATCCTCGATGGGCGATATTTTGGGGTAAACGAACATCCGAGTCAACCCTTGAATGACGGAAATGGGCTATAAACAGCAGGTTAGCCTGACAACCCTATCATGAAAGATGACAACTAACCTGGGACCTTTGCAATAGATGAAGTTTCACTCATATTGAATTTGAATAGTTGGGAGGTGAGAGAAGCTGAGGAGAGAATGAACAAGAAACCGGACTTTGGGCGGAGATTAGACCCCGCTACTTCTCTCCCCGTCCTCGCATTCGCTTAACAACTCTTTTGCAGATCCTCGAAGGCGAAGTTCAAGATCTTCCGTGGCAATTTCCTTATATTCCAGAAGACGGAACCTCTCAAGTCAAGAGCTGAAGCCATGTCCCTGAAGTCCTAACGCCTGGATGCCATGTTCCTCAACTCCAATGAAGCTCTCCAGCGCCGGAGGCCTCGGGAAACCTCCACGATTACTCAGCTTCATCTCCAAATTTCTCCAAATTTGATTTTATAAGTGGAACTGGACGTCATACATCACTTGGAACGGCCTTGAACTTCTTTAATTCTCGTTCAAAAAGCAAAACATGGCAGTCCAACAATGGATTACGCCCTTGAAGGGCCTAGACAGTCTCAGCCGAACTGAGTCGCCAATGCCCACCCCAGGACCGAGTGAGGTCCTGGTGGAGATCCGCGCTGTGTCTCTGAACTACCGTGACGTGGAAGGTATGTCTGCTAAGAAAATACCCTGCAAATACCCTGCATCGTCAATGCTGATCAGTTCGAAGTGACCAAGGGCGAGTACAAACACCACAAATCCGCCGAACAAGATGCCACCATTGTGCCATGCTCCGATATGTGCGGCGTAGTCACGCAGGTTGGATCCGGCGTGACGAAATGGACTGTTGGCGACCGTGTGCTTTCGACTTTCCTCCCCGATCATCAAACTGGCCAAGTGACTGAAAAAGAGCTTGGCAGGAGTCTGGGGCTGCCGCAGGATGGTGTCCTGGCTTCTCATCGCGTCTTCCCCGACCACGGCCTGGTCCGGGCGCCCAGCTTCATGTCTGATGAGGAGGCTGCCACGCTTCCCATTGCCTCGGTCACCGCTTGGATGTCGATCAATGGAATGCGACCATTGGGACAAAGTGGCGGGAAGGACGAATATATTTTGCTTCAGGGAACTGGTGGTGTGGCTATTGCGGGACTACAAATTGCAAAGGCGGCCGGTGCGAAGGGTAAGTCAAGAACATCGAAATTGGTTCGGGCGCAAAGGCTAAACTCAAGGAATAGTGATCATCACCTCCTCGTCGGATGCCAAACTGGACCAGGCAAAGCAGCTAGGTGCTGATTTCACTATCAACTACCGCACCAACCCCAACTGGGAAGCCGAGGTGATGAAGATTACCCAAAATCACGGTGCAGATATTATTCTAGAAGTCGGTGGTGCTAAGACCCTTAGAAAAAGCTTTGATTGTGTCGCTTGGGGTGGACTCATCAACTGCATCGGCTACGTTTCGGGCAAGATGGATGCTGACGACGATCGTCTGAATGTCAATCTGTTGGCTCTCCGTCGCACAGTCACACTCAAGGGAATCATCAATGGCCCCAAGGACCGGTTCGAGGAGATGATCCATTTCTACGAGGAACACCAGGTTCAACCAGTAGTCAACCGGATATTTTCGTTCGCCGAGGCTATAGAGGCGTTCAAATTCCTGGAAAGCGGCAGCCACTTCGGAAAGGTAGTTATCAAAGTCCAATAGAGGATAAACATAATTCATTGCCACATTATCTCGAGATGAGAGTAATCTTCGCTTCCTGTCAGTTTCCACTGGGATTGAGTACGCCGGTAGCAATTCCCAGATCTTCTCCCATTTCCTTTCCAGCGACCGTCAATTTCTGGCAATCCTGTAGCACGAACAGGAGACGCGCCCATTCGGTCTCGCTGGGGTTACGCCATCCATGCATTGTAGCCCGCTGCACTGCAACATCGCCCCGTCGCATGATAACGGGTTCGCTATCTTCGGTGATCAATTCAATCTCTCCCTCAAGCACCACACCATAGTCGAGACTCTGTGTGCGGTGCACAACAGCATCATTGCTGGGCGCAAAGTCCACAATGCGGCATACGGTTCCACCAGGATTCACCAGACCCATCTTAGATGTTTGCAACTGTTCGTGTTTTTTGATGTCCGCGTCGTTGTTCAGATCGGCGGGGAATTGGGATGTGTAGACAACATTGAAGGCCATGGCGCTTTCTTCGAATGACTGCCACTGGCCTGGACTCGAAGATTGAACGATTGCTTTGCCTGATTCATTGTGGCCAGTGATGTGTCGAGTGACACCTCGAAGGGGTGAGATTTGACCGGGGTTGGCAGACATTCTGAATATTCTTAGAGGAAAGTTGAAGAAGCTGAGGTTAGTGATACTTTACCCCTCGGTCTTATAATTATATTCTCAGTGGGTACTCGATTCACACCGATCACAACAACACTTATCTTCACTCCACCTACCCCGCTATTCTGTCTGATCTCAGCTGAAAACAAAAGCATTTAGCCCTTGTGCATGTTTCTTATTCGAGGTGGTCGTGTTCAAAAGATGCAGGTCACAAGTCATATGCAGATTGGAATGATATTCAGTTCGATTACCCTTTGAGGAAAATACTGCGAATCATCCTTGAATATTCCAAGGGAATCCACACGCACAGTGTGCAATATGAGAATGATAATACTACGCAATGCGGAAGTTTGCCGAGTTGATTGAAATAAGGAGTGACACCAGCATCGACTAACTACATGTAGTCTCTGACTCGGTGCTCACTTTTCTCCAAGTCCGTCCATCCCACGCCCCTAATTGTGGCTTTACCGATATGGGCCCTGACGATCCGAAGCGAGATGACAAATTGGAAAAAGAATCGCTGGGTTTACCCCAGAAAATGCATCCCCCACGTCTACTATTTTTTGCGGGGGAGACTTCGTGGGGCGTGGGATGAATCGAGACCCGTACAATGGAGAAAGAAGTATGGGTATGACGTGAATATTCATTTCGAAGTAATTACAGGCTCAATCCTCTACAAAAACCATCGGAACTCGGCAGACGCCGGTCCATCTCTCATGCGATCTGTTGGGATATCCCGCGCGTGGAGAGTGACTCCATCGCGACGGTCTCGGCGCTTGTTATCTAACCACATGTACAGTCCGAGGCAACCAGCGAGGCAGGCACCTGTTGCTCCAAATGCGCCGACGCTGATCAATGCCGGCATGTACTTGGGTGCATCTTGTTTGCGGAACAAATTGCTGCTCACCAAGCCCATTAGGTTGGCCAGCGGGACGCCGATACTGGTCAACAGTACACGGCGACCCTCGTGGGCAATGTTGTTGTTGTACCAGGTGCTGAGCAACACCGATGGAGCGGATGTACCCCAAGTCATCATAAAGGTGGCAAAGTAAGCCACTTGCTCCTGCTGGTGAACATCATCGATCGAGGCGTAAATCATGAACCCGGCGAATGTGAGCAAGAAGCCCAGAACGAGGAAAGGCGACCGAAGTTTTACCCAATCGGAGGTGAAGGCGAGAATCAGCAGCATCACTGCTCCGGTCACATTGGGCGCGACGGTGTATAAATTAGTTTTGACAGTGGGAAAGCCCAATCGTCCCACAATCTGCGGCATAAATAGTGCGACTCCCTGCAATGGCACACCGAGACAGATTTCAATGCACAAGAAGACATAAGTCGTTGGGTGCTTAAAGATCTTAATGGCCTCGCAGAAACTGAATTCCTCGTTGACAACCGCACTTGAATCGACTTGGATCCGGTGGAATGCCAGCGCCTTCTCTTCCTCGGATAAGAATTTCGCCTCGGCGGCACTGCGTGGGAGCCAGAAGAAAGCAAATATGGCGAAGAGAACAGTGACACCACCTTCAATAATGAAGAGGTAGCGCCAATTGGGAAGGTTGGATCCCTTGATCTGGAATACCCCGAAAGCAATGAGTCCAGAGAAAGCGTTTGCGATGTTGGATGCGGCGTAGAACACAGCCAGACGACGAGCCAGCTCACCGCGGCGGTAGAAAGTGGTCAAGTAGTAAATGACCAGCGGGAAGAACGCAGCCTCGGACATGCCCAAAAACCAGCGAAGGGCGAACATACCGCTGAAGTTGAAAGCGGCTGAGGATAACATCGTTAAAGAGCCGAATGAGAACATCAGAATTGGCAATACCCGTGCTGGACTGAACTTCTTTCCCAGCATTGATAATGGTGGCGCAAAGATCACGAATGGCACGAAGAATATTGACAGTAGGAGGTTGTACTGATTTGGCTTGAAGTGAAGGTCTGGTAGAGTATTGATTTAGTATGCGCATCCATTTCTGCTAATCAATTCCAAAGACACTTACCGTCAGTCATTCCATCGGTTTCTGCATTACCCAAATTTCCCTTATCCAAAGCATTGAACAAGTCTATTGCGAATTAGCCTTGCTTGGGTAATTTGTCCGGAGATAGACGTACACATAACCGCCAAAACAGGGAGAAGACGATAGTCGAACTTTCGACACAGGCGCCGTTCAGCTTTGTGGTCAACTATTCGAGTCACCTCATCCATAAAACCTGGCACAGAGTTGAGCTTGGTGGGCTCGTCCATGGTGCCCAGGGTATCTGTCTTTTTGACAGTACCCCCAGGCGACTCTGGACGCTTAGGACTCGACATGATTATATCCCAGGGAACAATATTAACAAAGAAATTCGTAGCGAGTCAGTAGCTACCTGCACTACTTTTGAAGATATGCACTTTTTTTTTCTTTCTGCTCAGATGCGAAGTCCCTCTTTATCACGCACTTGGAGGTAACATCCCTTGCTCTATTAGATAAGAATAATGTTGCATTTACTAGAGAACCCGAACAGGTCACCCCCACGCTTCTCCGCATCCTGGGAGTATTAGAGAAAAGGAAAGGATCGCCCGGCAAACGGACGGTTGCATCCGATTTCTATTGGCTTATCTGCGGAGAAAACGGCACTTGGTTGAGGATATCATCTAGTTATCTCAACACTATCGTGAAAAGCAATGAAGCACGAATATTAGTATATCGCAGATAAGCATACCCCTTGATATCCCATGTAGATCGTTGTTTCACTGGATTTTTAAATTCTTTCTAGATATTTCCATCACGTTATGTAGAAGCTTGATTGAGGAGAGAGAAAAAGGGGGCGTTCCCATTCCGGTGTAGGGTTGCATTCATCTCATGACCTCACCATATTTAAGTGAACTGCCCCTAAGCCACCGGTTAAGAAGATTGTTTCTGTTTCTGATTTGATGTGAAAATCCCCAGAATATTATCGTGCCAGGTATCAGGAACCTGAACTTCATTACGAAATATCTAGTTCTTTCCAGCATTAGCATGATTCCTAGCAATTTTTGGTAGTCATCTAACAATGGCATTGACACATTCAGACCCAATTCGAATCATTTCCCTGTCGGTCTTTAGCTAACTGACGGGTCATTTCGGCGAGTGATGGTATTATCATAATAAAAAAGAGGGCAAACATATCCTTGAGGGCCAAGAAGCAAGCTTACCGATTCTTCCACGTTGACAATTGTCTAATCAGAGTTTCTAATAGGATTGAAGCAATACAGTAGACAAATAATGTTTTGGGGCAAGTTTGAAGTTTTTATATATTTCATTTGGTTATACAACTCTGAATTGCTGCCAAATTCATCGGCCCATTGCTGACTCTCTTTCTTCGTGAAACCACACACCATGCTCCAGTATGGCTCTTGGGAATGATTTATGACTCACGGACGAATCAAGTACATAAATCCTCGTATTCCCCGTTCATCGTCCATAGCAACATGCGCTTGGGCCATTTCCACTTCCTAATCGGGTGCCCTGGCGACCGGCATTCCAATTCCGTCAGCATAATGTATTACAAGCGGCTAGTCTGTGAAGCTACAGCCCTGGAGTGGATAATATACCTATGTATGACTCTGAAAGCGTGGATTTTATAAAACACCGAAAATCTTCATTTCTGCTCGACGCCGGAATCTAGCTTCTCCGAGCATTTGCGTCGGCCTGGATAGCCTCCTCTGCACGACCCTTCCAGCCATCTTCCCAGCGGGAGAGGGCAGGTCGCTCTTCGTATACATCTTCACTTCCCCATTTCATTCGTGCTTGGTCGAGAGCACGGTCGGTCTCTCCATCGGGGCAGATAATATAGAACAGTCCTTTTTCAAGACCAGCCGATAACTCCTCCGCCACTTGGCTGGGGTACCACGCTCCGGTGGGCTTTTTCATGTCTTGCTCCTTGTTTGGTCCTACATTACCCATGAAACCTGTCCAGGTCCATCCTGGTATAAGTAAATGGACGGAAATGTGTGAAGTGATTGGATCGGAGCGAAGATCGTGGGCGAGATGCTCGGTTAAACTCTTGATCGCGGCCTTGGAAGCATTATACGCGGGGTTGTTACCTCCCGGTGGGTTTGTAATCCCTTGTTTTGAGCCAGTCACGACAATGGACTTTGGAGTCTTGGACTTTGAGTCCAAGATCAACGGAAGAATGACATCTAACCCGTTCAATGGACCAAAGACATTTGTGTCGAAGGTCTGGTGCTGTTAGATAGATCATTTACTAGTTTGCTTGTTTATTCCGGAATCTTACCTTTGACCAATATTCAGTGTCCAGCCAAGGGTTCATGCGTCCCCGACTCTCTTGAATCTGCGGCTTATACCCCCTTCCTGCATTCAACACCACTAGATCAATTTCTGGGAAGCTCCTGGAAATATTATCTGCAATATCTTTCCAGGCGGAGCGATCGGCAACATCCAGAACATAAGCCTCAGTCTTGAGATTTGGATCCAAATCGCTAAGCACCAGCTTCGTCTTAGTTAGATTGCTCTCGTCGATGTCTAGGAGAGCCAGGTGCATGCCCTTGTTCCGACATAGCTTCGCCACTGCAAAGCCAACGCCCGAAGCGGCTCCGGTGATTAATGCAGTTTTTTGGGATTGGATAACGCTTGCCATGATTCGAAAGTTGATTTGGGATATTACTCAAGAAAGATAGGGGATTTAGTTGGAAGTTCGCATTTAAAACCACCGATTATTAATGCTCTGCAATGTCATCGGGCTTAACGGAGTTAGCCTGTGTTTGGGTGCCAGGTGCCTTCCCATTTGGGGATAGTCTCCATGCACGATAGTAGATAGCAGACGGATTTCTCCATCTCTCTCCTCCCTCCGCAATTCCGTATTCATTCTTCATATCCCATTGCCCACCGTATGATCTCCATGAGGTTGAAGCATCACAGTCTGACCATCTTGAAACCATCTTTCTAAACGATATACCAACGTGAGATGTCAGGTATTAATTCTGATCACGCGTTCCCAGTTCCCTAAATCGCCTTCGGACTGCCCTGCTCTTTCTTTCCTCTCTCTTTCCCTTTCCTCTTCATTCAAATATTTCAATTGGGAAGTAATCTGCCAGCGCTTGATACCCAGCCACATTAGGATGAAGATGATCACCAGAATCGTACTTCTCCAGCAATTGATCCTGGGCCTGTGGATCTCTCAATACGCGATCAAAGTCTAGGACAGCATCGAAAACACCACTTTCCCGAATAAACGTATTGATGTTTTGACGAGTTTTCTCGCGCTCGACGCTCGAATAAGGCTGAACGTAATCCGAGGTTGGCGACGAACCGAAAGGAGTGATTGTTGCACCAAAGAATGGGATACCACCAATCGCATGGATGCGTGTCGCGATCTGTTTATATGCCGCAACAAGACGTGCTTCTATCTGCGCCTGCGAGGCAGCATCGGTATCCGCGAGACCGATGTCGTTCACGCCTTCGAAAATCATCGCATATTGCACTCCCGACTGCGCCAAGAGATCTCGGTCAAGACGACTGATTACATTGGGACCAAGGCCATCTTGTAGAATTCGGTTACCACCTGCTGCCTGGTTCAAAATTGCAATCTTCGATGTCGAGTCATGTTTCTGCATTTTGGCCAGTACCAAGTCCGGCCAGCTTGATACTGATAAGCCATAGTCACATTTTATTCAGGGCTGGAATTTTCGCTTACCGATTATTCGCATTTGTTGTGCTTCCTCGGCCATCGGTGATGCTGTCGCCGATGATTACGAAGCTACTAGACTCGGACGGTAGCCAACCCTCCACCCCACTGATGAAATACCTGGAAGCGCTGTTAGACCCTGGTCCATGTATTTGGCATAGCTGGAACTCACCAGTGATCCGTGCTTTGTACAGATGAGTCCGTGATGTTCAGCGCACTGACCCAATCTCCAACTGCTAGATACGAAGTCGTTCTACTTCCAGGATGACCAGTGATCGAGAAGCCTTCTTGTCCATTCTTGAGGTAGATGCTGATCATGAGAGCCGATTCAGCCTTGATGGGAAGTTTTATCGGATCGGAGACAGCCAGTCCGCCGTTTGGGATCACCACTTCTGGGCTTCCATCGAAGGATACATCTTTCAACGAAGCCTTTTGCAGAGCACTGATTCCTACGTCCTGTGTTGCCGGAAGACTAATGGTCACTTTGGTTATGGCGAGATCATTCGCGCCGAACGCATTAGAGAGACGAATACGGATCTCCTTCGCTGCTAATGAGACCTGGAGAGTTTGCCGAATAGTAGTATTATCGAACACGGAAGATGATCCATTCTGTATATGAGTCAGTTGTCAGACCAACGGTCTATCATACAAGCTCAAGGGTATCGTACAAATGGGACAGGGGGAAGGTTAGCAGGCTCTACCAGCTGGGGCATAGTTGTCCAGATGTTGACCCAGTGTGATTCTGGCTCTTTGTCATGCTTCCTTCGCTCTAACAGAGGGAAGCAAACAGCCGAATATGCGAGAAGCAGAACCGTAAATACATATTGCAACGGAAACATTGTCGTGATGGCCAACAATCGGCCGATTTGTAGATCGATTTGAATGGCAAAATAAGGCTCTATCTTCCAATACCATCACTCCAAATGCTCGGAAATGCTCTCCAATTTATTCTGAATTTCTTCGATTCTATGTCCGGATAATCTGGGTAAATACCAACTTTTTTTGCCAACATCCAGCTCCGTTTCGCCTGCCCCGCTATATCTCCTCCGCACGACGCAACCGAATTGCGGGGGGAAAGGCTAAATTCAGCTTCAAATCCTTGTCAATCAGAATCGCTTATTGAAAACGACCCTATTTGCCGAACTGATGCTAAATGATCGACAATAAAAACAGAACTCACAAGCCTTTGTCGTGCGGTTTGTGATGCTTTAAATCCTCCAGTATCTCTGGATATAATTTATGCATGATTCATATTTGTATACATATGCAATTTATATACAGTTTTAGCTGTATGTACCGGATTTTAGGCCGCGGATGCGAGTCTCTTGATCGGGGTGCCGCCGCCCGCGCGCTTTATGAGGGCGCTCAGAGTTCAGCTCACTGAGTGTTTCACAGCATACGATGATGACTCGGTGACCACTTACTTGCACTTAGTAGGCAGTCAGATGATACTCAGTGATGCTTAGGCCATTTTAATCATGCTCAGGTTATGCTCTGTGAGCACTCAGGTGGACTCAGGCTGCGTTTAGTGAGTGCACAGACATATCCACTTTCACGGTCTGTTAACTAACTCTTTCCTAGCCTCTAACTTATAATGATCAAGCCGCATCAAGGTGAGGGCCGCAGTATTATGGCATTTATGCTATGCTGTCATATAGTACAGTGACAATCAAGGTTTACCGTTCAATGGTTAAAGAGTAGAATGTTATTAAAAGTGGCAGGGTTTACCGCGTAATTATAGACTAAACATAGTGTTGGTCTCACCAACTGGGTACTGTGTATACAGTTAAGTGAACAGTATTTTGTCGTTTGAAGTCAAATGTAGACTGATTAATGATTGATGGTCTTTCCTGATGGGATTGGGAGTAGTTATGTGTGACTCGACCAATATACAAGGGGGAGAGAAACAGTTATCCTCCCGCACCGGCATATGAAGATTGATGTATCCCAGCACATAGTCTAATTCATATATCAAAGCTCAAGTAGAGAACGGATGTTTAAGAGTTGCCTACTTGATTGATAATGACTGTTTGATGAAGTACTGTCTGAGCCCCGGAATACCAGATATAGAAAATTGCATATGCCAAAGGTTGTCACATCTAAGCCAGGGTAGTGGAAGTTGTATGCTTTTCGAGTGGGAATTTATCCTCGTAGATAGGCAGGGGCATTCCCATGATCGAGGCCTTCACCTGCAGGGCTATGAATCGCGAGTAATACCGAGCCTGGCTACATGCCCCGCCGATATACCATAGAGCGGGATCTAGAAGATTCATGAGCTCTGGCGCCCTTTTTTGGAGCGTGAATTTCGCAACTTACGTCCTGTAGGCTTGAATGCACCTTTGATCTCACCCTCTTCATCCAGGCCCCAAAACTCCTCGACCTGAGATGCAATTTTCTGTCCAAAAATATTTTCTACTGCTTTCAGCATGTCAAGAACGAATCCAGTCGCGAAAACGATGATATCTCCTTTCAGATGAGAACCGTCACTGCATTTGAGACCATCTTTGGTATACTCAATTGGAAGTGAGTCTGATTTCACTTTGATCTATCTTCCAGAATCCGTTGCGATTAGTCCTGTAAAAAGCAAGAAGGATCTGTTATGGAATTGCACAGATATAGGATACCCACCTGGCCGGCACCAATCTTTCGCGATGCGCCTACATCCAGATAATGCCCCCCGAAACGTTCGTACATGCTATAGACCAAATCTCCATATCTCTCGGTCTTGAAACCGGCGGCTTCCAGATCATCGAATGGTTGGGATACTTGACTTGCCATACCGTGTAAGAGTTTCTGATAAATCAATCTGGTCACTGCAAGAGGCATGGAGTGAAATAACCGATCGGCGATATCGGTTGAAATCGAAGAATTGAAGTAGGCTAGATCCAGATTCAGTCTTTCGGCATAGGGAATAGTTGATTAGCTATGCTTACAGTCCATTAACGCACTAACATGTTCTACTGGAACAACATCTGCAACTATTTAGCCAAGGTCGTTCGTTGACCGACACTGATCAAGAATCCCGTACAGGTCGGAGATCGCTGCACCATCGTCACAGATGCCAGACCTGCGGCTAGCATATCTTCTGCAATGTCATGCCCTGTACAGTAATTTAGCATTGATGGTCAACAGTACGTGGAAAACACCTACCCGTATTCGCTGTGCCAACCACAATCCCATGTTTATCTGCCCATGATGACGCTGACCTATATTCAGATGAATGCAGAATGGAACCTTCAAAGCTCCCCTAGATGATAGACATGTCAGATGCATAGAGCCAAGTGAGTGATGTCGCTGACCTGGTTATCGTAAGTTGGAGATGACGGCATCAGACCCCCTCCATTAGCTAGTATCACATGGGCACCAAAGATTGTCTGAGCTTCTCGGTCCCGCTGAATGTTCAATTCCCAAATACCCTGTTCTTGCTGCCATTTTCCGGAATGAACTGTAGTCTGCTGCCATATGTTCTGGCGAGCTTCATTAGCACGCATTCAAACACCAACATATCACCCAGGACGCATCTTACAATCCCATATCTTGCAACCCAGTCCTGGTACCCTTTGGCTAGCTCATTCTTTGTCAGGAACTTTGGATAAGAGTCTGGAAAAGTTCGATCAAAAGGGAGATGAGCTTGAATAAATTAGTGTTGTAGACCAGACCATCAGCATTCGCATTTCATGATTGAGTCTTACCAAAATCTCTCGGCGTATGCACTTCCAATCCAGGCATTAGCGACAGTAAAGGTTCAACAATGCAAGGCCTTACATCTCATAGAGTCGTAACGACTATTCCAACTATCTCCGACCTCATTGTTCTTATCCAGAACGACATAGGACATCGACAATGCCTGCAAGCGGCCACCACAGCTCAGCCCCGCTTGTCCTCCACCAATCACTACGCAATCGTAGCAGTTTGTTGGGTCGAAGCCTGTGGAAAACTCAATCGATGGGCTGTTATTCGAAGGATGAAGCAAATCAACATTACTCTCGGTGCTCAATTGCTCGAGGATCGTGCACAAGACCCAAATCTTCCAGTTGCCTTGCGCATCTGGAATAAGAGAAGCGTTCCCACTGCATGTGGTTTCAGGTGGACCGGTCGTTTGAAAAGAGAAACCTACATCCACCCAGGAGATATTTTCAGTTAGACGAGTGATTTTGGCAGTATCTGGGGTTACTGAAAGCGCCAATGCCTTGGCTCTGGTAGTGGTTGCTTTCCAAGCGGTAGAGACCGATTCAGACGTGATGAATGTACGCAGTGATCCAGTGAGTGCAAACGTGTCTCTCCAGACGGCATCGCCGACAAAACAATCTTGATCTAGGTTTTGGAACTGCTTGGCCAAGATGTTTGTAACTTTGGAGATATCCAAATTTTCCGGAATATTGATATTGGGTAGCGAACAGGGGATTTCGGGAAGCGAATACATGGCTTTTTGCCTTCTAACGTGGTTTTGATTCGTCTCAGAGAATGCGCCTGAGAAGACGACTTATAGTCAAAAATGAGGAAAATGAATTGAAAATGAGTCCTTATAGAAGCGATGCTAGAAAGTAGTGATTCTAGAAAATGTCGGATACTGTCTAGGGGGCTGCTATGTTTAGTAGCCTTTTATTTTATCGAGCGCGATCTACCAGCCCAGATCGACATGCGCATGACGACACACTGCATCAAGAGCAGTTGCGAGAGAAGATGCGCGTGGCACTCAATGAGGAAGAATCAATGTTATTCGGCCGAAATGTGGTCATGATTTTTTATTTGCTTTTAGGTGATAGGAGCCAGCTCTGCAACTTGTTCTATTGTCACCCCAAGAGCGTGTAACATCAATATTTGCTACAATATCCTGATCCGATAAGTAGAGAGCCTTGAATTAAGTTTGATGGCTATTCACATTTCCTATTATGGCTAAATCATCTTCCTAATTGAATCACAAGCCTATTATGAAGCCTTTCACCACACCCTCCGTAGGGTGAGTGGGCAAATAGCTTTGGGTCACGCTACTGGATTAGGACTGACGTGTAGGTTGTTGATATGCCTGCAGGTTTATGAGCAACTATATATACAATTTGTATTCTAAGTTGATTGGAAACCAGATTGGTTTTTTTCTATATGGCAAAGCGCCGGAGATCATTTCCATAGCCAATTCTCCATTGATATCTCAAGCGTTTGAGTGGTAATACGTTTTAAATACTGCCAACACTGCCGCCAGATCCGCCTCCATGTAGGTTGCCGAATCATGCAGCTAAGGTACACCTCCAGTTGCATCTCCACCTAGCATACATGTTAATTGGATGATCGATGTTCGGAGCGTCATTTACGATCAGTATATTTTTCCAGGATGTAATCCTTGTAGCCGCTTAAATACGATAGAGATAATTTCATTAGACTGCAAGAAATGAAGTTCATGACGGCAGTGGTGCGAAGTAGATTTGGTCTGTTGTCGATAGGGCATCGTAAATTATCATTCTAATGATCCTGGCCAGATTGCTTCGCCTGGATTCCTAAACCTTCGGGGCAGTCCTGCAGAACAAAGAACATTCGGGCCCACTCGGTGTCACTCTTATTCTTCCACCCATGCATGGTTGCCCTCTGCACCACAGTATCCCCCTTGTTCAAGAGCTTTGTTTCTCCCGAATCGAGTCGCATTTCTATTTCCCCATCCAATACAACTCCGTAATCTAAGCTCTGAGTCACATGCATGATACACTCGTTTCCTGGCATGAAGTCCACGATGCGACAGACCGTTCCACTTGGGCTGATCAGGCCTACATCTCCCCTAGAGATGGCATCTTCATGATCGGTAATATCAGTACCATCTCGGAGGTCGGGAGGGAAGATTTTTGTCGTGTAAACCAAGTCGATTGCTAACCCGAGATCATCGTGGGTTTTCCAGCTTCCCGGCATCTCTCGAACCACGATGGCTTTCGACGTTGAGGGGTCATTTCCAGTGACATAGTGTATGACCGGGGGTAGAGAAGAGCTCGAGCCAGAGTTGCGATTTGAAGGCATAATAGTTAGGCGTATATGGCTTGAAACTGTAAGGAATTTGCTTTTTTTGAATCAAAATTGCAGCTTCAGTTACCGGTCCATAAAAGGCTCATTCAGAGAAATACGATCAGTATTTCAAGATAAGAGTAAGCAAAATGTATATGCGACGCCCCGTCTTTATAGACAAGGACCCAGAAGTGGACATTCTTTCCTTCCCTTTCCATCCCCATTTATCTTTGTCTTTTCTTCTCGTTACCAACGTACCACTAAAATCAGTCCCTCATTTTGCATTTCCGAAAAAGAGGGAAGTAAGAAAACCTGTTCCATAACCACTAATGCAATGCAATCCAGAATCGAATGTAACAAGCACCCGCGGCGCTGATCACGACCCGGGAGCGGCGACAAAGGAACGCTCATTAAAGTGATTCACAAACATATATTCCTAATATATACATAAACCGAAAGTTACAGTATTTTCTATCAATGTTAGAAGTTGGATTAGTGTACGTTAGAATAGCAATACGCATTATGCCAAAACACATACTAGGGGAATCGCCTCTTAGATCTCATGTAACAAACTCAACTTACGTAGATGGTGTTCTTTAGGCAGGGAGTTATGCTGGTTAAACTGCGTGGTCGCACCAACCCACCCAATGTTTCGGTTTATGCTACGTCTAGGGCGGTTACTGTTGAGGAAGGATCGACCGAGCATGAACTCTACATGTTTATAAAAGGGGCCTAGTGCAGAAATACATGATAGTTGCGATAATGCATTTTCATCCTGCATCGAAATATCCATGGTGTACGTCAATCAGCTTTACGAGACCCGGATTTTGTTGTTTTTCAGGCTGGGCCAGTTCAGTCGGTTTACATATACGAAGTGTTAATTGAACAGAATGGAAGTAAGTTAGGTGGCCTGCGCTGATGATTTCCACTGTTTATTATAGAACGGAGTGTATGCGTCCAGCATGGTGTAAGGTGTCTGGCTGCCTTAAATCGCTTCTACTGCAAAACAACCTGAATTCAACCACAAAAAAAAACTTGTTCTCGTGTTTGGTCAGAAAAAATGAACATCCTGATCAGCCTAGCAAGTATCAAATGTAGACTGAGACTTTTTCCACACTAGATACCCATGCTGAAAATACCCCTATAAATCACATGCGTGAGCTTTAGTTGGAAGAATTCGATGCAATGACGGATACCAAGAAAACTTACACCATGTAGAACAGGCTCGTCGGTGTTGATCTCCAGCATGTTACTCTTCAGCTTGATCACACGCTCCTGTGAACTACCAAGCCAGTTGGGAAACGAGCAAACGTCCATGTGATGCTTCACAAGAACTTTACCATCCAGTTCTTCTAACTCAAAGCGACCGCAATACGCAAGGTAATGCTTCATGGCCCGATAGAGCTCGTCCTTTGTGCCTCCTCCAATGTCAGCATCTGAGAATTCTGGAGCTCCCGGCTCCATCAATTGGGCAGACACAAATCCTTCAGGGCTGTAAATGAGGAAGCCCTGAGCTTTGGGGCCCATAGGGTGGCTAGTAAAGCCATTATCAGCTCGGACTGCCTTGTATTCAACTAGAGACCAGGTCCCAATCAAGCTCTGGCGAGCTTCTGCAACAGTCGACATAGTGAATCGTAAAATGTGACTGAGGTGTTTCGGAGACAATGGAAATGTAATTGCTGTCAACAAGCAAGATATATTTTGCAAATAGTGATGCCAAACCTAGTTTTATATGTGATTTCGAATTGTCATCCCAAGAAGTGGTATTGAGTCCGAATTGTCGTCACGGCACCGATGCACCACCTAGCATGAACAAGGACTTTCATCCGCCTGCTGACCCTGTCTAAAACGCATGACCTTCCATAAACGCACAGTTTTATCACTGATCTGCATGAGGTGAGGGAATTTTTGGTCCTCAAAATGAGCTCGATCACGTAAAAAAGTCATTCATACCTGATTCCATGCGCATCCAAGCGTCATCAATTACTGCATCAAGCTGGAGACACGAGGCTCCCTCATTATTTAATTCAAATCTGGATAGAACTGCCGTTGTGTTACCCCAGTGTATTACCCAAAGAATGATATATCGGTGATGTTCCTTGAGACTTCATAATTGTACGTGCTGTTTGGGGAGCCTTGGGTCTCGCTGATCTCTCTTGTTTTCTCATATCTCGTAGACCCACTTTATTAGAATGATTATATAGAACTTAGCCAGGAGAATATAATACACAGCGGTTTCCGGCTTAGGAAGTTTGGTCTTTCAAGTCAAACAAATCCAATAATTCCTTCCAGAGAAAATCCATTACAAGAAAGACAACATGCCTTCCGTGGTGGCTCCTCCTCAAACAATGCCGATTGCCATAATTGGAATGAGTTGCAAATTCCCCGGGGATGTAACTACACCGGAGAAGCTGTGGCAGGTTTGTGCCAATGGCCGCAATACTTGGTCGCAGACAAAGGAATCCCGCTTCAACTTGGACAGATTCTATCACCCACAGGGAGACAAGATAGGCAGTGTACAAGCCCAAGCCTACTTTCAGCTATGACTTGCCTAAATCTAATGTGTATCTTAATAGACCAACGCAAAGGGGGGTCACTTTCTGGACGAAGATGTATCTCTTTTTGATGCTTCGTTCTTCAACTATACTGCTGAAGTGGCAAATGTATGTTCTAGCAGAGTACAACATGGAAATTGGGAGTCTAAGCTTTACAGGATATGGATCCGCAACTCCGCATGCAACTTGAATCTGTTTACGAAGCTATGGAAAGTGGTACGTGCAAATTTGATTCTCGTTGGAGCCAAGTCGTGCTAAGAATATGATAGCGGGTATCACTATCACACAGATGGCCGGGAGCGTAACATCCGTGTTCTCTGGCGCGTGTTTCAGAGACTACCACGACAGTCTGATGCAAGATGCCGACAACATCCCCAGGTACTTTCTAACAGGAAACGGTGCTGCCATGTTTTCCAATCGCATTTCCCACTTCTTTGACCTTCGCGGGCCCAGTTTGACGGTGGATACGGGCTGTTCAACTAGTCTGGTAGCTCTACATCTAGCATGTCAAAGTCTACGGTCAGGAGAATCGAAGATGGCTCTAGTCGGAGGTGCTAATATCATGTTGAATCCTCACATGTTCATTTCTCTGTCAAACCTCGGGTGAGTCGTCGCTTTTGGTATAAATTTCCACATTCAGGTACTGACATCTGTCAATCAGATTTCTATCCGACGAAGGAAAGTCCTATTCTTTTGACAGTCGTGCCTCGGGCTATGGGCGTGGTGATGGTATTTCTAGTCTTGTACTCAAGCCACTTTCCGAAGCCGTCCGTGATGGCGATCCAATCCGTGCTGTAATTCGGGAAACCGCTGTGAATCAGGATGGAAAGACTTCTACCATCACATCTCCATCACAGGAGTCTCAAGAAGATTTGATTCGCACTTGTTACTCTCTCGCCGGGTTAGATCCTTTGGATACAGCTTACGTTGAGGCTCACGGAACAGGAACGATTGCCGGCGACCAGACAGAGGCAAATGCAATTGGTACGGTATTTGGTGAGCATCGTTCACTTGATGATCCACTGTTTATCGGGTCAATCAAGGCAAATCTTGGTCACATGGAAAGTGCCAGCGGTCTTGCGTCTATTATCAAAACTTGCATGATGCTGGAACGGGGTTTGATTCCCCCTAGTGCCAGCTTTGATGTTCCAAATTCGGCTATCGATTTTCACAGCCTGAAACTGCAAGTGAGTCCGACGAGAGTTGATTGTAGCCTTTGCCTCCTCGAAAGTATTGACCTTAAATAAATTAGGCTCCTGTCGCACTTACTACCTGGCCAAGCCACAAACCTCGACGTGTGTCGATCAGCAACTTCGGATACGGAGGTACCAATGCTCATGTGATCATTGAAGATGGTTATCATTGCCGTCCATGGGGATCGATTCATGTTCAGAATTTTGGACACGGGAGTGTTGAAATCAATGGATTGGCGGATACTCTTAGAAACTTCACTCTCTCCTCCGACGAAACCAGCCGACACATCTTCGTGCTTAGTGCCAAGGAGGAAATTACTGCAAAGGCGATGGTGGAAAACTTGATTAGCTACATCCAGAAAATGCGAAGGGCTCCCACATGGAGCCTGGCTGATCTTTCCCATACACTAACGAAAAGACGTTCCGATTTCCGATGGCGAGTTGCTATTTCAGCCCAAACCTTGAAAGAAGTCATGGACGGTTTTACGGATCCTCGAACAAGTCCAGTTTTATCCGTGCACCCTCCTCGAGTGGGATTTGTCTTCACCGGACAGGGTGCCCAGTGGTTTGCCATGGGCCGAGAGTTGATGTCAACCTATCCAACATTCTTGAGATCCCTAAAAGAGGCTGACTCTTGTCTTGGCGAACTGGGGGCTTCTTGGGGGCTTGTAGGCAGGTAACCCCAGGCGCATGTAATGATCGTTACTGACAGATAATAAAACAGATGAACTACTTAGGGATGAGAAGACCACCAAAATCAATGAGCCATATTTGAGTTTCCCGCTATGTGTGGCCATTCAGATATCCCTTGTTCGTCTTCTAGTATGTTGGGGAGTCTCACCCACTGCCGTGACAGGTCATTCTAGCGGGGAGATTTCCGCTGCTTATGCTGCCGGCGCTCTCACCTTCAGGGAAGCCATGGTCTGTGCTTACTTCAGAGGTTACCTTTGCAACAGTCTTCTGGAGGCTTCCGATCGCCGTGGTGGTATGCTCGCTCTTGGCGATGGAAAGGAAGTGGCTGGCAAGTATCTGCAGCGTGTTTCATCTGGTAGAGCCATGATTGCCTGTTTCAATAGCCCGTCGAGTGTGACTATTTCAGGGGATGTTGATGCCATTGATGAGATAGAAGCAATGGCTGCAGCGGATGGTATTTTTGCTCGCAAACTGAAGGTAGGATGTGCCTATCATTCACATCACATGAGCCCAATGGCTTGTGAATACGAAAGAATCTTGAGCCAGCACCTCCAAGTGGGTGGCAGCTTTGATGGCATCTTGTTTTCTTCGCCCGTGACAGGAGGTTTGCTGGAATCTGCCCGCGAACTAGGCCCAGCACATTGGGTGGACAACATGACAAAACCAGTCTTGTTCGAAAACTCCCTACGCGAGATGATAATTGGAGGAGAAACAAAAGAGCAGAATATCGACATGCTCATCGAAATAGGTCCACATGGAGCATTAGGTGGACCTATTCGACAGATACTGAGTCTACCTGGACTGGAAAATCTGGATATCCCCTATGCTACGTGCTTATCTCGGGGGCAAGATGCTGTTAAGACGATGCAAGGTGTTGCGTGTCTACTAAAAGTTAGAGGCTATGATGTGAATTTAGAAGCCGTCAGCTTTCCCACCGGCTCCAAAGTGCGGCGTGTCATTTACGACCTGCCTGCATACCCTTGGAACCATTCAGTTGGCTACTGGTACGAGTCGCCACTTCATAAAAGAGAGCGGGTGTGTGAGTATGAGGCCCATGGCCTTCTTGGAACTCGACTAGTCGGATCAGTCCCAACGGAGCCTACATGGCGCCACCGCATCCGTGTGTCAGAGATGCCATGGCTGAGAGATCACTTGCTCCAGTCTCAGATGGTTTTTCCTGGTGCAGGGTTTGTGGCATTGGCCATTGAGGCATTTTCACAAATATACCCAACAGTGTCAGGCTCACAGGGTGGCTATGAGCTACGAGATGTCGAACTCTTAAAAGCTCTTGTTATTCCTGATACTACGGAGGGGATTGATCTCCAGCTACTCATTCGAAAGGCCGATGATGAAAATCTGAATTTTAAGAAGGGAGACAAGTTCCATGTCTATTCCCTAAGCCTCGAAGGAGTGTGGACTGAGCACTGTAGAGGATTTATATGTGCAAGCTCAGAGACGGCGAAACAAATCAATCAATCTTCCTTGCTGAGCCAAGAGATCAGCCATGGCGGTCACCATTTGAGGAAGATCAGCCCGAAGCACTACTACAACTCGCTTCAAGACATTGGCCCTACGTTTGGCCCTTTGTTTCGAAATTTGCAGGACATTCGAGCCACTGAATCAATGTCCCTTGCCACATTTTCCGTGCCGGAAATCGCTTGCAACACCTCACTAACGCACAAATCCGACCTTTTGATTCATCCAATTAGTTTGGACACGGCCTTTCATGCGGTTTATTCGGCTATACCTCTCGCCAAACTGAAGCAGATGGGCCTTACGATCCCGATCTTTGTCAAAAGCCTATATGTCTCCTCCGACTTGAAAATCATTCCGCACTCCATTTTCAAAACCTCAGTGCATGTTGATAAGACAACTTCCGAAGGATTCGAAGCCTCACTGGATGTGACAGTAGACGGCGCCACTCCGCCAACTGCCCTAATCAAGGTTGAAGGGATGCTGTGCCGGTCAATTGACCGGGAACCCATTGAAAATCATGAGCTTGATCCAACTCTTTGTTTAAAGACCACATGGGGAGGTCATCTTTCATTTTTGACGAAGGATAAATTGCACTACCAGCTGGCCGCAAAGATGGACCCGAACGAGTCAGTGATTATGGGAAACCTGGCCCGAGCTGTCTTTTACATATCAGAAGAGGTTCTCCAATCACTCACCGAAGAAGATCAATCCAAGCTAGAGTGGCACCATAAACGCTTATTTGACTGGATGAAACACGCCCACGAATCATCTCCTGTCAAATGGAGTCTTTCAACCCCCGAGGAGAAAAATTCCTTGCTTGAGGAAGTGTCAAGCCAGAGTATCAACGGAGAAATGCTTTGTCGAGTGGGCGCTAAGATGATGTCGATTCTCCGAAAGGAAGTCGAGCCACTTACTTTGATGATGGAAGATAGCCTTCTTGATCGGTACTATGAGAATGCATTAAAGCTGCGTCGATCCCTTGACCAGGTTGAGAAGCTGGTCACGTTATTCGCTCACACCAACCCTCGGTCGAGGGTGCTTGAAATCGGCGCAGGAACTGGCGTGTGCACCGCTCCTGTCCTCCGAGCGCTGGGTGCAGCCGACGAAAACATGCCAAACCCCAAGCTCGCCCAGTATGACTTCACCGATATCTCAGCAGGCTTCTTTGAAGCAGCCCGAGAGAGATTTGGGTCGTTGAATGGACGAATGAACTATTTGAAGCTCGATATCGAAGAAGACCCAGAAAGTCAGTCCTTTAAAATCGGCACTTACGATCTTGTCGTGGCCTGCCAGGTTCTCCATGCTACCAAAAACATACAAAGGACCATGCAAAATGTCCGAAAGCTACTAAAACCCGGTGGCCGCCTGATTTTGGTGGAGAGCACACAAGACGAAGTGGACATCCAAATGGTTTTTGGAACTCTTCCAGGATGGTGGTTGAGCGAAGAGCCCGAGAGAATGCTTTCTCCAACGCTCACGGTGGATTCCTGGACGTCACTTCTCGATAGATCTGGATTTGGAGGACTAGACATTGAAGTCGGCGACTGCGAGAATCGACAGGAGTATGTCATGAGTGTCATGATGGCGACTGCCAGCGTTGAGCTTGAGTCCCCGCCCCGAGCCAATATCGCCGTCATTCTTCCCTCGAAACAAGCGCCTCCACCAGAATGGGTAAATGATCTCACACAGTTGATTCAAACAACAACCCTCTTAGATTGTTCGGTTCATTCCATGGGCCAGCCCGAGATCCGGGCAGATGCTTTCATATACTTGGGTGACCTTGATCAACCCAGTCTGAACCAATTGACAGTGGATGAATTCCATAACCTAAAATCCCTTATTGGAGCAAGTCAATATGCCCTTTGGATCACCAGAGGGGGTGTTATGAACTGCGAGTCTCCTTTATCTGCTCTGGTCACTGGGTTTCTCCGAACGTTGCGTTTGGAAGATCCCAGCAAGCGTTATATATCTCTGGACTTGGATCCGGTCTCTGATTCTTGGACTCCGCAAGCCACCAGAGCAATTGTCCAAATCCTAAAGAACACTTTTGCTGATTCCTGGAAGGTGCAAAGAACGGAATACGAATTTGCGGAGCGGCAAGGTCAGATTCTTGTGCCTCGAATTTGCGAGGACTACGAGCAAAATCTGGCTATAGCAAAGCAGATATCGGAACCCGAGACCCAAGCTCAATGCTTCCACCAAAAATCCACATACCTTCGATTAGAGGCAAAATCCCCCGGCAACCTGGATAGTCTGGTTTTCAGCGGTGGACCCGATCCACTACTTGCCGATGGCATGGTGGAGATTATACCACACGCATTTGGGCTCAACTTCCGGGATGTGCTTGTTGCCATGGGCCAGATGCAAGAAGGATTCATGGGTTTTGAATGCACAGGCGTTGTCATTGCGGTGGATGAAGCTTCTACCCACAAATTCAGAGTTGGGGACAGGGTGTGTGCCTTGATGACAGCAGGACATTGGGCAAATCGAGTGCAGGTTCCTTCGACCTCCGTCGCACATCTGCCAGATGACATGCCTTTTGAACTGGGAGCCTCAATTCCAATGATATACATCACCGCTTATCACGCCTTGATAGAAATCGCGCATCTTGAGAAAGGTGAGACAATTCTAATTCACGCCGCGGCAGGAGGTGTTGGTCAGGCCGCGATAAGTCTTGCACAACACATTGGTGCCGAGATTTTTGTCACCGTCGGCTCTCCAAAAAAGCGTGACTTCGTGCATAATACCTATGAGATCCCCTTTGACCACATTTACTCCAGTAGGGACACTTCCTTCGCGCAAGGAATCATGTCAATTACCAACGGTAGGGGAGTTGATGTCATATTGAATTCGCTGTCTGGGAAGCTCCTCCAGGCAAGCTGGGATTGTATTGCGATGCTAGGTCGCTTTGTGGAGATCGGGAAACGAGACATCCAGCAAAATCGTCAGCTTGAAATGGCGAACTTCGGTCGTTCAGTTTCCTTCTGCGCTATGGATTTAGTGCACCTTGGGAACTACAAAGGCGAGAAGGTTTCTCGCATCCTGAGGACCGTCCTTCGAATGATTGAAGAAGGAGATATCAGTCCGCGTACGCCGATCACCACGTTTTCTATTTCAGATCTCCCTCAAGCATTTCGCACCATGCAAGCAGGCAAGCACATTGGCAAGATCGTGGTGAAGGCGGATACAGAAGATCGGGTGAATGTAAGTATATATGAATTTTAATAAACAAACCAATGAAGAGAGCACTGACCTATATTACCAGGTAATTCCTCGGCGCGATGGAATTCTCTTTTCCCCGGACAGCTCATACCTCATAGTGGGCGGCTTGGGTGGCATTGGACGTTCCTTGGCGCAGTGGATGGCTCAAAGAGGAGCCAAATTTATTATTCTAGCCTCAAGACATGCGCAGAGTTCAGATTTCGATTCATTCCTAGAAACCTTCCGCGGGACAGGAACGGTTTGTGTGGCGCGGCAATGTGATGTTTCAAACGCATCAGACATCCAGCACATGGTCCAACAGACCGAGGATGAGATGCCGCCGATAAGAGGTGTGGTACACGCGGCTATGATTTTGCAAGATGCCTTGTTTGAAAATATGACCTACGCGCAATGGGAATCGGCTTTGAATCCCAAGGTGATTGGCAGTCTCAACCTCCATGACCAGTTTCAAAGTCCGGACCTTCAGTTCTTTATTACCTTATCCTCCGCGACCGGTATCCTAGGAAATCCATCCCAGGCGAACTATACCGCAGGATGTACGTACCAGGACTCACTTGCCAACTACCGTGCCGCTAGGGGCCTTCCTGGCATATCGATAAATCTCGGCAGCGTGAAGTCGGTTGGTGTCGCGGCTAACCAAGAGGGTGTTGCCGACCATCTGGAGAGAGTAGGGTTCCGTGCCCACGAAGAAGAGGAGATTCTACATCTCTTCCAGGCAGCCATCCATCGCCCACTGCGGAAACCAGGTTCGGCTCAGATCTTGAGCGGGATTGCACCATTCTCCAATCATGAGGACCTTTCCTGGAGAAAGGAAGCTCGTTTTGCTGGCCTATTGCGGTATAAGAGCTCTGATTCGGCTTTGCAAAGACATGGCACCAGCGATAATATTTCGCTCAAAGAAGGTTTGACTTCTAGCAGCTCACGCTCAGCTGCTGTGGAATTCATCAATCATGCCCTTATAGTCAAGCTTTCTAGCTTGTTCATGATTCCAGAGTCAGACATCAGCATTCAGTTGCCGTTAGCAGAATATGGTGTCGACTCCCTGGTCGCAGTGGAGTTGCGCAGCTGGATTGTCCAAAGCGCCGGGGCCGTTATCAGTGTCTTCGATTTAACTACGAGTCAGTCGCTCTCGGCATTGACTGGGACAATTGTGGATCAAATTTGGTCTAAGACGGAGTGATAGCTGTGGGTTGACTTATCCTGTATTCATTCCCTCCTGCTGTGTCCTTCCATTTCTCAGGCTGCTATTCCATTGCACACAACTTACCACTTTTGAGATACAGGGTCCCTTTGAACTTGTCTCCTTTGACTTAAATAATCAGAACCACTAACCTGGAATGCTATTTTCGATACTGTGCTTCTAAAAGACTACTATCCGCATTTAGAAAGGGAGAATCACAAAATGCGCACTGTCCAACTAAAACGAGCACTTTGACCTTACCCTATTATATAAAATATTACATCACTAGTCTCCTTTCCTATCCTCTGCATACCCTCGCATGGCAGTAAATAGCTAGGATCGACCGCCGCTACATTAATGACGCTGGCCTGTCGTTAAGGGGACAACGGTTAAGAGTGCTCGATGAATGACTGCATTAGGATGGAGCTACAATAATGCATTTGACTGCCCAGGTGGGGTGAGCTGCTGACTTACCTGCTCTTTAAAATTGCTTAGGGAGCACTCAGCTGGAACCCGGGCTGGAACCCGGCTCAGGGAGCAGGTTCAACTGGCTTATGTAATGATCAGGTGATGCTCAGTGAGTCCGGAGTGAGTTTGATGATTATGTAATACTATGGGACGAGCTCAGTTTTACTCAGGGATCAAAGGCGTGATTCATGTGCGGATGGAAAGCGCGCAATTGGATTTATTTTCATTTTTGAAGGATGCTACATCTGCACATGTCTCGAGTGGAGGCGAGGGGTGGCGTCTGGGCAGCCAATGAATGTATGTAACTATGAGAAGATGATATTTCAGAGGGTCGTTGAACTATCTAAATCTAAATTTTCGCAATGCAAGACATGATATACATAGATTATGAGTATATTCAAGCGCGACGCTGGAAGCGTTTTTGGATGCTGCGCTTGCGGTACGCACCGCCATCAATCAAGGCCTGCTTGCGTCCAGGACCGAAATCAGGAACACCGCCCAAAGTTCCGAAGATGTCGCCAATGTAGTTGTTAGCCTTCACACCAGCAGCAAAAGTGGTGTTCCAACCTTCCAAGATACCCTCAACGACCTTGATTCCGGCAACATACAGATTCTCGAGAGCGGGTTCAAATCCGCCTTGGTCAGAGTAGAGCAGGTTGAAGGTGGCTGAGGAGCCGGGGTATGGGCGGTCGAAGTCCGATGCGGTGCGCATGATGATGATGCGGGAGAAGTCGGTCAACTTATAAGCCGAGGAGCGGAGAAGGACTTCAAGGGTGGCATTGTCCTCCTGGGCGCTGGCGCAATAATCGCCAGTGCCGTTGGTCAGGACCTTGGTGGTGTTCTCAAATGCAGAGCCGAGGATGTTCCCGCTGTAGTAGACATCGGACGTCGCGACATCACACTCGACAACGCTAGGAGGTAAGGTAGCAGCCTTGTACTTCCCACTGGGGGTCTTGTAATGACGGCGGTATGCTTGCGCGGTGGCAGAGTCGGACAGGTTTGCCTTGCGCGCGAAGTTCGCAGCGATGGTGCGCAGCTCGGCGTTGACCTCGAAGACCTCGGTGCCGTAGATGCTGGTGGGGTACTGGCCGGGGAAGTCTGCGCCCTGGGGGATATAGCCGGTGGAGTAAGAGCTGTTCAGCTCCCGAATATCGATCTCATACTGGAGAGCGACCTGAACTGCGTACCGAGCAAAGGTTGCGGATCCAGTGGTGGTCTTCTTGGGACTGACGCCCGCGATACCCGCAACGAAGAAGTATGTCTGAGTGAGATCAAACAGGGGCGAGAAAGCAACGGAGGTGACGGTTGTGGCAGCATTGATTTCGGATTCACCGGTGATCAGCTGGCAGATTTCGTAGTCTTCAGTGCAGTGGACATCGGGGAACAGAGGCGAGAGACCAGGGATGGTGATATTGTGAGCAAACAAGTCGAACTCAGGGATATTCCACCATGCTGCAGCTTCTGGCTCAAACTTGGCATTTCGTTAGCGACGATGTGGGTGCTTGAGGTGAGAACGCATACCATTGAGACAATAAAGACCTTGGGGGCAAAGGCCTTCGTAGTTCCAGTAGCTCCGGCACATAGCGCGCTAGTGGTAAGCAGCAACGAAGCCGCCAATGTTTGAAGGAGCTGCATGGTGAAAAGCTGTACAGATTGTTGAGGGCTTTTCGGACCTGCATGTGGCAAAGCTTCTTATTTGTAGGCCCGAAGAATTTGTTACGCCTTTCGCGCTAGGGAGGGACCATCGCCCGATAAAGTGGGCATCGTGATGCCGGATCGGGACAAGATCAACATTGTCGAGTACAATGTTGTATGTGATGTCGCACACAACTTATAAATCGGACCACCGTCAGTTCTCCGATTGGCACTTTTCGGTCAAGGGGATAAATTTCCCCGACGATATGAAGCAATTGTTGATGTCTACATGTAGTTAGTTGGTTTATTTGGATAAAAAATGGTGCACCGCTTATCAGTGCTTTTTGGCTTATCTCGAATTTTTTCTTTTTTTTGTTAATCGGAGCTTGCCGGTCCACTCTTATTGCATAGATATATGGGTTTCAATATATAAGCATTGCGGCAGATTTAGAGTGCGTTCACCTATCTAGTTAGATCCATACGAATGTAGTTAGGGATGGACGGAAGTGTCAATCTCATCCGCACTATCTTTTTAAATGATTCACATTACGTACCAACTCAGAGATATAAAGGAGGAACATAGATAACTATGCTTCACAGATAACATTTGAAAAGAGGTATAACTTTGGAACTAATGCATATTAAGGTGGCACTCAATGCCTAAATTACACGCGGAGAAAGTTACCTACATACGTGGGTATCAAGCTATGGAAAACTGAACCAGGAGAGGCGGAATAGGTGAAATAGGATCGTTTGCCTTTAATTTGCTCATTTTTACCTATAAATATAGGTAGAACCTTGGAACTGTACAAAGTATTTCCCTAAAACTCGCAATCACTTTGAACCCATGATCCTTAGAGATGGTTGCCGCATAAAGCACAGACCAGGGAACTTTCCCCTAATACTACTTAAGCGCCGATAGGCGGCGGTATACTCCATTTATGGTATAGCACAATCAGTCAATGAAGTAGAGGATGTATTGTCACTTTCTTTTCCTGGAAGGCTGCTGATGTAGAATGATGGAACATATTCAAAAAAGAATCCAAGTATAGACAAGGGGATCAGGGGTCTAGGCCTTGTTCCATGGTTCTCATTCTGTACCATGTTTCAAATTTTCGAATCTGACGGACATTCAAGTTTTTTGCCTTCACGATTAATAATGTATGTAGTTTGCATATAGAAGTTAAATAGGCTTCGTTAGTGCTCGATGAAATCCAGGGTTATGAAACCATGGGTTTCACTACGCGCAACTTGAAAATTGTGTCAAAATTTTCAAAATCTTCAGCATACAAACAACATTGTCTAACTAGGATCACCGTGCTAATTCTCTTCTTTTTTTGTCTATATATCAGCTCCCTACCTAGGCACTGGATATTGTGCCTACTGGATATTGGACTGATAGCGAGTTCATTGTTCTGTGTCATGTGCATACCAAGTATTTAGTTTCACACAACTCCCGAATTGCTTTTTTCTCAAAAATATGTGGATAGAATACCACAAGCAGCAATCTAAATACCTAAGTCTTGTGAGAAGAGTGAACGACATAGTCTCTTGTATCACGTTGATGGGGAAGAATCAGTGACGCGGGGGCTTTTAAGCCACCGTGCGACGGAAGACGTTAGACGTGGGGCATGACGCATGTCAAGGACTAGAATAGAACAAACCGAGTGACAGAGTCCATTGAATGTAGTGACAGGCCATGACAGGATATGCTGATCCCCGGAGATTAAATCGTCGTGGGCTTTCAACGTCATCTGACGTCATTTTAATCTATAAAGGTGTTCCAACAATAAAATCAAGGCCTGGCGCTCATTTGGAAAGGTTTGATCTTTGGTATTCAAGATATTATATTTTTTGTTCATCTCGCAACATCCCGACAGTGTGGCCCTCGCTCTTCCTCTCGATCATCCTCTCGATCACATACTCCTCTTGTCTCCCGATACCTCGGCCAAGCCCTACTACAACCATCATGCCGTCAATGCACGAGCGTATCCGCGAAGATCTCCTCAATAAAGAACGTGCCCTATGGACTGCACTTACATCTGCAGATCCTGCACCAGCGATCTTCAAACTCAGCAACCCCGAAGCAAACTTCATGTTCCCTCGAAGGGAAATCCTCACCCTCGAAGATGAAGAGTACTTTAAGAAGATGGTTCGGCCACCATTCCACCGATTCGATGCCTATCAGTTCGAGCAAGTCCGAGTTATCATTGTCGATTTAATGGCCGGCGTGGTCACATGCAAGGTCCGCGCTACAAGAGGGAAGAAAGAATACATTGCGACGAGCTCGACGACTTGGAGTCAGGGCTCCGATGGAGAGTGGACACTTGCTGCCCACCAGGAAACTTTGCTGTGATAGGATGAATTTGTTATACAACTTTGGGCTATACATTTTGGGATGAAACAAACTGGGAGGATGCGTTTGGCGACCGGCGAACGTGTATTTAATTGATATGATGCGACGCATCACGAGTCAACGAATCTTTAATGCCATGTTGCATGATTGAATTTAACCGGGAGTTCAGAAGTTTTCATTTGGAATCGAAATTTGAAGCAACTTTATAACAAAAGTAGTTGCGCTAAAAAGACTGATCGTCGTAGATGCCAGATGGACACAGAGCACGGTCTACACTGCGATCGGAATTACTATGGGACACTCCGCAATGCTTCGGATTCCAATTGGCTGTAGTGCAGATTCATTTGAGATTTATTGGATGCCTTAAATTTATGTCATCTGTCTGGTGGGCGGTTTTAATGCAAGTCCTCAATAGCGCAATGCATGGCTCGGCCTCCTTGCTCCGCAAACCCTGCGAACACAGCAAATTGAGATGCAAAATTATAATCCAGTGCGATAGATATTAATTGGAAGAAGTTTTAGAATGTCTAAATCAGCCATCTGTACTCTGCACTCCGTATTGGTAATCGTTGAAGTATGAATATACATTGTAGGGAACTGGGCCATGAACGTTTCGACCGGCGATACGATCATTAAACAAGGAATGAAAAGAGATTTGCCATACACGATGCATCGATTGATCTGCAGCGCTGTACCCGCCGGTTTAATAAATCTTGCCCAAGCAGGGTGGTCTGCCCAGGCTCTTGTCAATGTCCCCAGAGCACTTTCTTTGCTTTCTTGTCTTTATTCGGGACACAACACACATCAGAAGGAACGCCATGAATGTTCCTCTAGATCGTAACAAGCCATGGGGGTTTCAATGGCGATCGTCCGTATATTTTATCGTCGCGACCATGGCAGTCGCTTTACTCGCCGGTAAGCTACACAAGCGTAACATAACGGAGTGAGCATCTCTTAATCCAGCCACTAGATATGTACATGTATGGATTCCTGGTACCACTTCTCCCTTACGTATTGGAGCATCGTTTGGGGCTGGATAATTCTCTCACTCAGCGCATAAGCACTGCCTTGTTATCGGAGAGTGCGCTGGTCATGGTCGTAGCCAGTCCATTGATCGGATCGCATGCCGATCGCTCGGGTGCCAAACGACTATGGCTGTTAGCTGGCCTTGCTGGCGCATTGCTGGGTTCTTTGATACTCGCTTTGGCAAATTCAGGTCGGTGCTTTGAACGTGTATGCTTAGGTTATTTGATGTTTAACAAGAACAGTCTTCACGCTTTTTGCAGGAAGGCTGGTACAGTCTGTTGCTAGTAGCTCTCTCTGGGTTGTAGGCTTTGCAACTCTTGCGGAAAACGTCCCGGCTGATGACATGGGCAAGATGTATGGCATTGTGACTGTCGCCATTGCCGTGGGTACCTCGGGTGGCCCACTTGTCGCTGGTGTCTTATTTGATCTTGGTGGGTACTGGGTGGCTTGGTCCAGTGTGCTTTTGGTCGTCATCTTTGATGTGATTCTGCGATGTCTGATGATAGAGCGTCTGCCAAATGACCATCAACCGGTTGACACGAGGCCGATTGAGCAAGACACGGAGAGAGATGCTCTTTTGCCACCCTTGAATCAGTCAGAGGAAGTGAGAGAAGAAGAGGCCCTTATTGACGAGAGAACTGGAATTCAGTTCTATTGGTGCCTGTTTACCAACGGTCGCTTCCTTGGCGGTGTGATCAGTTATGTGTGTTTCGCCATTCTAAATGCAAGTTTCGACACGACACTCCCGCTTCATGTGCGTGACACGTTTGGGTGGGGATCTTTGCCGTCCGGACTTTTGTTTGCCGTTTTCCAGGGTCCCGGGGTGTTCCTAAGCGTTCCTCTCGGTTGGCTGAAGGACCGGGTGGGTACTCGGCACCCAACCACGATTGGATTTGCACTTCTTGTACCTTTTCTGTGGCTCATTGGGATACCGGGGGATAAACGGTTTCCTTGGGCAAATCAAGGGCAGATCGGCCCGGTCATATACAGTGCCGCTGTCAGTGGTGCTGGGATTGTGATCTGCTTACTGAATGGAGTGGGTATGATGGAAGCCATTCGTAAGTCTCCGAATGTCAGTCTTGACCCTTGATCCTCGAGTGTTAACAAATCTTGCAGACGCTGTGGATGAGATACAAGGGGAGAACCCCGGGATCTTTGGACGTAACGGGGGGTATTCCCGAGCAATTTCGGTAGTGAGTATGAGCTGGACCTTGGGGATGTTCATTGGGCCCATTTTGTCGGGATATGGCACGGAACATATCGGATACTATGGAATAAACTGTGCATTGGGTAAGTAGTTTATCCCCCTGTCCGAATTCCTCAAGTCTCGGCGCTAATGTGACTAGCGGGGATGTGCGGATTTTGCTCCTTCGTCGCATTTTGGAATTTGAAGTCGTCCGTGCCCCAACGGGCTGCAAGAAATACACGATGTGGGGTTATAGAATGATATTCAAAAAGAAGAGAGAAACAAAACAAGAGAAAAGAAAAGAGAACGAGCGATTTCCGACGTTGCAGAGAGACCGGTGTTTGGGATTGAAAGCTAAATGGAGTCGAGTAAAGAAAGAAGAAGAAAAAACCTGCAAGGCCCACTAAGCTTAGTGTGACGAAAGGACGAAAAGAGGATCAACAGGCTAGAAGCAGGAAATTTAAGAAGTAAACGCTCAGACTCGATCACAATTGGAGTTCAAAAAGTAACAGAAATCTCCGTGGAAGAGAAGTAGAAGAGAAGAGAGAAAAGAGAAGTATAGATGGAAGTTACGATGTTGGACACTGAACGGATTGTACCATAGGACTCAGTGGGACTAGGTAGAAGTTCCAAGGTTGTGGCGGGGAACCGGATTAGAACAAAACAAATTGACCAATTGGAAAACAAGGATCAATTGATCAAATACAAGTGGAAAGTCAAATAAAGTACAAACGCAGCTGTCAAAATTGATATACCGTCTTGCTCCTTTCTGATTACTCACATTTCTCTGTTCTCTCATATCTTATATGAACCTGTATGCATGTACGACGGGGCACCACTCAATGCTTACAGTCCAAGCACCACGTCTCCTATCTAAACAGTTCAGCTTTCTAAAGTATATATTCTTATGTATGTGATCACTCATATGGTGGTCACAGTGACACGAAGACTCCACCTCGGAACCACGGGTACAATTGAAATAAATAGGCCCGAATGATCTCCTGTCCGGCCGAACTTGTTGATTTTCATTATTTTCTTCAGATCCCGGGGTCCAGCTTCTCTTGTTTTTATATTAATAACGTGAGATTGTACAGGAAGAAAAAAATCTTCAGTTTGTGCCAAGTCGGAATTCTTTGTCTTTCTTCTCCTTCTCGGCACTTTGCCGATCCTGACTCTTAATTTTCGCCGCCAATGCTCAAACCCTCGCCATGAAAACAATTCGCCCTCATAATATCGTCATTGTTGGCGCAGGTATCGCCGGCATCGCATGCGCTCTCGCCTTATCCAAGGAACTCTCTCCATTCGTGCCAGACCTCCAAATCACAATATACGAACGACATGACATATTATCAACTTCCGGTGGTGCTATTAATCTCACACCTGTGGCTCAACGGCATCTCGCACAATTGGGGGTATTGGATGAATTGGACCGGATGGGTCCCGAGGGAGGTGCCGATGTGGATGCCATAGAACTTTTTTCGATGCGGTCTGGTCGTTCGATCGGTTCAATCGACTTCACCGATCACAAGGGGGAAGGTTATGGCGGATATAAGGGCCGAAGAGTGATGAGAATCATTCTTTCGGTGGCCATGTTGACAGTGGTTGAACGGACCCATAATGTTGAAATCGTTTTCGGCAAAAAAGTCGTCGGTGGCGAAGAATTCGACGACAGCGTTGTATTGAAATTCCAGGATGGCACTGAGGCAATCAGTGACTTGGTGATCGGCTGTGATGGTGTCCACTCGGCGGTCCGAACCCAATTCGTGGATGCCGATCGACCTGCCGAGTACACGGGGTTGTCATTTTTACAGGCCACAATTGAGAGGGACTCACTCTCTTCACGCATCCACTTCAAGTCATCATCTCTGAATATCTCAAGGCATGGATCCATACTAGCAAGTTATTGTGATCGTGATTGCGATCAAATTTTCGCTGCTGCGATCGTGCAGTTTAGCCAAGAATCATTGAGCCGTTATCGACTGGAACCGGGCCAGGACCGGGCCACTCAGCATCGAATTCGATGTGCCCTCCGAGAAGAGATTTGGGGTCGTTTCGGTAAATGTGGAATTCCCTGCATTCGAGAAATCATCGAAAGTAAAGCGGACTGGATGCTTTACCCCGTATACCAGGTACGTCCAGGCGGACGCTGGTGTACGAACCGAGCCATTTTGTTGGGTGACGCAGCACATGCGGTAAGTCTTGCTAACCAGTGGGATTCGGTTTGACTCGTACCTGACAACAATTTAGATGCCTCCACGCGACGAGTCTGCTTCATATGCACTAGACGACGCGATTCTCTTTGCCCGCATTCTGGCGCGCTATCGTTCAGAGCCTCTGGCAGAAGTCTTTGACGCGTACGAGAGCCTCCGCCGGGATACCATCAACCATGCTTTCAAGGAGTCCCGCCGCATGTGGGAACGAAATCGGGAAATGGGTCTCTTCGAGGGAAGGCTCAAAGAGTGGATGATGTCTTTCCATCTCAAATCCCACGAAAGCGAACGGGAGGCCGCATGGGAGTTTGACGCAAACAAGATGGCTCTCCCCACACCCGCACCTAGTGAGGACCTGGTGTCCTTAAATTCATTTTTGAGAGGACGAACCCTATAAAAGAGTTTTGGTGGAGTTTCGGTTGGCCTGCATGGATGGAGCGTGTGAGTTTCAATCAATGGATACCCGGTAATCATTTGCATCTGCATTGTATCAAGTCCTTAATTGGCCGTTGAGATATGAAGTAATTTGGCCGTATTTGATACTTATACTACATATCGTTGGTATCAAAGTAGATACCAATCAATTTTCCTTCAATGAACTTATGAGACGATACTTATCTAGTAGGCTACGACGACCAACATCATATCACTCCGTCAAAGGTTCTTTCGTTCTGTTTGAGAATCACTTATAGTAAGAAAATGTAAAGATTTACTCGTTGCGAAGACGAACAGAAGGAGGGGAAACTTACCATCTCCAGGTATTGATTGATTCTCGGCAATGAAATGTGGAGGCCGCTTAGATATAGAGAGGGATTTACAGTCTACAAAGGTAAACGTTGTCGTCGGGTCTCAATGCTACTACAGCGAACATCCTGCTATCGGTTAGATGAAATCAAAGATTCCAACAGTCAAGAATGATAAGTAACACGAGAAGGCTTTACACCAACCCGCTAGCTGCTCTGAGGCCTACTATTGGGATGTGATTGCAACCAGAGATATTTCAATTCCACTCACTATCAAGACTGAAATAATATGGGAAAGCTCAAACTAACAGACCACACACCTCGCCCGCAAATCTACTGGTTGCTCCCAACTGTTGCCCCGCAGCATCGCTTAAAAGGAAAGGGTCTGACCAGCAGTTCCAACAACAGCGCTCTTGACCTTGGAAGATCCGAGCAGACTGTAGCTGTAGGGCACGGACGTCAAGGTACCAGCAGAAGCAGTGTTAGACCCTGTGCCGAAGTCGTTGTCATTGGAGACAGCATAGCCACCGTCAGTAGAGTAAAGAGGCTTCTTGCTTCCGGAGAAGACGTTTGACTCAACCAGCAACTGGGCGCCCTGGCGAGTGTTGATTCCATCGGCAACATCCAAGTAGTAGCTGTTGTAGACATGGCCGGTACCGAAACGGAAGGAGGGACCGCGAGAGTTGATGTTGTACCAGTAGTTGTTGCTGTAGGTAACGCGCAGGTGGCCGGTGTCCTCGGCGCCGTTGCTGTCAGAGTGTCCGACCAGAGATGCCTTGTAGTGGTCGTGGAGGAAGGTGTTGGACACAGTGACATAGTCAGCGGCATGGGTAATCTGCTTCTAATTAGAAGTGTCCTGGGCGCTGCTTAAGCGTTGTGCTTACATCAATCAGTCCATCGTAATAATCCTTGTCGTGGTCCATGTCAGAAGAGACATCGCAGTGGTCAACCCACACATTGGTAGACAATTCTGAGAAAAGTTAATGTCTGTTGCTTGACCAAGACTGTGATATGATCCTCACGAATTCCAATGGCATCGCCGTTTTCGGCCAGTACCTTCTTCACACCCAAGTTGCGAATGATGACGTTGGACTTCTCCTTGACCAGGCTATATTGATTTAGTGTCTGCCAGCAAATCCATCGATTCGGGGCGAACATACATTCCGAATCCACTCAAGATGGCGTTTGCATCCTTGCCGATGATACTAGTGTTGCTTCCAACACGAACCTGATCGGCTGTCTGAGTGATGGCACCACTCACGACGACCACCTTGGCGGAATCGCCAGAAACAGCGGAGGTAAAAGCAGCGTAGGACGAGACAGTGGTTGTAGTACCACCAGCACCTCCCTTGGTGCCGCCGTTCTGGCTGGCATATCCCGTGGCGGCCTATCCAACTTTCCATTAGAAGATAGTTCCAGGTTTTCTTCGAGTGTATCAATTCTCACATCGTTGATGCTTGCGCGTTTTCCCAGAAGCTTTGCGTCATTGCTGGTTGCAGTCGGAGCTCCCAGCGCCAGGCTGGACAGGCATCCGACGAGAGCAACAGCAAACTTAGTAATAGGAGCCATCACAATCAGAAAAGTGAAATTTAGAAGGATAGAAAAGAGTTGAGCTTCCGAGATGTCTTGCAGACGAGTTCGAGACTTGATATTTGAAAGATATTCCAATAACACAGTCCATCAAAGGACTTTATATAGGTGTTCTGGAGCGTTATATTGGCCCATCAATGCTTCCATCATAGCCACGCGTATGCACTTGACGCAGATAAAATCTCCGTGATGGATAATCTCCCCCTGGGCTAGCCCGAGCGACTATCGCACAGGTGGACATGACAACAATAATTCTCCGACGCATCATGTATCAAAGTGACACTCCAGGGGTCACTTTCAAGAATGCCAAGATTAAGCCCACGTTTTTCCTCCAAAGGATGGAGCTTGGCGTTATTGGAGGGAGGTGCCAAACCCTGCCACGGGCCCAATATCTCCGGGGGCAAGGGACTAGCTCATGCATAAGTTGTTAAATTGGTTCATTTGATTAGAGTAAATATTATAAGCGATGTGAAGTCTAAGCCCAAGACCATGCCGGAAAAGCTTCCACAATGGTTTGAAACACGTTCGACACGTCCCCCCCCCCTACAATGGCGAAGGTGACGAATTTCGCCAAGGATGCCGGAGTTTCAGCGCAGAGTGCCGATCTTGGCATTTCATGAAGCGTCAAGGGCAGTATTTTCCATCAATTGATGACTTCAAATAAGTGGAAGTTGGTCATCTTCGGCTAGTGCGTCTCTCTTAAGGTTCAAATTATTTGAGAGAGCGCACCTTGAGAAAGTTCCAAAAACTTGATGTAGATAGAAAGAAATAGTTAGTATGTTCAATAGTTCAATGTATATATTCACAGAGGAATCACCTACATGACAGAATTAGCGAGCCAAATGACGTAATAGGATTGTGATTATTTCTTCGGACACGAAATAGCTCTCGATACACAAACGTCAAAGACTCACTCCCCTGCTCCAAGAAAAAAAATCACACACAGAAGCTCTGAAGCTAGAATCCTGAATCGCTGAAGGGTCTTGTGGCTGAATAATCCCTGTACACTCCCGGGGCCAGTGTGCTGAAGTGCAACACTTTTGCGGGGAAGATCGCGGGGATCAACAACTTACGTCTCAGAGAACTTCCAAACTTTGAAATAATAGGCGGAAATGACAGAAACATTTTCATCCGTCCCTATAGTCGACTTCGCTCGTCTAACCGACCCTGCAAGCAAGAATGAGGAACTCTCAAAGCTACGTGACGCGATATTTGTGGTTGGGTTCCTCTATTTGACCAATACAGGATTGGAGGTGCGAGCAAAAGCCCGAGTGAGGCATACACAAACTGACAAATTAGATCAGGATCTCATCCGCAAAACACATGCAGATCTACCAAACCTCTTCGCGTTATCTGCGGAGACAAAGGAGAGATGCAATATGATCAACTCGCCATCCTTCCTCGGGTATACCCGTCTTGGTGCCGAGACCACCGCCACAAAAACGGATCTTCGTGAGGTTGGGCTATATCCTTTTGGACGCGGCTGCTTTCCGTTCTGACAACTCAACTCAGCAATTTGACTTTGGTACCCCCGGAATGAAGCCCTGGACGGAACAGGATCATTTTTGGCAGAGGCTGGAAGGTCCTAATCAAGTATGCCGTCACTTTTCTAATGGAATATTACCAGCTACTCACTCTCAACAGTACCCGGATTACTCTGGTGCCCAGAGTCTAGTCGAGGACTACCTCGCTAAGATTGATGGTTTAGCACAGGAGTTCGTGTGCCTTGTGGCCGAATGTCTTTCTCTTCCGCTCGAAACATTTGATGGCTTCAAGGGAAACATGAGTCGATTGAAATTCGTCAAATATCCACCTGCAGCGCAAAATTCCCAAGGAGTTGGCCCGCATAAGGACTCGGCGGGTCTTTTTACTTTCTTGTCCCAAGACAATACAGGAGGGTTACAGGTGCTGAACAAAAATGCGGAATGGATCGATGTTCCACCCATTGAGGGAAGTCTAGTCGTCAATATTCAACAGGGATTCGAGGCAATCACTGGAGGAATTTGCGCGGCTACCACCCATCGGGTCATTGTATGTTGGTCAAATCCGTGGAATTAGTTCATCGCTAAACTGAATTGTTTGTAGGCACCTACTTCGAGAACGCGTTACAGCATTCCATTCTTCCTAGGGGTCAGACTGGATTTGACGCTCGAGCAGCTCAAAGAATCAGCAGCTCATATCGTTCAACGCATCCCCGCCTCAGATGACAAGAAGAAACGAGCAGTTGATGTACCCAGTGAATTTCTCTCGCCGTTATACTCTTGTGTGAGTTTATCCTCAACGGCCAAGAGAAACACGCTAACAAGTAGCAGTTTGGCGAGGCTCATTTGAGAAATCGCATCCTAAGCCATCCAGATGTCGGACGCCGATGGTACCCAGAATTATATGCGAAGTATTCTCAACACGTTCTTAAATAAGGCAATGTCGCTCAATAACACGATGAAAATGTCTGAATAAATATCCTCCTTCGGGTAGGGCGAAAATCTCAGTAATCCGACAACCTCCAAACAGACGAAGATGATATTGAATGCACACATATGTACATTTATGTATGTGTTCAAGATGAAAGTATGCAATCCCTCGTATAGACAGTAGAATTGTGATTTGTGAGAAACCCCCACAAATGTTTGTTCCCCGTAAATACCCTCTTTTCTGCGGGGCAATTCTACACTCCTTCATCTCTCACTCTCAAAAATGTCAATCAATTCTGCAGCCCTCGACGCTCTTCGGAGCCGCCTAAAGAACGCGACTGTATATACGCCAGGTTCAGGAAATTACAAAGAAAGTCTGGTCCGTTGGTCGGACACAGGAACAAGAGATGCAGTACGCGAACCGACACGTCAAACAAGATGGCCGACTAATTTGCTATAGGGTGTAGTAGTCCAGCCTACCCAGGCATCCGATGTATCTGTTGCTTTATTGTGGGCACAGGAATATAATGTTGATGTCGCTGTTAAGGGTGGTGGCCATTCGACTGCCGGAACGAGCTCGAGCGACGGCGGTCTGGTGATTGATCTGTCGCGACTCAAGGAAGTGACCGTGGATACCGCTCGCAAATCTATAACTGCTCAAGGTGGCGCAACCTGGAAGGAAGTCGATGAAGCCGGTGCAATTCACGGCTTGGCTGCCGTCGGCGGCACTGTCAACCACACGGGTGTTGGGGGTTTGACACTGGGAGGCGGCTATGGTTGGCTGAGCGGACAATATGGCCTCACTATTGACAATTTACTATCTGCGACCGTGGTTTTAGCGGATGGCCGTATTGTTACGGCCTCTGCTACAGAGAACATAGACTTGTTTTGGGGATTGCGCGGCGCTGGGTACAATTTCGGTGTTGTGGTGGACTTCACCTACCAGGCCTATGATCAGAAAGATCCGGTATACTCGGGTCTCCTTGGATTCACACCGGACAAGCTGGAGGCAGTCATGGATGTACTGAACAAATCCTTGGAAGATCCTGACTCTCGCTTCGGGGCAATGTGCATATTTACACTAGCACCAGATGGCTCTGGGCCGATGATCATTCTCATCGGCTTTTTCAACGGCCCCCGCGAAGAAGGCAAAAGAAAGTTCGCCGACTTTACGGCTCTAGAACCAGTCCTGAATACCCTTGATATGATACCATATTCTGTGGTCAACACACTGCAGAATCCACAAGCTACTTACGGCGATCGCAAGTCTTTCAAGGGCATTTTCTACGAACCACCATTGGATCCGCAGTTTGCACGGATGATTTTCAACGATTTCATGGCCAAGATTCAGTCTGAATCGGACCTCTCGGATTCTGCTATCATACTCGAGTTTACCGACATGCGCAAGATTTGCGAAGTGCCGTTAGCTTCCACATCACTTGCTAGTCGCAACCAAACGCAGAATGGAATTATTTACTTAAGATGGACTGACCCATCAAAGGATCTGGAGCACCGGGCATGGGCACGCGAGGTCCAATCTAAGTGGAAAATTGAATTGGATACCCGGGCCCCCACCCAGGGGGATGATTCGAGCGTCCCTCAATACATTAACTATGCAGAGCGTGAGTCTATCATGAGAAAGCTTATGTTTGATTATTTACTAACCCAACCCAGCGGGTGATTCGGTTGTATCCAACATATACGGTCACAATCTCAACCGACTGCGAGAGGTGAAAATCAAGTATGATCCTAAGAACGTCTTCCATAAAATGCACCCAATCTCAACAGATGCACATGCATAATCATGTTAAATGATTGAATTGCCATAGCGTTCGAGCTGGCATACTCAGCCATTCTCCCGCAACCAATGTGAATATCATGCCGGTGGCCTTATCCTATAACATCGATGTGTTAGGAAAGCGCAAATCATATTTGTTGTCAGCCAATTTCAAGAATATACAAATACATATCAACTCAAAGACGTGGAAGAATGTTGTATTTGACTGCCTTGACGGTAGTCCACCCCTCTAGAGCCTCCTCGCCCATATCCCGCCCGAACCCGCTCTCCTTTACTCCTCCAAATGGAACATTGGGGCTTAGCATTGCCCAAGCGTTGACAGTCACCTGTCCTGACTCCAGGGCTTCCGTCACCCGATGAGCACGACTCACGTCGTTAGTGAAAATTGCAGCACTGAGACCATGGTGAGAGTCATTGGCTTTCAAAATAACTTCTTCCTCAGTCGTAAACTTGGCGATGCTCTAGGAATGACACATGCTGATCAGAATTGGCACCATTTCACCTCCCAGAAATAGCATACTTACCGCGACAGGGCCAAATATCTCCTCCCGCATGATCGTCGCATCTTCATCGACATCTGCGAATGCAGTGTTTTGAACAAAGTACCCCTTGTCGCCGATCCGGTCCCCACCAAACAAAAGTTTGGCTCCAGATTGCTTTCCTTGACGAACAAAGTCAAGAATTTTCTCATGCTGAATTCGACTTACTACTGGGCCTTTTGTGGTCGAAGGGTCCAACGGGTTTCCTGCCACTGTTGGGACATCGGCCGCAGCGTTCTTGTAAGCCTCAATAAAGCGATCATAGATTGACGCTTGAACATATATCCGGGAGCCTGCGGCACAGATCTGACCATTGTTGGCAGTGATGCCAATGCGAGTCCATAATAGTGCGTTTTCAAAATCACAGTCGTCAAATACGATGGAGGGTCCCTTTCCGCCTAGTTCGAGGCTGACCTTCTTTAGGTTTGTCCGAGATGCTGCTTGTAGGATCTTCCGCCCTGCGACAGCACTGCCTGTGAAAGCTATCTTTCGCACATCCATATGTTCAGAAAGGGCTTGGCCTGCGGTGGCACCCTCGCCAGTGACGACAGACACAACCCCAGGAGGGAAACCAGCCTCTTTGATCAACTCTGCAAGCCTCAAGGCATAAAGTGGTGACAACTCAGAGGACTTGATGACCAGAACATTGCCTGTCACCAATGCCGGGGCTAGCTTCCATATAGTGATCATGCTAGAGTTGGTTAGTTTTCTCATCGCCTCGTGTTGCATTGCTGGATTGGTTGAAGCTTACAGTGGAGCATTCCATGGTACAATTGCACCGCATATACCCAAGGGTTCTCGATAGGTGTAGGCAATACCACCATCCATTTCCAATGTCTTGCCGTCAATTTTTCCTGCCCAGCCGGCGTAATATCGTAGACAGCCGACAGCCTGAGGAATGTTCATACCAATGGAGTCGGTATAAAGAACTCCAGCATCAACGGCCTCAAGAGAGGCTAAGTCTTCAGCATCGCGCTCAAGCAAGTCTGCAAGCTTCAGTAGAAGCCGGGCCCTAGTAGGACCAGAAACTGTTCTCCATGTTTTGAAGCCAGCCTTGGCAGATTCAACAGCACTGTTGATATCATCTGGTCCCGCGGCAGAAATCGTGCCGAGTTGTTCTCCGGTTGCGGGGTTCTCCACGGAAAGAACTTGGCCGGTAGATGAGGGGACAAACTTATTGTTGATGAAAAGTCCAGTTGAAACTGTTCAGAGTAAGCAAGCAACATATACCTAAGCCCGACGGGGTCTTACGTGTGATCTTGCGGCCCTGAAAACCAGCAATGGTCAATTTTGCAGGCATCTTCGTTATTTGTGTAAATGATTTGTGAATTTACTATCACTAGGTCCGTCCGCTCAACTTCTTTTGTATATGGTGGCCTCGGAACGCATTCCGTCACGCGGAACAGCAACACGACGGTTCCCGAGGGCTGGTCAACAGAGGGGCATCAAAGCTATCTGCAGTATCGTCAATTTATATTCAAATGATTTGTTACAGTTGCATACAGTGTTTTAAAGATGAGATGGGTTTTCAAAACCTCTAAAGTATTCGTATATGCTCTCTACACATCTTTCCCAAGGCCTTTCTTTAATTGTGCTTTGGCTTCTCTCTAATGAGATCTTTCAACTGTCAAAATATGGCCGCCATTCTTTTTGATATCGGTATAAGATTATATCTACGATGTGATGTGCTTACAGCAGTTTCTGGCTTGTATGTCTTTTTCCTCTGTATGTGTGGAGTAAACTATATAAAGACGAGCATCGACTGGGCAATCTCCCTTTTTCTTTATAGTTTATAAGATCATTCATCGTTCCCGTCCAATCAAATTCGTGTTTATATGTTTCGGACAAAAGCTGTGAGAAGAAATTAAATTGTGGCCTGGGAGGATTTAGTTCACTGAACACTCGACACAATCATATCACAAGTTTAGATTGATTAGATAAGCTTCGAAGAAAGAGAAGACTCACTCGATCATGTTCTACTTGGCTTTCCAAAAGCCCCATGCCAGGACCAGCAACATCTTGATGCCGGCCGATAACCACAAAACAGGAGAGATTGCTCCAGTAGCCTTGGTGACCCATCCACCAATGATGGCACCCACAATGGTCAACACAAACGCAATAATGCGGCGGTCACGCTTGTCGTTCCTTAAAAGGAACAGCTTGGGATCTGACATCAGGTCACAGAGAAGACTCGTGATTACCACGGTCGGAATTTCATTGAATCCCAACGAGCGACTTGCCACAATTTGACCGGCAGATTGGAGGCTGAGGAGCACGATAGGGACTTCTTGGTCCCATGGGGGTATGACACGCGATATTTTGCCATCTAGAGCACTTGAAATGGCACCTCCTTCGACGAGCCCAGCCGTAAGAGTGATAAGACAGGCCTGCACGAGGAAGGATAGCATCAGACTCCCTCGGCGTCGAGCCCCGAGAACACGATGTAATTGAGCAAAAAGAAATGACCCCAGGATAAATGAGCCGATGGATGTCAGTGACCGAGCCCAACCATAGGGTTGAGGGTTTTGTGACGATGCCCCCAGTCCGACGAAGATGGTGTTTCCTGTAGAAAGATGATGATTAGGCTCTAGATTCTGCAATTTGGGGACTTAGGAGGGTGATCATCATACCCGTCTGCATAGAAACAAAAGTGTTATAGGCTATGGAGGTTAGTGAATACGCATGTCGAGGGATTAAGCTGTTTCCTACCGCGGTATATTGTGCTATCCATGAGTCCAGATATCAGGCAGCAGGCAAAAAGTAGATGGTGGGCATATTGTGACTCAATTTCAGCCTTCAACGACATAGAAAGTCCGCCCAAAGTACCCTTTTCATGATCCATGTTAAGTGTTGGTTACAATCCGTTCGAATAAAAAAGTAAGCAGGCAAAAGAAGAGAAGAAATAAGGTGGATTATTCAATGGATTGTGCAACGCGGGAAGGATGTGTCGATAAACTATGAGATCTGACCACTGTCTCCTCCCATCCTCCCCTCCTCCCCGGTCGATCGCATCACCATCATCTTCTCTGCAAGGAATGCATCCCAAGACGGAACCAAGACGGAGCCAAGACACAGGGAAAACCCCGAAGTTCCATGGAAATCCAAAGATTGCAGAGCTCGAGATGAGATAAGACCAGCCACTATCACATGTCGCGCATAATTCCAAGGTTCCCAAAGATGTTTTCTGATATAATATGTTCAGGTCATCGAGCCCGAGTTGGTGCTAACTCTCCGATGCGTGCCTAGGTCTGCCAAGGATGACTCGGTGGAATGCGTGTTGCCGAGATACTTGGCGACAAGTTTCTCCTCCCAAAACTCCACCCGCTGGCATGAGTTGTGTAACAATGCGTTCTCACGGAGGGGTGATGTTACTACCCGCTGGGCATGATCACCTATCCTTGTGGCGGCCAAGAGTTTATTTGATAATCCTGGTTTCTGATAGGATTTTGAGAGCGCTGGGGGTAAAGACTCAAAAATCAATGGAGCAAGTTTCTGCAATGCAAATCCAAGTGTTCAACCCTCCATCTCAGCCTTGAGCACATCAACGTCCAATTCAGCCATAACTCCAAGGACGACGCCTAAACTCTCCATGAACCCATTCACAGAAACACGCAACATCCGATTGGTGGTTGCTGAGTAGGTGGTTTTCAACACGGTTTTAGATTCTTCGGGATCTTGTTTTAGCTTCTTTTCTCGCGGTTCGGATGCGGTTTCGGAACTAGTAGTGTCGAGGGCAAAAGTCCGTCGTACGAAAGGGGATAGTTCGGCGTCAACCTCTAGTGCGCGCATGGCGGAGGAAGCAAGACGATTGGTTGGAAGGGGTAGAGAGATGGTGCTAAGTTTTCTAAGGTCAATACGTATTTCCTGTGAGAGTTTCAAGATAGGACATACAGTGAGTAGGGAAACTCAGCATTGGCGGGATCCGTGGAAGCCATGAAACTAGAAAATAAGAGAGTCCGGAAATCCAAATTACGCGTATTCCCGTCAAAAGATTGTGGTTGATGAGATCGACGAAGTGGGAATAGGCAATTTGGGAATAGGCAATTTCGCTTTGGAGGGGTGCTGCCTGCTGACTAAGATCTTATATTCCGCCTTCAACTTCTGCATCTGGGCATCACCATTTCCTTTTGGCATAGTACTTTTTTTTGCTTTTTAGATTAACGCTTTAGTCGATTTGTTCCCTGTTGATCTCCCGTGAAGAGCTTGGTGGGTCGCCTGCCAAATGGTGCATTTGGCCAAGGTTTCCCCCTCTCAGGAGAACATGCTCTTGCTGATCTCTGCAGACGGTACATTCGCAATTTGCAATCATTTAGCCAAGATATATTATATTAATCTCTCACTTTCGATGAGCAATCTCGGCTGAATTCCATTCGCCAATCGAATATTACCCTGAACAATGCATCACAGAGATGCATTATCTACGCTTTGGCTCATGCAGATCCTGGCTCGCGCGCGCAACGATGCATAGCCCAACAACAACAAGTTTATTGATTGATGGAAAAGTCAGATCGTTTCTTCCCGGTGGACTAGCGTTGATCTCGCGTAATATGCTCTCCTCGTGGAATCATCGGAGCTGAGGTCATCTGAAGTCTGACGCAGGATCGGTACGACGCGAGGGTAAAGATAATGCCATCTCGAGTACTTGGCAGACAGTGAAAGGTTGCATCCCCAAGATACCAAGACCTTCGTTTTGGCTTCGGTTACGGTTATAGTCTTTTGTTCTTTACGATGAATCAAACGTGAGTGTAGGCTTAGTCTCTAAGTCTAGTGAGATAGTGAGACTACCATTAAGGCATCAATAGATTGAGCTGAAAGCTATAAATATTGGCATTTCCTTCGAGGATAAGAGTGTAATTCAAGAAGTCAAAAAGTCAAGACCTTAGGCATTCAAGAAATCGACACCATCAAACATGACTATCACGATCACCGTTGAGAAGGATGGATACTACGAGGTCAATGGGGCCCGGCAAGAGCCTACTGTATCTCTTTATGTGATTCCTGCAGCTTCCAAGTTGCGTCGGATGCTCAAAGACACCAAAGACCTCATCGTGTGTCCTGGGGTGTATGATGGTCTCTCCGCTCGCATCGCAATGGAAGTTGGCTTCAAGGGACTTTATATGGTGAGTGAACCGGGGCTGAAAATCCCCTTCTGTGTCAAATGCTGACTAGCTACCTAGACTGGTGCAGGAACCACCGCTTCACGCCTGGGAATGGCGGATCTCGCTCTAGCGCAACTCCACGACATGAAGACCAACGCTGAGATGATCGCAAACTTGGATCCCTTTGGTCCCCCGTTGATTGCAGACATGGACACCGGCTATGGAGGTCAGTAGAAGGTTACCTTAGGTACACCAAAATTGTCAAACTAATTTATTGTCCAGGTCCCTTGATGGTATCAAAGGCTGTTCAGCAGTACATTCAGGCTGGTGTGGCTGGTTTCCATATTGAAGATCAGATCCAGAACAAACGTTGTGGGCATCTTGCAGGCAAGAAAGTCGTTGGCCTGGAAGAGTACCTCACACGTATTCGTGCCGCCAAGTTGACCAAGGATCGTTTGCACTCGGACATCGTTCTAATTGCACGAACCGATGCACTTCAACAGCATGGTTATGAAGAGTGTATCCGCCGGCTGAAAGCTGCAAGGGAAATTGGAGCGGACGTCGGACTGCTTGAAGGTTTTACCTCGAAAGAGCAAGCTCAACAAGCTGTGCAGGACCTGGCTCCCTGGCCTCTTCTTCTCAATATGGTGGAGAATGGAGCCAGTCCCCTGATCACTACGAAAGAAGCTGAAGAGATGGGCTTCAGAATCATGATCTTTTCTTTTGCCACGATCACCCCAGCTTATCAAGGTATCAAGGCCACTCTACAACGGCTTAAGACGGAAGGAGTTGTCGGCACACCGGAGGGGCTAGGGCCAAAGACAATCTTTGATGTCTGCGGGTTGATGGATGCCATGAAGATTGACACAGAATCCGGAGGTAATGGCTTTATTGATGGTGTCTAAGAGAAGTTTTGTATGTATGCATCGTTGGACTTAAGCAGCAATAAAGTTATTTTGATTAGCTAGATATACAAATTGCAAGCATTATTCTCGAACCCCTTTCAGATACATTAGAGCGATTCCATTTCTCAAAATTCTTCCTCACATTGCTGAAAATTCAATTCATTCCTAGGCTCAACCGTGAAAACCAAGAAAGAGCTTGTTTTGACGATTTCCCTTTCGACAACAGACCACTCTCCACTTGGATTGATTTTATTCAAGCAAGACCATAGACTGAACTCGACCCATGCATTTGGATTCGTTTCCTCTGTCAAACCGCACATTCTTTCATCCCGGAATGGCATCTTGGGTTGACTACACCAAAATATATATGAGTCTTTCTGGCATTCAAGCAAATGCTTGAATTGGAGACAGCGCCACACTATATCGTATAATTGATCCGATCGTTTGGTTTTGTCTGTGGCAGAGTATTCCTCGAAAAGCCGCTCCGTTTCGTCAACGACTTCATTGCATTTATCGTGTAGAGGCAGGCTTTCTAAAGAGGATGCGGCTTTACTCAGTGCACATCTCCAGTGGTGTCCTCCGTGAATGGGACCTAATAACTGTGAAAATCAAACATTACCACCAGGTTCTGTCCAAATACTTACAACTTGTTGTAACTTCGCCGTCGAGCTTGCGGAAATGCTCGTCCCGATAAGCCCCATAGTTCACACTGAATGTTGTCCAAAATGATCGATAAATCAGGCCCGCAATCTCTGATTGAAGAACATCCTGACTCAAAGCCTCGTATCTCTCCTTGGGTTCGACAGTATCATCTCTTTCTCCAAGTGCTGATGCTATCCGAAAATGACTGAAGCTCCATTGCTTGAGGTCATTATAGAGCAAGCACATCTCTTGCTTGGGCTGCTCATTGGTGAATGTTTCGATCCCTGACTGTAATTTTGCTATTTGTGTTTTAAGGACGTGGTTCTCTTTTCTGGCGGCTTTTGCTCCACGGGTGACATCCTCCAGCAGCTCCGCTGTTCCACGAGCCTTCTCCTCTGCAATGAGTCGGTCTATTCGGAGGGCCTCTGCTTGTCTTTCAGCATCTTGAACTATCTGCTTTTTTGTTAAATAAACAGATATAACCGTCGACTGTGTTTCGTCACAAACTGGCTGAAGCCTTTCCATCTCCTCGCATATGGTGTCATGGTCGGTACGATCTTCAAAATGTTTAGTCTGTCTCACTATCTCTCATGTATTCCCAACAGAACGATGTGTAGTTACTCACAATTTGGAGGTGAATCCTGGGGACTGTGTATCAAGGCATTGATCCGGTTAGGCCTAGCGTCGATAGGTTCAGGCCACATACTTGAAAGAATGAAGACAGCAATACGAATATTACATGATAGATAGACAAGTAGTAGAAGATTGAAACGATTATCGATTTTCAAAGTCAATAGCCCATGATGACGGCACGATTTGTTGACGATTCTAGATTGTACTTCACCCGAAGCTCCATACGGCAGCGAGGGGGAGAAGAATAGTCAATAATCTCAACCTTGCGGAAGAAGCACAGCACACTTTGTGGCCGAAGTGATTCTCATCTTCTGTTCAAATATCTATTTTCTTCAACTCGACTATCTTAATGGTAAAGTTTTGTTCTGTCGAAACCGTATTTAACATGAGTCACAGAGCGACCGACCCTCATAGTGGGTGTTGACTTTGGTATAACCTTCAGTGGGTGAGGATATCCTTCTTTTGATGTACTCAATATTGCTGACAGTCCTTCAGTCTGGTATCCCTTCTTCTACTATCCGGCATGATTCTGAGCCAGAGGTAGCTGCTGTGTGTGCGATCCGCACAACTCAGCCGAATTTGATTGTGGTACGGACCCCAAGATCGAAAGAGAGATTTGAAGAAAAATTAAACACCATCTAGGAAGGAGACTGTCTAGTTGCCTTGATGCTGGCGGAGGCACAGTCGTGAGTAATCTACTTTGATGATCCGGGATATTGGATCCCTATACCTAGTGTTTCGGCCATCTCAGAATCGATCTAAGCGACGATCATTTATACCTAGACAAGTATAAAATCCTTATGCGGCTTTTATTGTGTGAATCGGCCATTGATTGCTTTGACAAAAAGCCAAGTCAAGGGGATATTTGACCCTATCGGCCAGCAGACTAAAGATCTGATATCAGAGCAGCGAAAAAGCGTCAAAGAATTGGGATTGGTGACTAAAGTGAGTCATCAAATTAACTCCAAAATACTTCGCGAGCTTCGGGTTAACTTGCTATAGGCTATTATTCTCGTTGGAGGACTAGGCGCCTCTGATTCTTCCATTGACCAAATCCGAGGAGCCCACTGCGGACTGACTTTCGTAGGTGTTTCAGATCTATGCGAGCTAGACTCAGATCTGAGTAGAGTTCCAAGGGAAGCTCCAAGGGAGGTTTCTATGATGGAGCAAGACTCCCAGGGTGTGCAGTATTACAAACTTGTATACGAAATGGTGCTTACTCCAACATCTGCTTCGTTGTTGTTCGAGCTACAGCTCAATGGCATCCCCTATGGAAGTATGCGATCACGCTATTGAATCCGGAGAAAATCAAGTTTTGGCTTGAGAGCAATGCTGTATTTTGACATGGTCGATCGCGTGAAAGCTTTTTTCTATTGTCTTTGCAGAATTATCAAGGCGGCTGAGACCATATAACTGTGTGTTTGCTCCATTTGACATTCGAAGTACCATAAACGATTTACCGAAGCTCGTCTGAAATATGATGTATTGTATGAAGACTACGAAGCCTGATAGCATCCGCTCAGATATAGAGAAATGAATGACGATGTAGACCTATAAATGGTCTAGCATGCCCATATATATGGGCGTAGGAGAATGGCAGAAAACCAAAGTACTTTAATGACTATAACAGAGATCAGGGTAAAAAGAGGTACAAGAAGATGTATAAGGAGAGATGAAGAGATAGAGGGATCATGATTTTGATAGTGCGTAGATAGTACTCCATACATAGTTGTTGATTAGCGGCAATCCTAGGAATAATTCAATCCAACCCCTGGTCGCAGGTATGCACCTTCGCAAGTGCTGACAAAGGGTGCATATCCATCAGAAATTCCGACCAAAGTAACGTAGACATATCGATTAATATCATTCACGAATGGAACCACGGAGGAGCTTCATATGCTGCAAACCTGAGCCTTCTAAGGTTTCCAAGGGTGCGACAAACGCCATCTGGTTCCAAGAGAAAACTTGATTCTTTCCGCCATATATGAAAACCTCAAATCTGCCGACAAAGACACCGTCAACCCACACACGGCTTCCCATCTTCGCCGTTGTGGAGATGGTGACTTTTGAGTTGCGAGGAACATTCACAACCTCATGGGTTGAGGTGGTCTTATTAGCCCAGATTCTTCCGGGCTGATCTTCGTCGAAACCGTCGGCTTCCGCAACAGAGCGAAGAGGATAGGGCCATCCGTCAGACAAAAAAGTCAATTCGCCATTGGATGATAGTGTGAGACTTCCGTCAGACGATTGCAAAGAGAATGGTCCCGTAATCTCTAGCTGAAGGGTGTAATCCATGCCCTTGCTGCCATAGCCTAGATCATATTTTTCCTGGTCGTATGTGTTTGGTCTTCTCCATGACAACAAGGTTTGGTGGTTGCCTTCGCCCGCAAGTCGTCGGTCAAGATTTTGACCCACTGCGTGAGCAGTCAATTTAGCGATGGATTTGTCCAAATTTTGCTCGTTCAAGCGAGGGCCACGAGGTCCAGACCACGATCGAGATGCGACGACCGGAATACCATCACGAATGGCGTAGAAGGCTTCAAGCTGGGTAGTGGCGTCTGGGCCGCTGTCGTTCCAAGCAGCCAGCAGAGCTCCTGGCACACCATCAGCCCCTGGTTGTTCGGTCGTGTTCACTGGGTTGAAGAGCTGAGGGTTCCATTGCCATCCCTTGCGGTCAGCGAAGTTGACAACCCGGGCGTTATTGAAGAACTGGGGATACGGGGCTGGGGTGATAGGCACATGATTGCTCTTCAGCGACATATATGCCCACCAATCCTCGGAGTTGATGACCTGGTACCCGTTGCGAGCCAAGTCAACGGGGTCAGATTGGCCATACTGCCAGTGTTGAATTGTGACATTCCGATCGATGGTAAAGTTTGAGGGTTCATATGTGCCCCATATGCGGACACTCTTGCCAGAAGTCTGTTGGATGAATCGGGACATCTCATTCACGAACCCAACGTAGTCATCAGCAAGAGCGGCATCGTACTCATCGGCGCCGATATGCACCTGCTTTGTGTGGAACCAGGGGAGAAATTCAGTCCAGATAGACTTCATCAACGGAACGGTCTCCGGGTGCGTAAGATTGAGCAAGTCCCTAGAGTCCAAAGCTAACTCGGGTTTCCATTTCGTAACCGTGAGACAGTGGCCAGGACTTTCGATTTCGGGAATCACTGTGACACCACGTTGGGCACAATGGTGCTGAAAATCATCGAACTCGGCACGCGACAGCGTTTCATTGGCACGCTGGACGAGCGGCTGGAGGGATGGGTTCTCGGGATGTAACGCGAATTGGGAGTAGACCTGATTCCAATTCACATTGGGACCACGACTCAATGGGAAGTTGTCGGTCGCATGATAATGGAACTCGGACATCTTAAAGAACGAGGCATAGGTGCACAGATCCTTCAGGAACTCCAGCGAATACCACTTGCGGCCAGCGTCAAGCAAGAACCCTCGAGTCGCATAGGCGGGCACATCATCCACGCGACCGGATTGTATGGACGACGGTGTCAAGGCAAGCTGTTGGAGAAGGGTTCGCGTCCCCCACCACATGCCACGCGCCCCGGAGCCTCGAATAAACACACTGTCATTATGAACCTTCAACTCATATCCCTCCTCGGTTTCGCGGCCGTTCTCGTAGGTGAATTGGTTTGCACGATCCGCGCGACCGAGAAATATGCCTGACGCGTGTGTGGGGAATTTATTGACCGTTCGAAGCTCCCAGGAACTGTTGGTCAACTCCTGCAAATCATCCCTGAATGTACTCGCAAAGTCGTGAGCCGATGGAGGGATCAGGGTCAACCCATTTTGGTCTTTCCAAGACGCGAAAGTGGCATCTAGGTAGATTGTCCGGTTGGCAGTTTCTAGTGAAAATCCGTAGGAGTTTGTGTTTTCGAAGTGCACTGGAGGTAGGGTCTGCAGCGCGGACGCGACTGCAGCAAAGGTGAATAACCACTTCATATCTGAACATGGCGATAGTAGCCTAGGTCGTCCTTCTTATGAAGGGCTCTTGATGGCAGCGTTACATTCCTGGAGGGAATGGGGAAAGGTATGCCTATCGTAGGCGTGGGGGTTGACGCGGGATGAAAGACGGAAGAATCCGACCACGCGGGGAAGTTTACGAGTTTCCTCTTCGGGTCTTATCAGGGTACTGTGACGTAGTACCTAGGTAGTATACATAAATGCAGATACTAGATCTAGGTTGCATTACTCCTATACGACCTAAATAAGTAGTCACCTTAATCAAAATGTAATAAACGCATACCAATTGTTTTCTTCAATCAATGCAGCTACTTAAGCCCGTATACGGGTCAACAGATGGTCATCCTTCAGTAGATCTTTTAAAATTGCAAAACTAGTTAGACTCCTAAAGGGATTCGTTCTTTTCATTTCCTCCTGTAGATCTGTTAAAATAAAATCACCTCATGATCTATGTTTTCGTATGTACTGCAGAAGTAAGCGAATATTTGTCCGACATTACTGTAGAATCAGTCGATCAAGTCTCCTGGGTATCAGGGTTTACTATAGCCTCTTGCACGTGCAATGGCAACACAAAGGTGTTCCCTAGGCCTGCCCAATGAAGCGCATCAAGGCGTGCAAGTCCGAGTTTGACAAGTGGGAAGCTTTGAGTTTGACATCGTAGAACTTGAAGCCACGAGTCGACCAAGTGCTTTCCTCGGATCGCGTGAGCAATATTAGGGGCCTGTACCAGTAGCAACATGAGGTAATTAGATATTGTTGCAAAGCCGATTCGGGACCCTGATTGTGTTAGCATCTAGGCGATGACATGTAAGAAGAAGTCCGAAGACTGCGCTTACAGGAATACCAAAAGGCCGTGAAGTCACTGGACGTCAGTCGTCTTGTAAAGTTCACTACGATGGATGCACACTTCTCTGCCGCATGCAAGGTAGCCTCGCCAGTACCAAACTCGTCGGAGATGGAGATCTCTGGCAGTGATTCAATCTCGGGGAGATCGGCAAAGTCAAGTATTGACTCATCCACAGGGAATGGAGATGTAGGAGTCATATCCTCCAAGTCGAAAATCAGGGGGGGCTCTGATGATCGTGCCATCGGCCTAAGCATCGCGCGATACACATATACCACCAGCAACAGATAAGCAAAGTGAATGGATGTAGGATACGGGGCAAGCCCATTAACGGATTTGCTCCAGTTAGGAAGCCGAAAGGTCTCCGGGAGAGAAGAGTACCACGCATTCAACTTCTCCAGTAGATTCCTGCCAAGTTCTGAGGAGGCAGTGAAGTTTGCGTTCAAAAGTTGCGACGCGCGGAGTGTACTACTATGTATATTAGTAAAAAGAATTATAGGTTGGCCGACGGATTTCAGATAGATTCAGAAATCAAACTCACTAGAAAGTGTCATGAATCTCTTCGCCGATTCGCGCCAGGTTGATGAGGTATCGGAATGGAATCTCGGTATCACAGGAACAAGTTGAAAATCCTTGACGTGGGCCCACAAGAAAGTCTCCTTCGTCCAAATCACTGACGTCCCACTCAGAAGGATGGATGTAGGGTGGGCGACCCATCAACAGACTGCGCCATTTATCTTCGGCATAGACGGCCCACCACAACCTTCGTCGGAGTCGCTTCTCCCATGCCGGAATGCCCCACATGCGGCATTCGATGTGGAGACCAAGGGAGCAGGCTAGTCCAACGATTTGGCCGACAAAAGACCACAGAAATGGAGTGTCGGCGGTTGTGAGGCGGGCTTCGTCTCTCGGCCCCTGGTGGATGTACAGTAAGGCAGCCTGTACCACGGCTAGACGTGGAGTGTGGATCTCTTCCGTCACAAGCTCATAGACCATGCGCCACAATGTTTCCACCGGTGACGCATGATAGGTGCTCAGCACACAAAGATAATCATCATGAGCGACGAATGGGAACGCCGACGCGTAGATGGCCGCAAGAAGGTGCACGGGCACCTTGTCTAATACCAACACCTCCGGTAGCTGATATGACGGCGCAGTCAAGCCAAGTTGTGAGCGGGAAATGATTGGCAAAGCAGGGAAGACATACTTTACGAATCTGATTACGGTTAGTTCAAATTCATAAATATCGTCTGTGTGTGGAATGAACAACTCACAGAGCCACTAGTCTCCTTCCATATTCGAGAGGCACTAGATAGTTCAGGCGTTCCCGTGTCGCTTCACCCACTCCGGCCCTTGTCTCATGTTTAATGCTGGTAGCGAGTCCGTCCGAAGAAATCATAAAATGTACGGGGATTCGTTGTGCCGTCGGAACTCCTCCCGCGTTACGAAAATGTACTTTATAGAAATGCTTCATGCCAGAATCATCAAAGCAGCAATGTCGCAGCAGCCATGGGTCTGATTCGGCGGATGCGCCGAACAGCTGGGCATGGCCATGATCCAGTTGATCAATACTCTGGACAAACTGGGTCGGGGGTCTTCCGGGGGCTAGGATGCCGGAGGCCGGAGACAACCCATGATTGCTTTGGTCAAGGCCGAGAGACGGGAATCGAGGTTCAACACTTTGGGTGCCACTTCTTGCCACACTTGATTCACGGGTAAAATTGCTGTCGCATGTCTGTGCGACAAGGCTGTTTTCGGTCACACTTTGGGCGAAAGATGGGAGAGGTTCCGAGAGTCGGGATCTCTTCGGTGGAGGGTTATCAAAGGTACACTCCAATTTGGCCGATCGGCAACGCTGACAGGGGGGCTCCGCCGACTGTTTGACAGCCTAGCTTACGTGCGCGACATTGATCACACGGGCGCTGGCGTTTTGACCGATATGGCCGAGCAGAAGGGGAGGACATCATTTGAGATCGGCAAACATGAAGAATGCAGGGTGACGCGCACTTTATCAGGCCAAACCTGTGGACAAAGCATCGGCGAAGTGATGGCCGTGATGGCCGAAATAATTTACCTTAGTAGAAACTAAGTTGCCCGTTGGGCATAAAATTTTGAAGAGATGAAGTTGGGAGGTTTTTTTTCCTTTTCATGATGTCATCCGCCGACTCGGCGACCGGCGAACTGCCGTAGCAGTTAACTTTGGCATAGCAAGCGCTTTAGGACTACCTAGGTAGGGAGTATTATGGGCTCGGCGAATGGCATCAAGAAAATTATGTCTATGGAAACGACAAAAGGTTCATTTGTATAAAGGTCATAGAAACTCCAAGTTACAGCATTTGAAAAATATACCAACGAATTGCAATATATATCTTTTAAACAGCCATCACAAACATTCTGATATATATTTTCGATCTGACAAAATTGACGATATAAAAACATTTGCTATTATACCCCCAGGATGCCCGAAACCCAAGGTTTGAGCCGATATGATCACCTCAAAGCTATTTTCTCGCGGCGTGTTAGTCAAGATTATGAGATGAAGGATGATGCTAGGTCGGAAATCACATTGGTCCCAGGGTATGTCCTAACATACGAATTGAATGTTGAATTACTAACTGAGAAATAGGCAAATCAATTCTTCAATTCAAAAGAAACGTAAAGTGGCTCCAAATTTTAATGGTAAGTCCTTTTCAGCTCATTATTTGTGAAGCCGGCTAATGGGTAAATGGATAGCGGCGGACATGTGCTTCGGGTCCTGCTGTAGGAAATAGGAACAACAATTGAACACTCATACGTTGTATGTATCCCTAGGTACAATATTGTATTATGCTGTACTATTAATACCGTTGATGTTAATTGTGTGAGAACATGCTTCAACCCCTCGGTCTAAGGGATATTCGGACATAACTCGGCATTGGCCGTATGTGGGCTAACTTCTTTCCTCCCCCTTGTTTCTACATACTTTGTGTATTGTGAGTGTATATCGACCCTTTAAATAGTTATGTTCAATATTGTTTAAATGTATATTATTGTTATGTATATATCAAGTCTTCTATAAAATGCAATAATGCATAAAAATGCATAACGAGCGAGTTGTGAGTTCCGAGTACCGAGCTAAACGCTGTGGATGAAAGAGGGGCTGGGCTCTCCAAGATGTGTGGGGAACACCCTGTTTACAACGAACACATGTATATTGACATTTCTTATGATACTTTGTCTTCTCATCTCTCATATCTCTCTTAATTGTCTATTTTCACCACACCACTTTACTCAATCATGATTTTTGAACCAGCAGAGAGAACACTGCTTCCCACCAAGGATTTATTATCTTACATTTTCGACGACCCATCGTATGACCAGAATCAGCCAGTAAGTATAACGACCTCATTATATCATCACCTCTGAGCCTCTTCTCAACATTGAAACAACGCGGGCGGGGGGAGGGGAGAAGAAAAAAACCAAACTAAACATCAATAGATCTACATCGACGTTCACAATCCTACACGATCAATTTCATGTTACCAGGCGCGAAAGCTGATTCGTCAGCTCATCGCCGGCCTACGGGCATCTGGTCTACAAAAAGGCGATTGTGTTCTAATTCATTCATTCAACGACGTATGGACAAGGACCAGAAGGACAATATAAAACAGTCCAATGCTAATTCAATACTGCTTATAGATCAATTATAGCATTCTGGTCTTGGCGATCATCGGAGCTGGTGGCATTTTCACGGGTTCCAACCCTTCTTACACTTCACATGAACTTGCACATCATATTAAAGCCTCGCAAAGCAAGTTCATTTTCTCAGAACCCGAGATCTTGAATTCTCTGCTTCACGCAGCGAGACAGGCAGATATACCCCGAGAGAATATTTGGATATTTGACAACTTGAATCAACCTATACCCAATGGAATGCTATCGTGGAAATCTCTATTTGATCTTGGTGAGGAGGACTGGGTGCGATTCAACAATTTGGATACCGCTCAGCAGACTACAGCGGCACGGTTGTTTAGTAGTGGCACTACTGGACTGCCGAAAGCTGTGACTATCACCCATTACAATCTGATTGCACAGCATGAGCTTGTTTATGGCGTCAATCCGCGTCCTTATTCGGTGAGTGGAGTGCATTGACTTGGTCGCGGATTGGATCTGGCTGTGATGGATAAGAAAGATCAAACAGGACTGACAAAATCCTGGATCAGATTTCTCGGATCATTGCAGTGCCAGTGTTCCATGCATCTGCAGCTCCCGTAACGCATATATCGACACTCAAAGCCGGAGCGGTAGTTTACATGATGCGCCGATTTGACCTTGAGAAATATCTCCAAACAGTCGAAAAGTACAGTATCACTGATCTTGCTATGGTCCCACCTATCGTGATAGCTATCCTGATGTCACCTCTTTCCCAAAAGCGGCCTTTCCTCAAGAAGACTCGTTTTGCTGCTTGCGGAGCGGCTCCTTTGGACAAAGGCATCCAAGCACGGTTCCGCTCGCTGATGGGTGGCAATGATCCGTTTACCCAAGTATGGGGAATGACCGAGACGTCATGTGTTGCGACCATGTTCCCTTATCCAGAACATGATGATACGGGGTCCGTTGGGCGACTTATACCGAACCTTGAAGCCAAGTACGTTATCTTCGTTTCATGTTCTAGGTCTATGAACTGGTGGTGAGATCTTCAAGACTAACGCATCTATTGCAGATTGATCGATGAGGAAGGTAACAATATCTCAGCATATGGCGTTCGCGGCGAGCTATGTGTCCGAGGCCCTACCGTCACACCGGGGTATTTCAACAATCCCGAAGCCAATTCGGAGACTTTTGACTCCGATGGTTGGTTCAAAACCGGCGATATTGCATTTTGCGATCAGAGTACCAGGAAATGGTATATCGTGGATCGTAAAAAGGAACTGATCAAAGTGCGCGGCTTTCAGGTGGCACCACCGGAGCTCGAAGCGGTGCTTTTATCGCATCCACAGATCGTTGATGCAGCAGTTATTGGAATCACCTTTCCTAATGCTGATACCGAGTTTCCGCGTGCCTATGTGACTCGACGACCTGGAGATTCTGGTTCCGAGTTGACGGAGGAAGAAATACAGAATTACGTTCTTGGGCATCTTTCAAAATACAAAGCACTAACTGGGGGTGTAAAATTTGTTGGTGCAATTGCGCGGAACCCAAGCGGCAAGATATTGAAGAGAGTCTTGCGTGAAGATGCAAAGATGGAAATAGAGGCTGGGCTTTTGAAGCCTAAGCTTTAGGTTCATAAATAAGGTATAGTTCTGTGACTACTTATAGCGCTCGTTGTAATCCGTCATTTCACTCTTTCTATCGAACTGATCACTCCTTCATATTATATTGCATGATTAATTGTCTTCAATCGTGAGTTTAGAAGAAATAGATTGATTTTATTTAGACAACATAGCTCAGTGGGCCGAAAACAAAAAGATTCGGAAATTGCTATTTTTTTTGGAACATCCACATCCATGGATATATTGGAGTAGATTTATTGTGGGACTTTCTTCAATTTGCCTATATAAGATAGTGTATGCCATCTGATTCGGCTTCTTGGGGGCGTGGCTACTGATCATGCCCAGACGGCAGCCTCGTAGACTCCTCGCGTAGGCTCGTCTCATCCCCAAATCATCCCTTTCCATCATGACAGTCAATAATACATAGCTATCCAATATATGATGCTATGCTGCACTAGAAGAGCTCTGAATGCTTGTTTATGGTGTCATCATCGCAAAGTCCGGTGCGATGCGTCTATTCTTGGCGCACCATGCACTCGGTGTCGACAATACGGTCGGAAGAATTGCATCCTTCGGCCTTAGCACCCCAAACAGTGAGTATTCATGACTGTCATTCTTGAATTTTAGATTCTATTAAAGTGCAAGCCCATTGACATTTCACGGGACACAAAGCTCAGCAGGCCCCTCATCTCCCGCGTATCAACATCTGAACCAGGACAATGAGTTTCCTTGTTTACCTTCAAGCAAGCTGAACCAGAACGGTGATAAATTTCCTAGTGACAATTTTCCAAGCCCACCGTCGTGATCCTCTTGTGTTTCATATTGTGAATATGGAGTTCTGGATTGAATTCAGTTGCTGTCTCTCCCCGCAGAAGACGTGGCGTTTCTGATGTCAAGATCCTGCTTGAGTGTACCGGAACCTGTAGCTCTAGATAAGTTTGTTTGGCTATATTTCAAGCGCGTTCACCCATCAGTCCTTGTACTAGACGAAGCCGAATTTTGGGGCACCTATCGAAACCACCAGTTGTCACGCCGCAAAATCTCCCTGTTTGTGTTTCAGTCATCACTTTTTGCAAGCAGCGCGGTAAGTGCCATACCATACCGCGTTTTAAGCTGGCCATTTAGATTGAAAACTTGAACAGTTCGTGCCCCTAGACATATTGTCTCGCTGCGGGTTCAAAGATAGAAGAGATGCAAGGAAACAACTATATACAAAAGCGAAAGTGAGAAAAAGACCCATTCATTCTTCATAAATTGAAAAACGCCGATGGGCTCCAATTTGGCTTTATTCGAGCTGAAAACCGAAAGAAGGTTCCACGCAAACTCCCAATGTGCTGTTCTACTTTCCCATTATACTTGAGCGGATGACCTACTGTCTGGGAGCTTATGGCTCACTAAAGGGATCGAGAATGCCATGCTCATTGATTCTCAGCCATCATCGATGGCAGTAAATGTGCCTATATTACTTAATAAAAGACTTTGGCGGTCTTTTCTACTTCGTGATCGAAGCCTCGGTATTGGCATACGTCGTCGCCCGCAGGTAATATCCATTACTGCCCGTGAGTGGAGTGAGAGATTGAGCACAGAAGATTTTATCGAGAAGATGCATCACTGAGGTTTATTCTTACGAAACTAAACAGCATCTGCTGGCAGCTCTTCAGCAACAATGTCAATAGGCCGCGCTTCTCACAGACTTGGCGTCGTTGATATTTACCCATCGAAAAACACCAAACAACTTTTGTCACGGGCGGTGCCGAGAATCAAAATTATCCAGACGTCTCTCAACAGCTGGCAGATCCCGCCTCGCACTCAGCACACCTCAACTTCAGAAGGCCACAATGCAGTTACAACCCTCAATTACTTGACTCATATGTATTACTAGTTCGTGAGCCTTTTTTCGATTGATTCAACATTACCTGATAGTGTGGCTGTGTCGTCCTAGCGCAGCGGAAGTAGATCTATCCCAATTTGCAGCATTTGTACCTGAAGAGACCATGTTTTATGCCGGCGACTCATACAAAAATATGATCCTCACCTCAGTGAAAACCTCACCGATGGCGTCGAAGGATTAAGCATCGTGATGGATTACTTTAGCATCAATGGTCACGCGAATAGTCTTCCACTAAGTGTGTCAGTAACTCCTTCCTTAGCTATCACGCCCCTGGGTCTGGTCATTGCGATACCCCGCTGCAAATTGCCCTATCAACATCAAATCTCTAGACAGGGAGAATTCCATTATCAATCTTCGATTTATTTGAAAATACCCAAAAAAATGTCCCCACTAATAGAAACCGCACCGCCAAATACGAAAGAATGTTTCGACCAGTCATCTTTAGGAGATCCCAAAACTCCGTCTCAGTCCCAGTGTCAAGCACAATCTCAAAACCAATCTGAATGCGATTGCACAGAGAAAAAAGATGTATCAAACATTTCAGCACCGACCGACCCCGAAACAGGGCAACAGAGCCGGAAGGGAAAGCCTCTGTCATTCTATCTTGCATTTATAGCTTTGCTATTAATGGTATTTTTGGTGTCCCTGGATGCCACCACGTTGGCCGTGGCAATCCCGGTTATTCAATAATCAGTGCTTCAATTCAAATGACCATTGAGCTCGCCTAACCCTTCCTCTCCATAGGCCATCATCGATGAACTTTCCGGCACGACTTTGACCGCGTTTTGGGCCAACATCTCTTTACAGTAGCAGTAGTGGTCATCCAGCCCATTTATACCAGTTTCTCAGACATCTGCGGCCGTAAGATTCCTCTTTACATGGCTTTTGCCCTGTTTGGTATTGGATCGATTGTTTTTGCCGTCGCGAACAACATGGCAGTTCTGATTGTAGGACGTGTTCATCAAGGACTGGGCGGAGGCGGTCTCGACGTCTTGAGTGAGGTCATTGTCGCCGATATCACTACTTTGCAAGAAAGGGCTGTGTATATTGGACTACTATCGCTTCCAATGGCTGCAGGGTGCATCGCGGGTCCCATTCTCGGTGCAGTCTTCAGTGAGTTTGTTACGTGGAGATGGATCGGCTGGATCAATCTGCCCATAATTGGCATTGCCCTCTTTCTGGCTATTTTCTTTATGCACCTGAGACCAATTGATCAGTCCCTTTGCTCCCAGCTTGGCCGTATCGACTGGCTTGGAATGCTACTATTTACGGCCGATTGTGTTCTTCTCGCCCTACCGCTTAGTTGGGCAGGGAATATGTACCCTTGGGGATCGTGGCGAACAATCGTTCCGCTGATCATTGGTGTTTTGATTTTGGTGGGATTTGCATTTTACGAGGGTTATCAGACTGACGCTGTCTTTCCCTACCGTATCTTCAGCTCGAGAACGGCACAAATGTCCCTGCTTGGAAGCTTCATCCATGGTTTCGTGCTTTATACTCTTCTGCAATATCTTCCACTGTTTTTCCAAGCGGTCTACCTCGAAACACCGATGAAATCCTCCATCTCGATCCTGCCATTCTGCTGTGTGGTCTTGTCTTTACGGGAATTGCCGCCTTCGCCGTTGACTTCTTCCGGAAATACATGTGGGAAATTTGGGCTGGATGGGTTTTCCTCGCTGTTGGTTGTGGTATCTTCTCACTGTGGAACCAATCCTCCTCAGCAGCCATAACTGCTAGTTTCCAGATCATTGCGGGGATTGGTATTGGCACAATCTTCAGCGTCCCTCCCATACCAATGCAAGCTAGCGCTGCACCCGACGATCAGGGTCTCGCAATGGGAATAATGGTCGCATTCAGGCTATTCGGTGCCCTTATTGGTCTTGCAGTTGGTGCCACTACATTCAGCAGTGTCCTCGCCAACAGGATTGGCGGCATCGATTTACCTGCTTCTTTGGCATTGTTGAAAGACCCCAGTGAGGTCGTGAGCTTTATTCCCTATTTGCGAACGGCCGACATCTCTCCTGATATGCGGGACCTCATTCGAGAATCATACAAGGATGCCATGCAGACAATCTGGTATGAGCTGGCAGCTTTTGGAGTATTGGTTTTCTTGAGCTCTCTATTCGTGGAGGAATTGACTATGGAGACGGAAGAGTTGGGTCGGCAGCATTTCGAGCATGAGTCAGACTAAATTGAAATTCACCCTTGGAAAGTTAGGTGGTCAAGCGCATGAAACCGGGTTTGGGATGTGGAAACGAGAAATGCAAGGGGACTAGTGATGTCCGACACGTGTAACCACGCTAGATCGACAAATCCAGAGTTTAGAAAAAGTTATTGTAGTTGTTGTTCAAAAAGATTGGACTGTCGGTCGGTGCCTTTTAGTGAGGGTTCTCGTAGGAAAAAGGTAGAATAAGTAGCTTCACTAGAGCTCTCTTTACGCTATTTTCATTTATAGGAGCAGCAGCAAAGAGCGAAAAGGAGTTACCGGCACGAAGCAATCTTGAATTGCTACGCAGCGAGGTTCTAAACACTCACTAACCAGTCTTCGAGGGAGGTTGTCCTACTCTTGCGGTATAGTATCTTAGCAAGCTTGTTTCTAAGTAGATCAATATGATTTTCTCAATTTATGTGTATACCTATCCGGCATATCCTTTATCCCTCGGAACCACACATCATCGCCTGCAATCGGTTCCGACTACTCTACATTACCAGGGACCAGGGACACTCATTCACGGTACAGCAATAGAAAAAGAGATGGTGCCCATCGCCAAGTGACTGCGCCGAATCGTATTATATGGAATTTCTAAATCGGGACTCAATCTTGCCTGACTCTATCAAGGCAATTGACACTTGCCTTTTTGAAACATTTCTTCACGAGATATTTGGGCAGGGTTGGGTTTCTTAGTAAACTCTTGCGTCAAAATTTGGTGTACTCAATTATAGTAAATGGACTTGAATGACATCGATGATCTCTAAATCCCCACCTATGAGGTTGGCTCAGTCAAAGTGCTCTAGGAGTAACACGGTGATCTCATCATAACTTAGATACTGGTTTGCGTTCACCACTGGCTGCCTTTTGCAGTGACTTCCAGTATTTATCTTTGAGCTGAAGAACTTCAAATGCTTGCTCGGCCCATCGATCTTCCCAAGGAGGAAGCTCGTAGCCATCTGTTCCTGGTGCTGGGGGACCAGCCAAATTTGTTAAGAAATCGAAGTATTCTTCAAAATCGGGCTTGATTTCGTGGAAAAGAGCTGTATGGCCTTTGTATTGAAGTCTCTTGACCTCCCAAAAATCTTGCTCTTGTGGCGTTGGCAAGGGTGCTGCATTCCTTCCGGCAAAGTAGCGGGCCACAGCCACAGCCTGGTATTCATAAACCCGAAAACTGATTCCGGCGCGAACCTGACCAACAAGTGCCAGCGATGGATCTCCAATCTTGAAGATATGCTGGTAAAACCCTGCTACTCGATTGTTGGGAGTTACAGGATTAGGTGAAATGAATGGATAAGAGAGCTTGTACCCCGTGGCGAAAATGATCTTGTCCACACCCTCTATAACCGTATCATCAGAGAATCTGACATGTATCCCCTGTTCAGACAATGTAATCTCCTTAATGGTAGGTCTAGCCTTGACATTTGGTAAACTCCAGGCGGATTGAAGCGCCTCGTTTATTCCTCTCTGTGATAATTCGAGGGGCCCTTGAACAATTGAATGCAAATCCGCGACAAGATCTGCCGAGGAGACACTGCCTCCAACTACTACCACTCGTTTATTCACGTAGTCATCGGCTCTTCGATATGCCTTGGAATGCTCAAACGCAGTCGGATAGCGTTCAAGGGCAGTAGCGAGTCCGGGTATATCAGGAACCAATGGCACACTATAATGACCAGATGCAACGATCACAGCGTCAAATTGTTCCTCCCACCAGTAATCTTTCGGATTGGTTCCATCTGAGTGACCAGATTGTCGAAGCGTCAGGTTCCATTGGTGTCCCAACTTTTCCACCTTCTCAACTGTCGTGTTGAGAGAAGCTAGATGAAGATAATCCTGGAAAAAGTCTTCCAAGTACTTCGCAACAACACGAAAGGGCCTTGTAGGATTGGAATGCCCCAAGTTTCTGGTGGATGAGGCAGAGTAGCGATTCGGAAATGGTGTGTGTGTGAAGGCCATGGCCTTCGCGCCCACATTGCTATCAAGACCTTCGTAGATGGCAGTGCGAGATGTCAAGTCTTCTGGCGAAGGAGACGTCAGCAATGGAAGGCGAGCTGGAATTTCGTTATCCGTTCGGCTTGAGACCCCTGGTGATGGAAACTGATCAGGGATCTCATCGAGGTGCCAAATTCCTCCCACTTTGTTACGTCGCTCAAAGAGACGTATCGTTGGAAAGATATTTTCCTCTTTCAAGGCTTTGACAGCAGAGATACCGGATGGACCTGCGCCAATGACAGCAACGCTTTGGAACCGAGGGGCCATTATTAGATGTCCGTTGTAATGTTCTTGGAAGAGATTCTAGTTCACAAGATTTTTTACGAAGTTGGTTATCGAGGAGAGATGAGTCTTCTTTTAAATGCTGCGTTTTCGTCCTATATCCCAACAAAACGGTAAGCAATGATGTCAAAAAACTTCACATTGTCGGAATTTTGCGAAATGGTGTCACTTTCATAAAGTACAAGTGAATGGGTGAGGTGTGATTGGGGAAAGATTGCACGAGCCATTTAAATTGAAGTTGACGCAATTTGCGACTCAAATGATTTTATTTCCGATTTGGTGCTGATATCGATCAAGTGTATGTAGATATTCTTCAGAAAGAGAGATGAGAGTACATTTGACACAATTTTACAGGAAAAAAAAAGCGAGATATCAAAATTAGACCCCGAGTTGATAACTATGGAGAGTACTTTTATCCAAAATCTTGCAACTTATAATAGTTTCATGGCACCTTAACATCTCACTCACGGTGTTCACGATAGTTTCGCACACATTTCCGTTCAATTGCACTGGGTTCTTTCCAATAGTGTCCCACTCGGTATAAAGCCGAGGTTCTGCAATAATTTCGCGCTTTTGATTTTCCCTTTCTCTGTCTCGGCGATAAACCTCTTCACCCCTCTCTCATCCACTGACCATCGTGTTGTGGTTTTTGCGGCTTCCTTTGCAAAACCTTGCCCCCAGAATTCCGGTGACACCCCATAGCGCACTTCGATAATTTCAATCCACGGTGGCAGAGCTGGATCTACAGATTCGGGCGCACGAAGGTCGTTGTCGCGTCACGGACCCCCGCATACCCTATCCATTATATGTCAGTCAGACGGGTATCGTCCGGTGCGACCAGTTCATCATAATCAGCCCTTCTGAGCAAGGTCAGCTCAAAGTCATTAAGGTGATACAGATGGGAAACGGATGACCGTAACCCTACAGCAGAATCACTCATGCCTCACCTTCCCCAGCAACGTTCAATGTCACGTGTCTGGATCACTTCGCGCGTCTCTGCATCGCTCCATCTTCTGGGAGGGAAATGATGACCAAAAGCCATCTCACAAAATGCCACATTCGCATGGAGATCGGAATACAGCGCCTGGTATAAAGTGAAGTTGACTGCCGTGGGGGTTGGGAACAATGATCAACCTGGGTGTTAGGATGGCAAATGGCTCGAAAGAAAGCTCCAATTTTAACTCCATTCTGATGATAATTTCAGTATAGTAATTCCAGTAAATTCATAGGAAATTGATTCAACTGAAAGTACTTTCACGGGAAGTCATTTTACGGTCACGTGGACTCGTGCTTTTCGAGAGATTATTTTAGGATTTGCATTTCACGTGGAGATCATCTTTGATTGTTGACATGGTCAACATTCTTGCGACAATAATCATAGTACGTAATGATATTCCTGTCTAGGTATAGCATCGCAATCTCTTTGTGTTCACTCTTAGAATATCATACACATCATATAGACCAGTAATTCTTTTTGCATATCAAAGCTACATTGGTTTATTACACGAAGAGTTCAGTTTCTCGATGTTTTATCCTAATTATCTGCAATCTTGGTTTATAATCGCTCTCCTTACATCATCCACTCTATGGGGATACAAAAGGCCCTAAATATATCTCTATTTATTTATCCATCCCACGTTCCGATCCTCTCAGCCACGTGGTACGTTGTAGATCAAGATATTTTCCTTGTCGAGTGAGAAGTGATAGTATATCAACTGAGCAAATTTTGAAGCCAAACCTTGAATACCGCAGTGGGTACGTACTAATATGTGAAGCTATCATGCAAGTAATACTTAATGATGCAAGACGAAGGGATAAATGGTTATGGCGGGATTACGGCGAAGTCCAAGGCAGATCCACTTGCCAAGCGAACATCCGAACCCGAAGACCATAATAAGAATGGCAATTTGGCGGATTTTTATCACGTGCATTCTACCTACCGAGGCCTTCATTAGTATCAACGAGATTATCAACCATGGCCAACCTCATAGGACAACTGTAGATTGTAGTATTGGGAAGCTTGACAATCCTATCTAGGTAGGTAAGCATCTAATGGTGAAACCTAGAGCTGGGCGCAAATTCACTACCAAGTAAGACAAGACTGCCCATAATACTCCGAGCAGCGCATCAATCTTACCATTGGAGCTTGAGACCCCTTGCCGCCTGGACATTTTAAAACTTCACCTGCAACGTAGATCCCCCTTTCCTTTTTCGCACTTAGACTTGTTGTGTCGCCCAAGGAGCATGTGCCATTTAACATGTGATTGTTGGAAAAATTTTTCAATGCTCTTTGGAAGTATGGAGTAGTATTGTAAAGTTATCCTTGAAGGGGTTATTCATTGCCCTCAGGGTCCGGATTATCATAACCTATATATATCCTGGGATGTAGTCATATAAACGTGCAATTGCATGCACATATATGCCGCTATATACACATGTAATTCCAAATACCTAGGTACACCTCACCTTACTCTACCTAGGTAGAAGTATCAAATTGAGCACGTCAAAAGGGATAGAGCAACCCGAAACTCAATTGAATTGCGTTTGTTTCCCCCTAGCGCGACCAGACAATAATAATTAGCCGCCAAGCCAACCATTTAAGTTTTTCTCAACCATTTCTATTGGTGGCCAGGTGGATCCCACTTATGTTAAAAAGGGGCAGGAGGAAACTTCCGTGGATAGATGGTGATATACAACTGTATTTACGGCCAACAACTTGAGAATAGTAAAGACAAATGGACATATCGACTCTGTCACACAATTGAGCTTTGTTTCTAATTTCAAATAGATTCTTCGTAGAGATGAATTTTCAACCGAAAAATCCGTTGGGCTCTAGAAAAACGTTGAAAGAAAAAATTAGGAAAAAAAGAAACGAGGCTAGCGCGAGGCGAATCCATGGATCTAACGTCCACCCGGAAATCTACTGTCCAATCAGGTTGCAATCTTTCTGTCTGTGCTTCAACTTTGACAGCCTTCTGGAACACAATTGGAAAATTGAAAAAAGAAAAGAAAGAAAAGTAGATTAGGCCCGTGTTTTCGACTCTCCGATAATCCTTTAGAGCTCCTTTCTTTTCGAGCTTAGGGGATATTTTCACGGGGGCAAACGGGGGGCCGAGAAAAAAAAATAAAAAAAAAACATCAGCTAGAAAAAAACTCTTAATTGTTTTGACCTTCGACCTTCCTTCATCTCTATCTCGCATACACACCATAATCCTTGAAAATGGCAGGTACGGATATCAAGCCTGTCAACCAGGATGAGGTACGAATCAATTGAATCCTATGTCAGTCATAGCAATTGTATATTAACCAAACAAATTGACAATAGAACGAAGTTCCCACCTTGAAAGACCTCAAAGATGCAATTCCGAAAGAATGCTTTGAGTCCTCCCTTCCGATTTCTCTCCTATATCTGGCTCGGGACATTATCTATTGCGCAGCTTTGATCTATGCTGCACTCCACATCCATCTTCTGCCTTCTCTGCCTTTGCGGATTGTGGCTTGGGCCGCCTACACTTTTTTCCAAGGCTGTGTTGGAACTGGACTTTGGATTCTTGCCCACGAATGTGGTCATGGCGCGTTCTCGAAGTATCAGACTCTGAACGACTTCATTGGTTGGGCTACACACTCGTTCCTTATGGTTCCATACTTTTCCTGGAAGATCACCCATGCTCGCCATCATCGCTACACTGGACACATGGAAAAGGATACGGTTTTTGTCCCGTGGACTGACAAGGACTTGGCTTCGAAGAAGAACTTGAAGATTGAACAGCTGAAGCATCTTGCCGAAGAGACTCCAATCGTCTCATTCATGCAACTCATTGGACATCAATTGATGGGATGGCAGCTGTACCTGTTCCTGAATGTGACTGCAGGCTTGAAGAGCGGCCCGGAAGGCAAAGGCAAAGTGGAATTTGCGAGTCATTACAACCCGTCAAGTGCTCTCTTCGGACCTTCGCAATGGAAACTGATCGCCTATTCCGATATCGGCCTGTTGACCATGGGCTCTATTGTTTGGTACACTGGTACTATTATCGGCGCGTGGAACATCGTTCTTCTTTACGTGATTCCGTACATGTGGGTTCACCACTGGTTGAGTATGTTTTCCGTCCATTCTCTCTCTTCTGTCATCGAATGTTAGCTAACTCAACTTGCAGTCGCTATCACATATCTTCAGCACACTCACCCTGCTGTTCCACACTACACCGCAGAGGCCTGGACCTATACCAAAGGAGCATTGGCCACTATTGACCGGACAACCGGATTCATTGGCCGCCACTTCTTCCACGAAATCATTGATTACCATGTCGTTCACCACCTTTTCAGCCGCATCCCCTTTTACAACGCCGAGAAGGCTACCAAAGCAATCCAGCCGATGCTTGGCGAGAACTACCACGAAGAGAAAGAAGAGAGCTTCTTGTACTCGTTGATGGTCACGTTCCGGAAGTGCATCTACGTTTCGGAAAAAGGACGACCTAACGCACAGCCTGGTGTCCTCCATTTTGTTCTAGGCGATGACAGCAAATGAGCTAAAAAGTATTGTGATAGACTGCTAGACTTGTCATTATTATAGACTTCTATAGACTTCATATTATTCAAGATATCTGCGGATTAGAAAATAGACTGAAGGAAGCAGCAACAAGATTCCCTGTATGACCTTTCGCGGATATGAAGATAGCTAGCATGGAGCTCATCACATGCTATAGATATTGGTTGATAGTCAGCGGCTACATTTCTATATATGTATGGATTTGAGGACAAAAGAACGCAGTAATAAAGGGGTTCAATCTTGGAAGAAACACATGCAAAGAACAGATAACAAAACCCGTCAGAGGGTGCATTAGAATGAGTATCAATAGATATTTCAGGAATTTCCTACAGTAGTGCTGCAGGGAGAGACGTCCCCTCACTTACAAGCCTATATGACCATTTCAAACCAACGAAATGCTCTGGCGAAATTCCAAAATTCTCAAGGAAGAAAAGCAACTAGCCATATAGTAGGGAACTGAGAAGTCTCCGATGGAATAGGGCCTTACAGTCAGGTTCTATTTGGAATATACCCATGGTCATTTATGAAAAGAATTGTGCCCTTCTGCGGTAGAGTAGATGAATAACTATATATTTCGGATTTCATTGATATATTCCTGGGCGATGATACCTTTAGGGCCCCCTGATAAAGAAATATTGTTTTGTCAACCAGCAATGTATAGCCATTGCTTCACATATAATCCCAAAGCCAAAGTAGATGCTCGCTCGCTAAATGTTGCATAAAATCAATTCACAGAGAGTGAAAATATTCATCACACCTCCATATCACACTTTCTCCTCCCCTCCCGTCGCCAAACGACCCAGCCCAAAGTGATTGCCAACTTTAGTCCCATGGCAAACCATATACTAGAGGCCATTCCTGTAGTCTTGGAGAGTCCACCAGCTGTCATAGCCCCAAAAAATAGCGCCAGAAATGCTCCTACGCGACGATTTCGCTTTGGGTTGAATTTGGCCGTCAGTTTCGGGTCAACAAGAAGATCACACAAGAGTGTTGTGACGACAACTGTCGGGATTTCATCTAATGCGAGGATCCGCGAAGCACAGATCTGGCCGCCTGCTTGGAATGATAAAAGCGTAATTGGTAGGATTTGCATCCACTCTATCGGAGCGCGAGGGTCCTCGGGTTTCGGGATAATCACTCCAAGATGGATAAGAATTGCGGTAGCCAGGAGGGCAAGAGTCTGGATGCCGAAAGATATGATCATTGTTGAGCGGCGCCGAGGGTTTAAGATTCGATGCATGTGGATAAAGAATATATTGCTTGTGATGAAGACGGAAATAGCAATCAAAGATTTGGCCCAAAGATAGGCCGGATAAGCTGGCTGACCAGATGGACCAAGAGCCAGGAAAACTGTGTTTCCTTTTTTAAAAAGTGTCAGTATTTTGTGTTTGGATTGGCGTGGAGAGAACTTTGCCTGTGACCGACAATACATACCTGTCTGCATACTTGAAAAACTTCCCCATGCATTGAATGATAAACCATCCACCAATCCTCCAACAAATCCGCATACTATTAGAACGATGTCGGTATGCGTGGTATCTATATTTGCTCGGAAGTGGCGCAAGACAGTGGCCAGCATTGTATTGGCTTCTTCGGTCTGATTGCCGGAAAGAGACACCGCGGTACTTCCCCCAGAGGACCAAAGACCAGACGTGTACTTTGATTCATCATTGGTAGACTCCAAACGGAAACTTCTCGCGGCGAGATCGTTTCGATACAGAGGATCTTGGGGGCGGTGTTGCGCAGTGCTCTTAGGCGGTTCTAAGTTGCTTGAAAGAGAGGGCATTATGATGTGTATGTATCTATGTATAGATAATACTCCGAGGCCTTTTTTATAAGGAGCTCCACCTATGTGATGAATTACCATGAAAAAAAGTGGAAAGAAAATTGGTAGATTAGGACCCAACGAAGTTGCCTGTTCTTTTATAGTGGCCCAGAGTTTGCATTTATTCCGCTGCCCCCGCTCCCCATTCAAGGAATACACTGGATCAATGCCAAGAGAGATAAGGAAATACCCCGGTGACATGCAAGAGTGATACTTGCCCTGTCCTTGATAAATTTGTGTAACTATCACACCGCTGGTAGACACATGCCGAGCCAATCTGAATCTATATCTGAGACATGTTGCTCTTTAGTATACACGGTCAATAAACAACCACCATCATGGCGAGTCTGTTTTGATTCAAATTTGGAAGGCAGCATCATTTTCGAACAAAACATATTGATTTGCTTTCACGGTGGAAGTCGATTGATCTCACAGTCTATCTTGGCAGAATCTCGGCCTGATCTTGGCGTGACGATCATCATCGCTGCATCCGTCTTCCTTACCTAGGACTATATAAAGAACCAAAAGATCTTAAAGACACAGTAGCTAGTTATTCGGTATCTGCCACAGGCTGGTGGGGTTTGTCAAGAACCAATCTCTAGTCTTCCCAATTCCGCAGATTTGAAATTGTAGTTTAACAAACCGCCCATCTTGGCGGCGTGATTATCCTTCATGGAAAACATTGGCGCTTGCTTACAATGCATGGCGTAGATAGTGATAGCCCGAATCACAATAACATTTTTTTTTGACGTGCCAACAGTGGTACTAGGAATTTATTTATTCTTGTGGCTAAAGTATTGTGGTGCAAACATGCAAGTAGCCACTTCAACTTACCAACAAATTGTCCTGAAAGAAGAGCGACGGCTGTTCTGGCCCCTGAAAATGTCAAAGGTAGAGTTGGTTTGCCAAGGGATCGACATGCGTACCGGAACTAGTCCGCCCATGGTCTCTAAGATCTTTAGTCAGACTGGTCGCCAAGAAAGATCTCCGGCAGCGTGGTCGATGGTTCATCACTAGTGAGTCTTATCTTTGCATGCCAACGGCTGACTTACTATGACACAGCCTCGAATACTATTCCTTGGCATTGATCGGAAGGCTGTGCCAAATTAATTGTTTCTGCTGACGTTCAATTCTTGGCGTTGTCTGGAATGATGTATTACATTCTTGGATAGTGGCTTGTCTACACTTATCATATTAGAACTGAGCCACCATTTATCAAGTACATTATTTGACTCTACGGAGTACAAGTCGATCAATTCCCAAGACGACCTTGCAAGTTACAAATCGCTCTTTCTTGTTCAATGTCTTGTTCATCATCCTCACCCAAAAAAAGCAATAAAATACGCCAAGAGATGATAATCGTTGCTGCTTGGGCTCTTGGAACCTTTAGACTCCCAGAGCCCAATCACCCTATCAAGCCTAACCCTCTACAAGAGAAAATGCCAAATAGCATAGGATTTGGGTTATCGCCGAACCGGTATTTAGACTTCCTGCAATTGGTTGGATAATAGACGGGGCGGAGTTCATAAACTGGGTTTGAAACTACAAGTGTTCCAACATTTGCGACATCCTCATGTGACCCGATCTAATCAAGCGATCATTGTATAATATAACTCGTGTCGATAGACCAAAATTTAATAGATGATTGATAGGAGTTTAGTATAGTTTAGGAAGAGAATAGAGGTTCTGAGCATAGTTCCTGAGAATAGTTTGGATCGAGAGAGATCCGAAATCATCTCAGAATATTCATGCAGAATTGAGGATTTGTCTTTCTCCGAGTTGAATGACCAGGATCTCCAAGATCGGATAATGTCACCGCTGTGTGTCAAGTTCTTATCATCGAGGATGATCCTAACTTGATGCATCAGAAATTGAAGTTGTACCTTAACATGTCATCCAAATCTGCGATTTTTCCATGACTTCCAATCAAAAATGATCCATCGCTACGCCACGCCAAAAGGCTCCTCATTGCTCTCGGCGTGGGGTGGGTGTCGATCATTCCCGCAGCGGACCCCGTGGAATCCGCCCTTGGGTCAAACCAACCACTGTCCCCCGCAGACAGGAGGTATGACGCTCCTCGCCAAGTCCTCGCCAATTCCTCGCGTTAGTTTTGAGTAAGTTTCCATTGTCAAGGATCAGGGAATGGCTTTTCTTTAGTCCAAGCAAATCAGCAGGATCGAGCGTCCATTGCGTATGCATTTCATGTCGGCTGTGCATGGCATCTAGACCTTAGCATGCTCGCCCGTCCGTTTAATTATCGTGGGTATTTTGGTTCTACAAAATTGGGGCTTGTCTAAATCTCTAAACAATGCATAGCTGAAAGCCTATTTCTGCCTACCAATTTTCCGAAGATTGTGGGAACTTGCGGCCAGTCTGATCCTTCTTCTTTATACCAGCAGACTGGGATCGCAAGTAACAAATACCTGCGTCAATCATTTCAGAACAGTGTGATTACTAAGGGATTTACGACGATTTTGTGATCTTGGTGGAGATGAGACGCTGATCTCACAGTTCTTTGTGTTTCACCACCACCTAAAGGCCTGAGGATCTATCTTCGAGTCGCAAACAAGCATCCCAAACTACCCTTCTCCAACCACTCTTTATCCTTCTTCCACGCGCGAACGATAATATCCCGTCCAACTTTCACCACCTTCTCAATCAACTCCTGGCATCCCCACCCAGGCACTCTACTTCCCCAACATATTAAGTGAACACCCACATGTATCGCGGTCCGCAGTGCCATGGTGTCGCTTAGTGGTCCATAGCCCTTCATAAACCCCTCAATGATCCATATACCACTCTCCACATCTTTGAAAAGTTTGATCTGATATAATTCGGCAATCATCTGACCTAGATCTAATGCGCGAGCTCCGATATGCGACATTTCCCAGTCAACAATGAAGAGGTCGGTTGTGGATTTCGTTGCTAGAGAATCAGGTTCGAGAATCACACTAAAAATTGCGTCAATTATCAAACCTCTGGACTTATGAAGTAAGACAAAAAAACTGACTTCCCGGTCCAAAAGTCCCCATGAATGATTCCATATTCCTCACTTTGTTCCTGGTTCTTTAACTCCAAGGCTGCTAGATCATGTACTTTTTTGAATATACTGCGACTTTCTTCTAGAAGCATGGGAAAGTTCTCAATACTTTCTATGAGCAGCGTATAGTTGGCGTAAAACTTGATTTGTTGCATCGATTGATTTTCGCCCAATTTCTTTGCCAAGGTAGCTTGCTCTTTCTCGGCCGACCAATTGTGAAGCGATCTTAGCCACGAGCCAAGGGCGTGACCGATTGATAGCGCGAAATTCTTCGACAGGGAGTCGGAAGCTTCTGAGATCAAAAATGATTTGAGGTCGAGCGAGTTTGGAAGATCCTCAAGCACCTGAGTACAGCTTTTTGGATCAAAGCAAAATAGGCGAGGTGTTTTGACCATGATATTGTTCAGGAAGTAGGGGGGTAAGCTATCTAGAGCTTGTAGGGTGGTCGTTTCATGGGCCTGGTCAGAAATCAGTATGGTTAACATGCATCTTGGAAGAAGGAATCACTAACGCATCGCGTAATATCAAGTTCGAAACTCGCATTAGAAGCTAAGTAAGCTTTGGCATGTTTAATGATGATCGTTTTATCCGTAGAAGTGAGTTTGCCCCGATATACGAAGTTTGAGATGCCGCCGGATAATCGAGTCAGGGCGGAGCAGGCGAATTGAGTCTGTAATAGTTCTTGGAAGATTTCATTACGAACTTCATCAATTGCTTCTGAGGTTGTCATTTTTAGATCCTAAAATTGGTTCAAATTGATTTAACGATTTGCAAGAATTATTTGAGCCTTTTTATCTCACATCCACGGGTGAACACTGGCGATGAGTCACTAGTTGACATCTTGGTCCTCGTATTGGTTATTATACGGATTGCCTAAGTCGTACAAGATTTTGGCCCTACTGACATAGACAACCTACGGAGTACATGTAAACAGATAGAATATGGGTATAAATTATTGAATTGATCAGATTAAAATCCCATGTCAAGGTGAGTCTCTAGTCCGAAAAAGAACCAAAAAGCACGGCAAATGGCCAAAGTGGCGGAATTGCCTCCGATCGGCCGGCACCGTCGGTTTTACCCGAATCGAACTCGGCCAACGCCGGGAATTTCGTAGATAAGAAGAGGATCCAATTTAATGTGCGGGGGAAAGAACTTGGGTTTCTCGATTTCTCCAACTTTGACCTTTTTCTTTATGTGAATCACTCACCTCTCTTTATTCACTTCAATCCGATCCAAATCCCAAAACCCTACATTGAGGCCTCTCAATTCATACAATATACATCTGCAACCAACAAAAAAAAACCACCCGCCATGGGCAACGACCAAAAGCTCGGTGCCTATTATGCACCCAAGGGCGGATTGCCACCACAGACACAGATCCTCACCGACCGTGCCATGTTCACCGAAGCGTATGCAGTAATTCCCAAGGGAACCTTCAGCGATATTGTTACAAGTTTCCTGCCATTCTGGGATAACACGCGGTTGTGGGTGATTGCCCGCCCGCTATCGGGCTTTGCCGAAACATTTTCGCAATACATCATGGAAGTACAACCTGGGGGCGGCAGTGACCGAGGTGAAACGGATGACAGTGCACAAGGTGTTGTGTTTGTTGTCGAGGGCGAAGTGACGATCACACTGGGAACCCAAAAACACACGCTTACCGAAGGCGGCTATGCCTACCTACCACCGAAAAGCGGCTGGACCCTACGAAACACAGGCAATAACACCGCTCGCTTCCATTGGATTCGCAAGGCATACGAATACGTGGATGGAATCGACACGCCTGAGCCGCTTTTCCTCAACGAAAAGGATGTTCCGCCTACACCGATGCCGGACACCAACGGTGCTTGGGCAACTACGCGATTTGTTGACCCGACCGATCTGCGCCATGACATGCATGTCACCATTGTCACTTTTGAGCCCGGCGGTCTGATCCCCTTCGCGGAAACCCACGTTATGGAACACGGACTTTACGTACTAGAAGGGAAAGCCGTATATAGGCTCAATCAGGACTGGGTGGAGGTGGAAGCAGGCGATTTCATGTGGTTGCGCGCCTTTTGCCCGCAGGCCTGTTATGCGGGTGGCCCTGGAAAATTCCGCTACCTGCTATACAAGGATGTGAACCGGCAGATGAAGCTATCGCGATTGTGATAATCAACACTTTTCTTCGGCCGATTCTTGACTTCTTTGGCATGCGACTCGTCTGGAAAAAACAACTGGAAATAGCCGCGGAACAGAAAAATTGCAGACCTTCTCTGTCATCTACGCCTCCAAATCAACCGAATCCGTCCTCTATAAAGCGTTTCTGGGCTAATTGCCAACTTCACCGTCAATCTGACAGATTTAGACGGTGTGTCTTTGCTAAATGTATATGTGAAACTCAAAAACACCTAGCCTCCTCTCCTTGTTTTTTGTCTTGTTCTATAAATATGCTCAAAAAGAACATGTAGCAAGCCGTAGGTCATTCAATCAGCAAACTTTTCCTTTTCTATTTCGGCCAGTCTTCAGTCGAGACAAAATCGTCTCCGCCCATTAGCAATTACCTACCAACTACCTCACTTTTGCTCCTCTGAAACCACTATATTCTCTAAAAACAAGGACCGTCAATTACCCAAGGCTACTAAGCATGACTTCGGCTTCCTCCATATTGTACAGACTTCGATATCAACTTGGCCCATGGGTCACCCATAATACCGAGAAACATATATCATCAATAAATTTCGTGGTGTATTTCAGGTAATATTCATTTGGATGGGATTTGAAACAGACTTAAGTGAAACTAACGATACGTTGTTTAGATACTGTCTCGAATCCCTCAGATTTTGTTGGAACCTTTCTTGCCCTTCTGGTGTGATGTACTGGACTTGTGAAGGCCAATAACCCGTCACTACCATTCTTATCCTCCTAAACCTCAGATGAAACTGGTTACTAACTACATTTAGTATTTGTTTGGCTTAACGCGATGGTTGCCTTCAATTTCTTCTACCCTAAAGCCTGGAGCGTTGCAAATAGATTTGTCAACCAACCCAACGAGATTCTCTTTGGTTGCGACGACGAGTAGAACAGCCTCATACTTTGTTGGGCGCGGGACCAGATTTGGCGTCAATCCAGTGAACAATTTTCTAGGATACTTTTCTATCCAGCAATGTTGCGCATCAGAAGTTTGATCGATGGGTTATCAAGGATAACGCGCCTGCCACAAGCCCGAAAAGCATTGTGATTCTTAACGAAGCGCCAAACAATTCCCATCCATCCTTGGGGGCTCAGCTTGTCCAGTCCTAGAAATGCCACGTAGCCAACCAGCAGAATCCGTGGGCACGTTACTGGCCACCGTAATACCAAAGACCAACCAACTGGCGCTTTCTGGAATTATTTGAATGATCTTGGAAGACTTTCTATACTGCACGACTTGGTTTGGATCTGATCGTCCTTTGTGATGATCGCACGAGGCCCAATTTTACCCATGCTATTTCGGACGCAGTCAGCAACTTTTCCTCCAATATTTGATCAATCGCCTTCAACCTCGCATTTAGGAGACAGACGTCAGTTTGAAAAATTGCGTTTATTTTCACACCCCTAAGATGCCGCGACACTCGTAGGTCATTGGTTTCGAGCGGTCTGCGTCGCAACTCCCATAATCGGGAGTATTCACCAGGATCATGTGAGTGTCATCCGGAAGTTCGGACCAGAAACTTCTCCGTTTTACTGACCTTGGCGATTTGGATATGGGGAGCGTAGGTTCCAGATATCATGGACTTCAATCTGCATTCTTTCGCTTACTTGCAGACTACTCATTGCCCTTTCGGCCACGTCTTTTACCTACTGGAAGCTTCGTGGACACCTTTCCGGTAACTGACATACAATTATATTACTAGGTATCTGTCGTGGATTAGTGGAGCGGTAAAGCCTCTGCGTAAATTGCAACGGATTATCACCAAACAGCTATCTCCCTTCAATTTTATCTGTCCGTCTGTTCTTCACACTTACTAAAGCTCAGGAGCTTTCTTCTTGGCAAAATCATATTCTAAGGATCCTGACAAAAACGGGCTCTGGTGGTAATTTAATCCCGACAGCATTCTTTGGTTTGGGGATATACTTACACTCCTTCTGAATGATGATGTATCCCGACAATAAATACCTGTAGGCTCCTAGCATGATCATCAAAGTATATTATATTACATTATATTGACTTGGCGGTCATTCGTATCCCTTGCATCCCTGAAGCTATAAGAGGACAACCGAGCCCTTCAATAAGTAAACTCAAAAAATCTTCAACTGGCCATTTCCTCTGACTTTCGAGAGGCAACGGTCTCCACTCACTCGCTAGTGGATTTTTAAAAAACCCCAATCGTCCACAAAGTTCAAATCAACGATTATATCATGCTACCTCAGTCTGGCGAGTTAAAAGTGAACGGTGCAACACTCTATTACGAGACCCGCGGCAAGCCCGAGTATCCTGCTCTGTTGCTTATCAGTACGGGCAATGGAACGGCGGTCTTCTTCGAACCGCTTGCACTTATTCTGTCAAGCAACTTCTATGTGATTACTTTCGATCGACGTGGATTTTATCGCAGCACGGTTATGTCGCACGAATCGTTCTCTGGTGATATTCTTGCAAAAAATGCCGAAGACTGTGCTTGCATCATCGAGACGCTCGTGCCAGATCGGTCTGCTTTTGTCTTTTCGTCGTCTGGAAGCACCACAATCGCATTGGACTTGCTTTGGATCAAACCACACCTGGTAGCCAAAGTTGTTCTACATGAGCCTATTTTGACTGCCATGCTTTCTTCCTCTGATCGTATCGGCCTCGATGATTTGCTGACTAAGACGACTCGGACTTATCAAAAATCAGGGTCTGCCGCTGCCAATCGTCTTTTGATGCCTGCTCTAAGCAGTATAGCGGACATTGCCCTGTTGAAAACAGCTCCCATCCTGAAAAAACTCGTGTCACTACCCCACAGCCCAACAAATGTATATTTTGAGCATGAGATAGAAGCCATTTCCCAGTACCATTTGGATCTGGAAAGTCTTCAAGCACGGAAAGATCAGATTTGTCTAGGGAGGGGTGACATGTCGTCTTCTCCATTGGCCATATCACCCGTCACCAGACTCTCTTCTTTGTTGAACTCCAATTTGAACACTTTTCCCGGTGGACATCATGGATATATAACCCACGAAAGATCATTTTGCGAGAAGTTGGCTCATGTATTGAAGGACAGGAAGGAGGGTTTGTAGGCAAAATACATGGGTAATACTGTCATCATTAAGACATTCACTCCCGCCAGAAGTTATTTCTTGGTCTCTGCTTGGTTAAAAACGGTTAGTGAGCCTTTGCCAGCGCTTTCTCATCGCCCACTTTGTTGAGTTGTCAATATGTTCATAACTCGTAGAAAGCAGCGTACTTTTTTAAAGTCTCAGTCTTTGATGGGCACAAAATCAAGCATTTGGGCTTAGGGCTTATAAGCCCTGAGTTGATTTTGGCTTCCAACCGGTCTTCCTTTGTTGGACTGCTCTGCCTATGTGAGTGTTTACTGTTGCTAAGGCTATCAGGTTGAAATTCAATACATTGAAGGCACCACAATTTTTGGAGCTAGAGAAATACATGCACCAAGCGCCAGAATAATGGTAAAGCCCACCGGGACCATATCAAGTGCTGGAAACGAACAATGTTTCGAAAATGGAATTTCGATGCCAGCGGAACAGAGTGATGTGCGTCATCTTGTAGAAGGAAGCATAGTTGATTTGCAATATAGGTGTCAAGTAACGGCACAATGAACCGAGCCTGTATACGGATTTTATTGTATGAGAATGTCTTAAAGTCGAATGAGGCGATGGGAAGCGTGCCAAGCTTTTCAACTCTGTGAAATCGGTTTCCTTGTCATTCAACCAAACTCTGGCGTGTTTCGGCAGTGGTGGGACGAAAAGAGATAGATAGTAGATCCGCAAGGGAGCTAGCTAGAGCCATGGCGTCCTTAACTGCCATATTGCCTGTTTGACCTAAATTTGGTATCATCTGATGGAGCGGATCATATGAACGCTTGTCTACAATCCTCGAGAAACCACTCACTTCATGAATCGAATCACCGATGGAGACCAGACGACCGTGATACCACTTCTCACATAAATCTTCTGATTATAGCAAGCCGTCGCAGTGACTAGTAGCTCGGATAGAGTGATGTTGTACGCAAGTTTCCCGTGCAAAATGGGCTGTAAAAGTGTATAGAGAGTACCATCACTGATGGGTTTGGAGGCCATTTCAGGCAAGCCATCTGTAAGGTACACACACCAGTATGTTTCCTCTCGAGTATTGACAGCTGTCACAGAAAAGCCCCTGTTATATGACTGATGCAATGTATCTTTCGTCAACTTATCCTTGAGTTTCAAAATCCTAAAAATACACGAAAATTGGGCAGCGGGATTGAATGCAAGAAAAATGAGAATGAAGACGTATTTCAAGTAGAGTTTCACTTACGTGAGACCCCAGCCAACAAGATAGGACGCTCAGCATGCTTGCTGATATAGCTCTGAACAACGCTGCGGATTCCATCGGCTCCAACGATAATTGATACGTGGAGAACTGATCAAGTAGGTTGAGATGTAATTCTTTCCGATGCTATAATGATCCCGAAGCACCTGGCTGTTGAATCCCTTTATAAGATAGTTCTGCTGTTCACATATAGAGGCACCCTACCATCCACATCGAACAAGACACAGCTCCTTTCTCTGAGTCATAAATTTAAGTCTCGAAGGATTTACTACGTCATACAGACAGTACAGCCGCGATGCCAGAATGAATGTGACGGCTCAACTGTGATTTCTAGGGCATGGTGCTTAAAGGATTAGACAAACATGAAGAAGATTACCAAAGATGAACAATGCTAACCAGGGTATGTGCAGGTTCGGGCAGCCCGATGTTTTATTAAAAAAGGGGAAAGACAGGGGCAAGGCTAAATCTGCATAGCCGAAAGGGGCGAGAGACGTACATGCATAGGCATAGGGGGGTGAGAGGCTGAAATCGCAATCTCTAGGGTTAAAGCTATCATTAGCCCCCTCAAGGGTGCGCACTGACATTGAAAACGTTTGGAGCGTTTTTACTATGGTGGTTTTATTCTGCCATCTCAACATGCAATACCTCTGCTTTAGGTTTGATACTCCAAGGCTAAGACTAAAGTAGTGAAAAGCATTTTGACCCATACTGTCTAACAATAAAAATCACCTTGATTAATCTAGCGATGATATAACGGTTGAGGGGCGAAGAGACATGCAACCTAACCTGCCAGCCAGTTTTTTCAAGACAACTCGCTTTTAGGCAACCAGATACCGGGAGAAGCATGCTTCTATACTAAAATCCCATTAACAGCCATCGTCGGTAGCGGGACCTGCATCAACTCCATCATGTCGACAAGTGATCACCAATCCTGGCTCCAGTCAACGGAACACCCTGAATACCGCACTGCACGCCCCCATGCAGAGGTCCTACAGAAACTATTTTCAAACACGATTGATTCAACTACGGCAGTTGAAGAACCGAGCTTGCTCAACTTCATAAATGATGATACGCCATGGGCTCTCTGGGGCCTGATCTATGAAGCCGCCGCTGGCTTCCCTTCAAGTCATTCCTCATTGCTGGCCCTCTTGATTGAAGCCGAAAGACTCGACTCACAGCTACCTGAGTCAGAAACCAAAGACATACCACGGAAATGGTTAGGCTGCTTCGGGAGCATGTGGTGCGACAAATGGGATATAATCTCACCCCATGCATTATCTGGATGGAAAGTGTCCGCATCCAAGTCAACCACTAGATGGATTAATATGAATGCCTTCTCAGCGAGACTACTAGCTACGAATCATTTCAGTCTAGGTGCGAAGCCTTGTGCTTTAAGTTCAAGCTTATTGAAAAAGTGTTTAGAGGCGCATCCGATGAAGTACAAGGAGGAAAGACTTCGGACACAGTCCGGGGCTCATAGAGAGCCACCATAGTACAAGCTGGATGTATCAGAATTATTAGTAACCGATGTATATGCCGCTGCACAATGGATTATTTATGCTGGAGGGACGATGTGGGAGGATGACCGACCCGACAGTCCTAAGTATATTCAGAGAGTTCTACCCGGTAAAACAGACCTTTGGGATGGAAGCCACGGATCTACGGAGGCACGATGGCAGCTGTGGAAGGAACAGTTATTTTTCATGGCAGAATACGAGGATATCAGCCTGGGTGCCTAGCAAGTTGCACGGAAGGCAGGGCAAATAATGGGCTAATTTCTTTGATGTAAATCACCCGAAGCTTCGTAGAGAGATTCCTGACTAGGTCGAGAATGTGAAAAGCGCGATACCTATCGTTTAAGTGATATAGATTTGGCGTTAGAAGCATTAAACGCAGCACTTTAGGAGGCTTAATTAGTATCAGATTGAGTGGCATCTCATAGAGCGCAGCGAAACGCTTATTTAACAGGATATATATTACATACACGCCGTAATCAATCTACCAGTAGGCTTAATAGAAGACGATGGAACCGATCCATGATGTCCTATACGTTTTCTTATTGCTTAAATAGTTACAGATAACGTAGAGAGCACATATCACTAATTGAACGATAGAATTGGACCACGAGTAAGTAAGAACACTGAACACAACCCATGGGTAACTAGCGTTTCCGGGTATACTAATGCCGGAAAAACGTGATACTGTGTTCTAAATCTGTTCACGTCAGTGGAATGATATCGATGCCCCCTCGGGAAACGGGACGAAAGCGTCAATATTCCTCCGGCAAAGCAGCGATCGATGTACCAGAAATTCAATGCGCCTCAATGCCATATCGCACCCTCTTTAGTGTAGCACACCCAGTTCATATGACAAAAGTTTTCTCGGCAACACCAAATAAAATTGATGTGAAGCCTACTCGCGTTTGATAGATTATTTAAGCCGCATCTTAAAGTGGATTAGCGTATTTCGGGTACGGCCCGAGAAACCAGCCAGCCGTGACTGCCTAAAGGGTAAACTGTTTTCGAATTCTGCTGTATAGTAGCATACATTTAGAGCAGACTATTTCGGGAAAATGAGTTCATCATCACCAAGTCTAGTGAAGCTTATACTTCTGTTGGTGCAAGGAATGGTAGATCCACAAGCTGAAAACTGAATGAAGAAAAAAATGAAATAAAATAAAATGTCGCATAGAAAACACGCCTGTTTCGTGACCACTAGGCCGAAAAGGTGCACACCTACTTAGCTAGGCTTAAGTACGGTGTATTTGTGCGCATTATTGCTTCGACATAAAACAAGGTCATTCATTATCCAGAACATTCATACAGCCCGAAGAGAGGTCCTCTGATCATGAAGCTCATAAGGAAGGCTTTGATCTACGGAGTTGTATAGAAGGTGACGGGATGGCCTCTAAAATACCCGCCCAGAGAGCGTCAGTGACCAGTGATCAGAACAATAAACGCCAATATACATATATCGTATACAGAAAGGGTTAATAACTGTTCAGAAGGAATTTACTGAATTTAGAGGTGTTTTGATTGTTCAGAAACTCTATGAACATAGAATAAGTGGATGGGGTGGCGGGTTTGCCGAAATGGTCTTTTTGGAGAAAACTTCGTTAAGCTACAGATCCAAAAATAGAATAAGATGCGAACGGCCTGGTGTTCCATTCAAGTCATCTTGTCCACTGCCTTTGCTCAATATCTCGAGTTCGTGCCTCAAGTCAAACGTTCGGCCTTTCAAGCCATCTCACTGGAATCCTCTTATATCTATCAGTCTATCAGATTTCCAAGCGAACGTCAGACGTAGCTTTCACGGAACAGTAATCAAGACAAATACCTAAGCATGATCGTAGCATGGAGTGCGACCCTGGGCAGTGAAGAGAGAGGCACAGGAGAATTTACCCCCAGCATTGCACTTTCTTGGGGTATTCTCGCCATTTTGGAGCAGTCGACTAGCGCCCGAACACAGTCTTGTGCAATCATAGTCATCACCAGTCATTTGATTCTATGGTTTATTTTAGTACTCAGACCGATCGAACGATAGAGAGACATACGGATCCGTATAGACAGCAGTGCGAACCATCGGAAAACAGACATTGGCACTGTCTCGAGCCTGAGCAGGTAGCTGCTAAGCTAAGTCCGGCAGTGGCTACCATTATCAACAGGCTGAACACTTTCATTTTGTAAATTGACGCTTGGTTGGAGTAAGGTAGATGCAAGAAATTTGGAGGCGACAGTTTTTATCAGAGTGGACTTCGAGGCCATCTCGTTCTTCTAAATACTTTCAGGCCCAATGCCCATATGAACAGCGACTATCATTTATCCGAGACTTCTCCGATAGGTGATGTCACCCAGACTGAATCACATCCAGTTCTAAGTTGGATAAAAGCGTTGGCCTAATTGAATATGTCAAATTCAAGTACATTATTTCTCTAGGGGAGTAAGGTTTGACTTACAGCGGCACCACTTTGGCAACGCCACGCATTCCCCACCCAAGACCTCTGGTTTCTTTATATCTGAGGATCCGGAATAGATCTCAATGGGGGTTCACCACACAGCCTCATTAAAGGGGTTTCCAAAGTTCTGCTGTGTCTCAATGATATTTTATTTTTGTATGGTAAACCAGATAGTCAGCGTATGGAGTGGTAAATTACTATTAGCGTGCGATTTGTTACCCAAAAACCCACATTTCTTCGTGTTTTGTATGGTAAATTGGTTCAACAAGCAATCTCGGTGTATTAAATCCTTCAGTAGATCCATTTCCGAATGTGGCAATCGTCAAAAGTACTCACCAAGTCTCCTGGCCCTTTTAATCTAAGACCATCAATAATCCTTCATGGCCAGTTTGAAACATCTTTCTCTTGTACCAATCATACATACACGACCTCATAGGATCATGCCGATCTTGCTCTTAGCAAAAGTCAGATAAAGGGTTTCGCGGATCCGGCAGATAGCGTCTCTGCAACGGTGTCGATCCGCTCCCTCGTTAGGGCTCATGCTGATTGATGGGCTTGGGGCTGGGCTTCTCATCGTTTTGATAGGGGCAGTTTTTTTCTAGTCTCGTATTATATATTTCTTTTGCACATTCAAAGCCATTTCTAGAGATGGGCTGTCGGTGGCCCAGATGTCCCTGTGTGTAGAAACTCTTGATTTATCCGTCGAACTCTCTTCATTTCTCTCTTATAGTTAGCTTTAGTTATAATGCATACTTATTTCTCCCTTTTGCTTCTTCGTCGAGTAATCTTGGCAGTAAATCTAAGCTAGCATCTACTGAATGGAAGAAGGCCTAACTGAAAGCGAGGTGATAGTTAAATGAAACGATTAAGTGAAAGCTGCTATAATCAGGACTCACAATCTGGGAAGCCTCAAGTTCACTGGAAAAATTGCCCTGAGCTGGTCATCATATCCATCACTGCATCTCGGTAAAGGCGCGTGTAGGGAGTGAGCACAAGGCGGTGCATTGCCAGTTCGTCTATGTCACTTAGGATCACAAAAATGGAATTGTTATTCTATTTCTATATACTGACTATCTTCGAGACAAAGCAGCAACAGCCTCAACAGCCCTTCGACATCACCTAGACTTTGGATATCATCTTCGCCCCCACCGACGGTATGAACCACGAGGTCATCTCGGATTTGGATGCAATCCTACCAGCTTGCAATAGGGAAAATCCTCTGCAGCCTCCATATCCGGAATTCGATTGCTCATGATTGCACGTGCATTGAATGCACGTGTAAATTCTGGCAGATAACCACGCAATTCTCTGCAAACCCATCGTGAAAACGAATTCCTCGGATCACGCATAATATATTCAGTAAAGTGTTTGGCTCTTTTGGAACGCTTTGTCCACGAATGGCTGCGATAATACTGTCGTAGATATGCATTCCCGACATCTTGTTTTGAATACAATTCGGAATTGTAATAAGCAATTGTGGAAGAATGACAGAGTCAGTCCTGAGCCCACAAAGCCCCAGGGCTCTTAGTTGGGGTGAGTCAGCCAAACCTCGGCATCGATGGATATCTTGGCACACACAATAATTCCCTACCCATTTCGTAGCGTTTGAGTCTATAAGGCAAAAATGAACCAAAACATGACCTTTCAACAAGTAGACCTCGTCATGACCCGCGGGTGACCCGTAATAAGTGACCCGTGACCCTCTAATTTGCGGGTTACGGGTCCTGACCTCTTACCCACGAGTTAGGGTCGGGTTTTCAAATGTTACACCCGCCCGCGTTGTGCGAATATTTTGTTGAATAATTACATGGAGACAGAATAAAGATTGGTGAGCGCTTCGTAGGTTGGTGAGGAACAAAATGGTGGCAGGAACTGCTTGGTTTCGTTTGGACATACTCAAATCAGTGCTAGGCTTGGGTTACACCGTTATTTGCGAAGAACAAGTAGATTTTGGGTTGGTAGTGAACAAACGGTCGACAGACGACTATTCTGCAAGAAGAAAATTTTTGTATTGACCTATAGATAAACAAAGGGGAAAGGAACGGATGGACATTATTATCTTGCCCAGAGAGAGCCACTTTATAATCTGATATTAAGCAGTACTCCTATCGATATCATTCGTTATCTTCTTGGCGAAGGAGCAAAATATCCCAGAACACCTATGGAGGATCTCGTGGACCTCAGCCTTTGAGCCCCTCTTTACTTTCTCCAGGCTGGACAACGTCCGACTGAATAACCTGGAATGCAAGGGACTAAAAGCCATACCCTGTCCAGGAGTTAGGTCCAGGACGGGTAGTCGCCCCAGCGTCAGTATAATGCATGCCATCTGCTCGCCACAATACTAGCGCTGCTCTACAACTTGACTGTGCGATTCCTCCCAGTGGACAGAACAACGTTGATAGCGGCGTGGAGAGATATCTATATGAGGCTTGCAGTCCTCACGATCAAATATTCATACCACCCAACTGCTCTGAACCTGGCGAGACTCCTACCCCTGATGAAGGCTGTGAAGTGCTGTTACAGCTTCCTGATCAGTGTCAGCAAAGGGCTCCCAGCCAGGACCGTCACTTTTCGAGTTAATTGCGTTTCTGCCTCCAGGAAGGTCCCTATTATGAGAACCACTTCCGAGGGCAGCTGTTGAAGAAACATGATACGATGACTATAAGATCAACAAGGCAAGTCAAATGGAAAATAAAACCAGCTGGTACACTAGTCAACCAAACATCCTCAAGACTGAGTTTATGGGAGGTGCTGGTACCTCTAAGGGATTTGAGATAGTGCGCTGGAGAAATTTGCGCTGAGGTGGAATAAGCGACTGGGCGCCTAAGCAAATAGCTTCCCTTCATGGCCCATAAGGAGATCATTCAGGCACAAGAATGTACGACATACCTTTTTTATTGCGATGATACCATCCAGAGCCAGAATACCATTTTTTGGATCAAGAACGCGGGAGAAGGTAGTGAGGTACTCAGCCAGGTTCTGTCACTCTTCCCTTTCTAGGTCGCCAGCACATTATCGCAGACTTGGAGTCACGAAGACTTTCTTTCTGTGCATAAATAAGTATGTCAAGGCTTCAAACACAAAGAAATACCAAGAGAGATGTATCAGAGCCTCTGAAGGGTATATGATGTTGATCTCATATAGGACCTGAAAACGGGTAGTATGGATTTGACTGGCTGTAAAGCGTACTTGTATCTTCTTGTCTTTCAGAGTCCTACTTTAGTATCTCTTTTCTTATAGGGCCGGAACTGAATCTTCGACACGTCCAATGGCATCATTGATTTTCCAGGAGATTGTCTCCGCATGCCTCCATTCAAAGTTCAACGTCCATCCTCTGTCAAAAGCAGGAGGTTGATTCTGTGACCAGGATCTGGTGGAAGTTTTTTGATTTCTTCAAGTTATCAAAATCAAGCAGAAGTCAACATGAATAGACCCGCCCTAGAAACTATCAAAGCACGCCCTTGACTCAGGAATCCGAAGCCACACTTTGCAACCTTGGTGCCAGACCCACACGATCAGTTGCATGGTAGACAGACAGACACACATGACTATTGAACCTATGCTTTACCAAATCAAGTGAGACGGCATCCTGATTTCTATAGCGAAGCCAGGAGTTCCAAATGAACTCATCAATGGCGGCGTCATATCCCAAGAGCAGATGCAAGGCCTATACCCGTTCTCTCCACTACAAGGGATCTTGTGACGAAAGGAATTAGCCTCGGGTGTGGCGTGGTGTATCAGCCCCTATCGTGTTTAAGCGGGGTACGCATCGATGTCTCGGGTATTGCGACCCGAGTCCTGAGCGGACAAACCGGATAGACTTTCGCTTCTGAACCGACAAATTCCTTGATTTTGGCGAGAGCTGCCCACTGAAATTATTTTTTGCTGTTCTCGGATAATCACCAAAAATGGGAGGCGGCCACTGCTGAGAAAATGGCGGGGTAACGCGTTGGTAGAACGCTACCCGGTGCAGGGTCTAGATGCAGAGAACACGCACTGGCCGTGATGCGGATGTCTCACCTGCCACTGACATTGATCGGCCAGGGAATTTACGTCAGCGGTAGCCTGACAATCCAAGACATGTAAAGAGTTTAATGTCTTAGATGTAAGGCCTCTTGGGTCATCGATGTAATGCACCGGTACATCATTGCTGCTATCTTTGCTCCGGGTGCCTATATAAAGGCCATCGATTTCTTCGTCGAAGGAAACAGATAACCCAAGCTTCTCTCAGTTCAAAGCGAAACATCAGATATGAAGGCCTCTTTAATCACACTGAGTGCCGTGCTCGGCCTGGCCTCGGCTCAGAATGCCGTCGTGCACAATCATTGTCCCAACACTGTCTACGTACAGTCGTTCCCGTACGGTGGTGGTGCCCCAGGCACTCTTACCACCGTGCCTAACGGAGGGACCTTCTCCGAGAAATTCAGGACATCCGGCTCGGTAGGTCACTCTTCTCAATCTAGTACTCATGCAGGATGAAACTGACCAAATATGAAATCTGCAGACCATTAAGATTGCCAAGACCAAAACGCTGGACAAGCCTCTCTTCTTTGGCTACTCGTTCTCCAAGAACCCAGACTACGCATACTGTGAGTCCACCCCATCTGACCGCTCAGTAATTTATACTTACCTTGTCCTTCAGATGAGCTAAGCTCAGAATGGGGCAACCCCTTCGCTGCGAACCCCAACTCGCTCAGTCCCGGCGAAGGATGTGAGGTCTTCGACTGTGCTGCCAATGATGCCTCCTGCTACAGTACCCCTTCCCACAAAAAGGTTTATGGCTGCCCCCAGCCAGTTGACCTCACAGCGGACCTATGTCAGTAAATATGTAATCTACAGTGTGGTGAGGGGGTAGGAGATCCCATGCCTCCTTTTGTTTACTGGGTAAATGTTGATCTATCACGAGAGTATCAAGAATGGTTATATATATAAAGTTGGATAGCGCGCTACGAGGAAGCAGAGGCAAGAAACAATGATTCCCAAAAGAAGGGTCTCTGGGGCTATTTATGCCTCCAATGGAGCGCGTAAACAATGAGAGAATGTCGCCGCCTGCTCCCTTTCTCCCGTAAAGGTTTTGCCAAAGCAGTGCCTATATATGCTAAGCAGCAAGTCAGTACTTACATGTTTACTTCATTTGCTTCTTCGCCTAGAGTGTCGGGTTTAAAGCCTTTTGTCGTCTCGTTTCTGCGTGAGTTGTAAATTGATTTCTCTATGTCGGATCTTCCGGATGGTCGTGAAATTCTATGTGCGCTGATAAACCCAGGAGCTTGAAGAATTTTGGAACTCAATGATGAAAGCGGATATTTCCGCATTTTTTATACACATTATTATATTTACATCCATATGTGCTTGCGATCATACCAACTGGCTCCCATAAATGGAAGCCTGGGAATGCGTTCTGATGTGTATCCATGGGTATTATGTGAAAGTCGCAGCATTATACATGCAGATTCTTATCAAAACTCCACTCCTATGCGATTACTCGATAGGGGCATAAAAGCTCAACTTGCCGTGGGGGTCATACTTGTGCTTGAGTCCACTCAGGCGCTCTTGACGCCAGTTTTCGCTACCGTATATCTGCTGCGATGTCTCTGAGCCGTAGGCATAATTGATGTAGGCGCGGAAGTCATCACGACCAGTCGCCGCGGAGAGGATGTTGCGAAGCTGGTTGCCAAGATCGGCAGCCTTGCGCTCCAGGGTGTCACCGGCAGGGGCGTAGTTGATCATTGGGGCGGCAAGGAGGTTTTCCGAGCGGAAAGCAAAAGCAGTGGAATCGGCGGGGATGGCGTGGACGCCCTCGGCTGAGTAGCCCTCGAACATGAAGATGGAGTTGTTGAAAGGGGAAGAGCCGCTCACGGCGGGAGCGTAGATATCCCAGGCCTTCTTCTGAGCGGGGACGTTGTATTGTTCCAGATAGATCGGGAAGCGAGGGTTGGCGAAGCCAAGCTTCTGGCAGGGAGGAGAGTCGACGGCGATGCTGGTCCAGTTGGCGAGGTCTTTGTATGTGCCTGATTGGGGGTTGATAGAGATAGGCCCGATATCGTGGAAGGCCTTGGTGTAAGTGGACTCGACAGCCTTGACTCCTTCCTGGATGATATAAAACACGATGACAGGGCTGTTGGGGTCAGAGCCGTCGTTCATCCAGTAGGACCAGTTGATGACGCCGGCAGGTTGGGTGCCGTTTTTGACGAGGTAGTCATTGGCAGCTTGGTAAACAGCCTCGACCTTGGCACCACTGAATGTGATGGTTTCAATCGCCCATTCGGTATGCTCGATATCGTAGATCTTAGAGGTAACTGAAGTAACAATGCCAAAATTGTGGCCTGCGCCCTTCATTGCCCACCATAGCTCAGAGCCGACATCGATGGTGGTCAAAGTGCCATCAGCAAGTACAACATTCATCGAGACAAATTGATCAGCGACAAGTCCGTGATGGCCCTGGAGCCAACCATGTCCACCGCCGAGTGCAGGCCCCAGATAGCTGACACACTCGCAGGTTCCAGTAACGGTCTGCTTTCCAGCTGCCCACAAGTCATCGGTGATCTGCTTGGACATGACTCCACCGCCAAATGTGGCCGTCTTGCCATCTTCATTAACCTTGATACTGCGCAACTTGCTTAGAGAGATGCCAATTCCGTGATTCATTTTGCCCAAGGAAACAAGGGCCCCGTGCACTCCATTGTAGGCGAGAAACGGGACGTTCTTCTTGTTGGCATATTTGACCTTCGATTAGATCAAAGTTAGTGTATGGTCATTTTGTCCAAATCATTACCTATTGAAGAAAGGCATTCGGCAACGGTTTGATGGAAAGTCTTACAGTCTCGGCGACGTCATTCTCTGTTCCAGGGACGACAACCACATTCACCTTAGGTTCCTCGAGAACAGACCAGCGGGTGGTGACATTCTCAAAGCCACTCGAACCAGGGTAATAGATCTCGGCAGTGCGGGAGAGGCTTTTTGCAAAGGCCTTAACGTCAACATCACTGCTAGGGCATTTTCCCTGCACAGCGCTACCCACCACAACGGAAGCCAAAGCAGCAATGGCAGTGATCGATCTGAGAGAGAACATTTTTCCAAGGCTTTACCCAAGAGATTGTCGCACTCTCCGGAAAATCAAATATATGAACGACAAAAAGAAGAAAGAACCCAGAATTACCCCGAGGTGGGTCATCCCCTGCGTATCTTCCAACGTTCGAAGAGAAGGCGACTAGGCTGCTCCAATTTCCTTTGAGGTGCAAGGTCCGAAACAACTAAAATTAATTGCGTGCAGACCTTGGGCCCACCGGAGTAGCTAACCCTACGAACGAACATCAATCATAGTACAATTTGTTCAAGAATCCCATTTGAGCGCCGACCGCGTGTCCATCATCGTCCGAGATCCGACCCAGAGATACAACTCGGGAGGTTTTGGGCTCCAAGTAAGTGGGGCGATTCGGGGCGATTTGGGGGCCGACGGCCCTTGGGGACCCACAGCCCCTCCTAATTATGGATAATTCATCCATTAGATGTGCAGAGCTTACACGATCCACCCTACTAAGGAGCTAGACAATCTCGGATCCCTGTAGTTGCATCGTTCCTGAGAGGGCTCAGATTAATCATGTGGTATGAGGTGCCTCCCGGTACACCGGCACTATTATCCGATCCAGAAGATTGGGAATGAATTCTACTCCAACCACAATCGCAATATATTAGTTAATATCCGTAGTAGTAGTGCAATTTTTAGCTCCGTTGCTGTAAAGTTGAAATTTTCTTCAGGGAGAAGCCTCCCAGACTTCTTTTAGCAGGTGTATTGAGTTACTAGTCAGCTCAATTATGATTAGTAACTAATACATAGCATACTGAGTACAACATCGCGAGTAGTGGAAAAAGTAATGAAAGACTAAAAGCACATTACGAGTACTACTACTACTATATGAGAAGTCCTGAGTCGGATTGCCATAGATGGGGTTCTACACAATTCAGCTGATCCGATGGTGATTGGTGGATCGCAATCATTTTATACTGAAACGAATTAATATTCTAACTTGATTGATCATGTGCAGTTTTCGGCCGCAGGTTTCGGTCAATTCATATATGGAGATTAACATGTGGAGTGTCCATGAAAACGGCCCCAAAGGTGAGACCTTGGAACAAAATGCTACCATGATAAAGGAGGTGTGGGGCGTATCCACTTCCCAGAGAGGCCTTCTCGCGCTGAGATCCTTCGTCGGTTAGTCCGATTGAATCCTTCGAGGAACTGAAAAATGGGTGCGGAGTGCAGGAATCACTGATTAAAGTTCTTCAATTGTGAGAACCACAGGTTCCAACCATGTGGTGTGGTGGCCCCCAGCCCGAAGTTTAGGGTAAGGATATTATTCTTTATCCAACAGACTGGCTTGTGCTTTTTGCACTTGCCTCAAATCACTCTTAAAAAAAATGAGATCTTTGAGGGCTCGAAAATCACCTCGGTTAGAGAAACGCTACGAAGGAGAGCGAGAGCAAGCAGTGCATTCTCTCTACTATCGATCAACATCCTCACGGACGTCCTCTCTCGTTGATCCTACTCCACAAAACCTACCGTGAAGATAATGGTCTTTGCTTTAAGCGCGCGGGATGCCGCCGCCGAGGCTGCAAGGAAGACAAATATAGAACTATGGACTTTGTACGGAATTGGCGTCGCTTTCACGATCCTCAGAACATATTCACGAGTTAGAGCTGTGGGCTTGAGACATCTGCGATTGGATGACTATTTGATGTGGATTGGAATTGTGTGTTCTGATGAAAACTAATGATAGCTGCGTGCCCTACTGATACTATGATACAGATTTTCTACACAGCACAGACAGCTCTGGCATATAATGTCGGCGCAGTCGCCAAGGGCCTCGCAAATAATAGCATGACGGATGCACAGCGGATTGCGCTATCCCCGAGGAGCTCAGAATATTCCGCCAGGTATGTCCCGCAACGAGAGGAGAATGACCATAAGATGAGTCCCAGTGGCTAACATCCCCAATAGAGTGACTGGTTCCAAGATTCAAATCGCAGGATGGAGTACATATGTAGCATTGATCAACTTTCTAAAGTTATCAATGCTGGCTTTCTATCTTCGTCTTATGGTATGTACATCATTAGGACCAGACTCAAAATGGATGGCTAACCATCATATTACAGGAAGGACTCGGCCGTCGATATCAGCTTCCTATATACTTTGGCCTTGCCTTTATCATGACGAGCTTTATTGCGAGCATGATCACAATTATTGCTTCATGCAGACCATTTCACAAAAATTGGCAGATCAATCCTGATCCCGGCAGTCAGTCTTGTGCCCCCGTTTAGCTCAAACCTTGAGATTCCATCAATTAGAGAATCGTTCTTACTCTGATTTCTTTCTCCAGACGTGTGCCAGCCAGCAATTTCTAAACCAGTCATTGCCGTGACCTTCGCCGCCAACCTCCTCACAGACCCATACCTGATATTCATCCCAATTCCTATGCTCTGGAAATCCAGTCTCAAGCTCATCAAGAAGGTCGCGACAACCATCGTTCTCAGCGCCGGTATATTCATTCTCGTCTGCGCAACACTCAAGAGTATCTTGCTGCTAGTGGTTAGTGTCACACATTACGAATCAAGTTACACCCATGGACTACCAGCTGACATGGTTTTTGCTTCCTAGGATCCCGAGAATGGTGCTAGTGTTGCCAACGAATGGGGTACTCGCGAAACCTTCGTCGCAGTCATAACAACCAACCTTCCAATGGTCTTCCATCTACTCCGAACTTGGCTCACAAAGGTATTTGGCAGCAAGTTCGAATCGTCTCATAAGACAAATTACAAGACACCTTCCG